GTTTTCAATTTGCTGCCTCGGTAACGCCAGCTTGCCATGGACCTTTCCCCGACCTTTGACCCCCGGAAAATTCTCCCTATACTCTACCATTGCAAAATTTTCAGGGCTATTTTAAGAGTGCCTTTGCGAGTTGGCGCCTGTAAAATGGGGTGTGTGTTTCAAACCATCATTATGATTCATCGCATACAACAATCTGTTTTTTAAAAGTACCGGTAAAGAATTTCAGGCTAGTCTATCACAGCTATTTTTACACTAATTTTTATTACTGCAATTAAATTAAAGCTCCTAGGAAGACAGTGTGATCATTGAATTATCTGATTTATATTTAAGTTTCCTAAACACAACTGAAAACTAACGAATAGAGTTTAAAATCGCGAAAACGAGGTAATGTTTACAACCACGCTTGAAAATGTGTCTGAGTGAGAAAAGTGTCTGAGCGAATGCGAAAAGGGGGCATTGTTACGTCACTTTTTGCATCTTGCTGATTGGCCAATGTCACGATGTAAACGAGGAAGTCGATGCTCGGGGAAAGGTCCATTGGTTTGTGGCAGCTAAAGAATCAGTTGCCATGGTTTGGAAATCCCGTCATGGTTTTGCGGCAGCTTCAGACGCCACGAAATAATTAAAACTGCACTTGTCGTGCTCAGCGTTAGGAATACACACGTCACCATGCCTCTGATTACCCTGCGTGGGATCGCAGTTTCAAATTTTATTGGAGGTAATTTCTCGTGAGCGAGTTGCTGAAACCCATTGCCATTTTACGTGACCGCTGGTCGGTTACGGTTCTTCCAACCATGCACCTAAGACAAATAACTGACTTACTATTCACATACCCGACTTTAATCAGAAATTTCGTCACATGATTATTGTCTTTCTAGAGGGCATTGAAGTCTGGCAGAACATTCCCCAGAGTATAAAAACAATGTTCCCTAGAATTGTTCAATCGCAAATTAAAACAACATTTATTAGCAGAATATGTGACACAATGATAAGCTAATCTCAGTGAATGCTGTCAAATCCTTACTACTAATATGAATTCACCATCTCATAGCTAGGTTTCTTTAGTTTTTTGTAGATATTTATTGAAGATGCTATTAGATTTTCTTGTAAACTTTCTGAAGTGTGACATGTAGCTTTTTTTCACCTATTCATATAAATTGCCTCGTTCTGATGAATGATTGGCTATTTGTCTAACATGATTAGGACCATATTGAGAATTTTATAATTATCCTTAAGCCCATCTTATTATTATTCTTTTTCTCGTGCACAACTGTTTCTTGTAAATTTTTATGTGATATTCTGTTTTATCTTGTCATTAATATTTTTCTTTGGGCAATTGATTTAATAGGGCCTTTTAACCCGGCTTAAAATACAATTTATCTTTCACTATAATACCCATGACACATAATTTACCATATTCTCCTTGCATAAGACTTATCCGCAGATAAAGAACTTAGAACAAGAACTTGTTGTTCTTAGAACAACAAACTTTGCCAAATTAAAATCAGTCTTGAGTAATATATGCGAGATTATTAGACCGATTAGCGTAAAATATCCATAATTTTTCTTGGTATTTTCTAAACCATTATGCAAATCTCAGTTTATGCTATCAGATTCATAAAATGGATAGGAGATCACCATTTTATAGATTGATTTTCGTATGTCTCTGTGAAAATTATTGAAGATGCTATTATATATAGTCTGAAGTGTTTAAATGTACTATATAGCTTTGGAAATATGGTATTTTTGATTTTTCACCCATTCATAGAAATTGCCTCATTGCCACGATTTGATTTTTGTCTAACATAGAGTAAAATTTATTTGAGGAGGTTGTAATTAGCTTTGCGCCCTTCGTGTTATTTCTCTTTTTTTCGCTTCTTTTTGTTACCTTTAAAAAGCATTATGATCTGCGTGATTGTGTGATGTTCCCTTTTCTTGTTCCCTGTATTTTTTTTCCCTATTCCAGTGCTTTTGGGGAATTGATTTCTGAAGCCTCTTAAACGGGCTTAAAACTCAAAAATTAATTTTTTCCCTATTGCAATTATGATGCCTGCTATAGAGTGTCCTGTCCTGGTAGAATCTCTCCTTAGGGGTCGGTCGACCTTGTTGACCTTGGAAGTCTTGCCCGTCCCCTTCCGCATATATAATATTTATGCTTATTGTTGTTTGCTTATGCTTACTGTTTTATGTTATTGTATCGGAAATAAATCATTATCTATCTATCTAGATTAGGTCCCCGTTTTGTCTTTTATATCCTCTTGGGATAAATAGGTAAATCCTAATGTAATCTTAGACTGATCAAGTGAAACCAGAAGTTTCTCCGAATGGATTGCAGACATGGTTTCGCACACTGAGCGACAAAGTTCCTTCTAAGGAAACGTGTGTCAGTATCGGCAGTTTATTATAAACGCATACCAGGTTTTCCCGAGACCGAAAAATCTCAAGGAAAATTCAGCAGACAGGGAATGTCCAATAAAGTGATTGAGATAATAATGAGAATTTGAATATAGATTGGAAGACCGATTAGTCGGTCTAATCGTGTGCCAAACCACTGGCTTTTCGCAATAGGTAAGTTAGGTGAAGGAGTAGTCAAGTTATCAGTATACAGGCATATCATGCCAGATTTATGAAGTTGGGTACACTCATCTTCAAAAATAATAACGTTCCAAACCAATATGTTAGTAAAAATTCTGTAGATAATTGGTGTCTGTCTCAGCAATGACATTAATGTCATTGGTCTCAGTTAGAGTTTTGTGGGAGAAGAAGACGGGTGTTTGTTCATTAGATACTAGGGTAGTTTCTGATTCAGGTTGAACTATTCTAAACGGTTGTATTCTTACCACCAGTCATTTTCTCAAAACTTTTGATTTCATCATTATTTATATATATCGCGTTTTTCGATTTGTTTTTGTTGTAAGCAGGTTTGTCTCGCAACCGATCCGGTTCCGGTTTTTATTAACTCCCTCCACTTACCTCGCTCTTGGTTGACCTTCGCTCCGCTATGTCCGCTATACGCTCGTGCACTCTGCAAACGTCAGTTCTGTTGGGTTCAATAAGACTTTGGATAGCTTTCTTTGGTACGGTACTTGTAGTCAGCCAGTAGTTTTATTTTTCATCAAAATGAAAATGCACTTACTGTGAACATAAATTAAAAAAGGTTGAAAATGACATTGCAGGCTTGTACAGTTGTTAGGGATGCGACGAATTAATCCAAAATGGTTCGTCTCGGCCGGATCCGGTGTGGCTCATCATGTTAAGCGTTAGGAATACCGGTACCGTACCGTAAAAGCGCCTAACTTCGGACAGTTCCTAACTTCGGACAAAAAATTTAAACGGCCATATCTTGACTAATAAGCGTCGAATATTGCCAATTTTAATTTTTATGGGTAGAGCTGTTATATATACATCTATTCTCAACCTTTTTATTGTTGTATAATTATTTTTTCTCGAAAAAACGGAAATATTGCCGAAAAATGACTGCACGCTATTCAACGGCACAGAGCGTCGCTCCTACTTAAGCTATCATCGTCAAAATACCATCATCCGGTAGAGGGCAATAACAATGTAGACTATATATTTTATCAGAGTGATCGCAAGATGTCATACAAGATTTAAATAAAACGTAAAATTCTGAATTATAAATTTCGTAAAATTATTGAGATTTCACGCTGCGTCAAAAGTTATGTCAACCTCACGTAGATAATTTTTCGCTCACTTCCGACACGACGTCACACTGCCTCGCGGAAACGAATTTTGACGCCCGACGCAATGGCGCCAAATTAGCAATTTCCGTTTAAGGTAATGCATTCCAGTGTAATATTTTTGTATTTTGTTCGGTCCATGTGTGAACATATGCCAAAATCACAGTAACGAGAAATACTTTTCTTACGTAACCAATGTCGTCAAGATTCAAAAATATAAAATTAGAGAAATGCAACGTCCATGTGGCACTGTATACTGACGAAACAACTATTTTACACTTTAGGAGTCAAAATCGATAGTTTTTAGATACACCTGTGTGGAGAATTCATTTTATTCATTTTATTTATAGTCTACCTATCTCAATGTTAATTAGCGAAATTGAATTGAAGATTAAACGTGACAATTGGGTTCGCGTTAAGTTTGATGAAAAATTAATTACTTATAAAGATAACAGCGTAACATTAACAAAGCTATCTGTCGAGAATATTAATATTTCAAAGTCTTACAAGCCGGTTAAAATGTTTCATTGTAGATCGGAACGGTTTGCATTAGATTAATTTGCGTATGTTACTTCTTGATTAGAATGGCCAACGTGGTATTATACTGATCTGACGTAACTAAAATATCAAATAAATACAACAAGGTAAACATAGGACGATGGAAATTTCAAATAATGCATTTTCACCACGACGTTTCGATGTTACGTTACGACGCCGATCGAGCGTCTTATCTTCACTCAACGATGTGATTACGTCATTGCACTTTTGGTGCACTGTTTTAATTTCACCGAAACCCCTCCATCGGAAAAATCCTGGCTGCGCCCCTGACAGGTCCAAAAAGTTTTTTATAAGTATGTTCAAATATGAAATATCCCAGCTTGCAATAAAATAAAAAATTGTTTAAATTTCAAGTTATTTTTTGATTACTTCGATCATAGAAATTAGTGCTGAATCATTATGGCTGACGCAGCAATGAAAGCCGCCATGGAGGCAGGAATTGCACGACATCCAGAGTATTACAACACTAAGTTACATCCGGATATGCGTCTTCCCGCAGACACACGAAAATTGCGTGATGTAAAGATCAAGGAGGTGCCGTCATGGTTGATGAAGCGTGACTGGAGTGGAATGGGAGTGTATTTCTCTGCGAAGAGATTTCTTCACAGATTCAACACGAGATATACTTATGTGCGAAAACCCGGCGGAAATCTCCTCTTTGTCCTGGCATGCTGGGGGTTCATCGGCAGTTATATCTTCAACTACAAGTACATCAAGCATGAGAAACTTCGCAAATATCACTAAAACTGAAACTCTTGGCCAAAACATTTAAAGATTAACCATATGAATTCATTACTATCAAACCTGTTGAAATATACTTACATATACGTATTTCTAGTTCACTATTTTTGCAAAATTTGTTAGGCTTGATAATTTTTTCTTTGGAAAATGATAAATTAAAACTGTATTGAAAAGTGTTTCAATATATAAATGTATGAAGATTGTTACAGAGTTATTTTTGCTTGTTATGGTATGGCACAACTCAGAAACAAATTTCAAAGTGAATGAGGCATGGTAGTCTACTAATCCAATGCATCTGTTCTATTTTGTGTGAGAAGATTTTCATTCAGTAACATATTTTTAGAATGTTGTTTTCACTTTACGGCCCAGAGCTGATTTTGAAAATCAGAAGTTACAGTGATGACATGATTTTGGCCACTCGTGCTTCATATACTTTCAAGGAGATTTAGCTTCAGCAATTTTTTTCGAACTGACAAATGTTTGTGAAGGTAGCTCCCGAGTCTTGACCTGATGATGCCAGTTAGGAGAGAATCGCTTGCCATTCCAGTATTCGTCGGATCTTCAAAAAAGAGCATTGATATTATACATGATCTCTTCATGTTTTTTATGAAAATCTTTTCAAATAATAGGAGTATGCTACAATCTCCCTGTTATCTCCTCCCTAGGTCACTGTCATCTCAATTCATTTATTAAGTTCCCAGTGTCTTCTTTTTATGTTTTTTGTATGTTTTGGTCAAGTTGAATTCTGGATTTTCTGTGGTTTTGGAAATAAAATGTATTGTGTTCATAATTTAGAACATTGGTATAAATTTTCTGTAAGTTAAAGACAGTAGCTAAAGAAACTTACCCAAGAAGTAAAAATGGCTCACTACATTTCAAATCATGATCCCGGGCTCTTCAGCTGAAAGTAATCTACATCAATACCAATGGAATGTCGGGCACTACTGCTGAAACTGGTATTGAGTATATAAATATAAAGGTTGTCCATAAAATCTTTTTAAAATTGCAAAGTGGATTTATTGATACCACATATTCTTTTGGCCTTCACAGATGTATTAAATGAGGTAAAAATACTTGAACAAACAACAAACTTGGTTAAGATATATTGAGAACTGACTTCACAACAAAATTGTAAAGGGCCTTTATGGACACCCAGTATATAGAGAATTTTTAAGGTATGAATTGAATGAGAGTATGAGACACTTGGTCAGATTCACTGGAAAGGTAAATTAAACTGGAAATTTTGGAATCTGATCTTTCTGTTAAAGACTGCGAGTTCATGTCATATCAAAGCTTGTGCTGAGTCTCACGAAAGCCAAGCGGTATCGCCTGCTTGAGTAGGAATAATTATGTGCAAGAGGATGCATCTGGCACTGGCTAACTAATGCCATACCCGACATTGACTAGTAACCAGACGAAAGGAAGTGGTTTGCCATATATTTAACCCATCTGTCCCTAATATCAATGTGAAAATCTTATTCTAATATGAAATATATTTGAATGTATTTTTGTATACATCCCTGGGCGTGTAGTGTGAAAGTGTGTGTATCATTACAGAAGTAACTAATTTTGTTCGCCTACTTTACATCAAGTTGTGTAAATTGACTGAAACCTATGGGTAGGGGGTATATTCACTTGGCAAATACAGACAGTCCTTGAACTAGTAATAGAACTAAAAAGAGGAAAATCGGAGTGAAATTATACCCTAACCCAGTATACACACTACAGGAGTACCCATCTCTGTATTAAACTGAATTTTCTATGTCAAATTGTTTTCCATACCTAATGATCTAACTAAGATACAGAATCGCTGTTTCACGTCTTCTTTGCCACATGATGGTGTCGGCAGCCAGAAGAAAACTTCTTCGAAGAGCTTTGAAGGCAAGTTTCATCGAATCAATGAGTCTGTACTTAACATCATGGATTAAGATGCCAGTTGTCTTTGCTTGGTTTCGAAGAAGTCGTAAACGCCGCCGCGCACTTTGCGCATTGCTTTTTGCGCTAAATGAAACGGAAGGAAACACTCAAGAGGAGATAATTGATAGGTAAGTTTCTCGGTTCGAAATATTGCTTATATCTCGATTATGTCTTACAATCTTGATGCAGAATCAAATCAATTTGAGGCAGGGTTGTGAAGTCAGAGAAAATTTTATATTGACTCCGGGTTGAAAACAATTTTTGCTCTGAACTTTTGGCGCTCTCTTAGTATGAGAACCAAGAATGGCGGACACCGGAACATAGTATGTGTACCAGGCCATCATTTTAATCCAATTTTCCTTATTTTTGTTCTATTACGAGTTTGGAGACTAGCCAAGTGACTCCCGTAGTATTTGTACCTGAAATAATGGCCCTAACCTGGTACAACATACTATGTTCCGGAGCCCGCCATCTTGGTTCACATACTACGGGAGTACCGAATTTTCTAGTTAGAAAATTTTTTACTTTTGGTTGTAAAATTTTGACTACTCAAACTGGTGGTTTGAATAAATTTGGTCTACCAATTTTGAAAAATTCCAACATACTAATGATAAAATATTGAAAATTTTATTCTCAGTTTCCAAAAGGCACGAGTGTCTCGAAAGTTTTGCAACATATTTCCATACTTCCTCTAAAAAATGTCATTTTAAACGGACATGGCGGCAGTTTCAAAACCTCGCAAAAACTGAATTAGTCATTACTCTGTTATGCAAAATCACATTGATCACGACTTCCTCCACCATCAGGTCCATACATCATAACAAATAACTGGCTAACTAATCCCATACCCTACATGGACTGGTAAACGGACGAGAGGCCGTGGTTCGCCATATGATTAAACCGTCTTTTCGCCTATGTCAATCTAATCCTATTTACAGCATTGGATTGGATGATGAATATGCATTTCTTATAATATAAACACCCTGTTTTGTTTATGTCTCTAATTTAATGAACCTACCTGAAGATTGATGAAAAATTGGTTGGAAAAGAGAGCTACAACTTTCACAGAAAATAACTGGATTGAATTTTTTAAAATGAGGAAACATACTTTCTATCGTTTGGTTGACTTTGTGAAAAATGATATAGAGAGGGGTAAGTTCGAACAGTATTTCTGATTTACATATTTATTACTACGGAAAGCTAAGCTACCAAGTCTGGATCAATTAGATTAAGTGGTTCTCAAACTTCTTTGTATTGTGACGCCCTTCAAAATATATGCTCAAGTTGCGACTCCCAAAAAAACATCCTGATATCTTTCATAAGACCTCTCTTGAAAAAAGGTTTTTTAAACGATCGTACAAAACATAACGAAAGTCGGTGAAATAGCATTCAATGGGACGGGTGTACTTCTTGTGGTTGAATTGTGAGAGAGCCGCAAGCATTTACCTTCCAACATTTGCTCGCGATCGATATTTTGTCTAGATTACAACCATGGTAGTAAACTCATGGAAGCCTGCTTCACGTAGATACGAAGTCGTAAAATGGGCAAGTGAAAATATACGGCAAGAAAGGTTGGTAACCTTAGATATAGGGCTTCTTTCAAAGCGGAAATACATGTCTGAAATTCCCATCATCGCTTCTAATATCTATAAATTCACAGATGGCAAACCTGGTGACGCTTCTCCAGTGAAATGTGTTGCAATAGCTTTGTATCAACTTCTGGTCAAACAACAAAAACAACTTCCCAGTTGCTTGATGTGGATGAAGCAATTGTTATCTCTTCGCTTAACAGGTACATAAAAAGCATTTTAGAATATTTTGATTTACTGCTTGTTGACACATTTCATTTTGAATAGAGCTCTGCTCAATCTGGCAGTGGCACTGATATGTGACAGTCTGCAAGAACCCTTTTTTTCCTGCTTTTCCAATTTGTATAAATTATTGCATTTGAAACGTACGTGGAATATAACTGCTGGAGGGAAACAAATAATATAAGACCTATAGGACAAATCAAACCTCTCATTCAGATCATTCAAGAAGTACTGTGTTGCAAATGGATTGATTCGAATATATAGAATTCATTACGCCAATGGTTCCCAACCAAGGGCTCTTGGCCCATCAACGGGGCTATGGAGCATTTTAATGGGGGCCACAATACTAGGCGCAAAACTGATTTTACCTTTCCTTTGACTAGAAAACTCCTCGTTCTTCCAAGTTTCATTGCTTGATATGGTTATTTCACAGAGTTAAGCATGAATTGTTTGAACATAACGGGATTTGAAATCCACTAATCAAAATAATACTATAAATACTACTGGAATGATGAACAGAAGGGCCGTGAGTACTAAAATCCTGCTGCAGGGGGGGGAAGGGCCATAAAAGGCTGGGATTCACTGCATAACGCCATGGCTGTTTTCTTTATTGTATTAACCTGAGCTTCTTAGGGTCTTACACCAATCATCATACATACCCTGGCTCTTGTCTGCCACCTCAAATCGATGGTTTGGGCTCAAGTAGTTCTTGATATTTCTGTGATTGTCTGTAATTTTGCTCAGAAATAAACCTCCATTACTTTTAAGGGAGTGCTTTTAGCAAATTTTCCTGATTCCACAGTTCCACATATTTATACGATCTCCAATTTTAATATGAGGAGTGAATCATGATTTTCCTTCAATATGAATATGTTTAGAATGTTCGAATCTAAAATTAATTGTAAATTAGAAAGCAGATTATTCTAGTAATGCAAATCCACCTGTATAATTAAAATTCTTTTGACTTCAGGTTTGTCAAAGCAATGCTGAACAAAAAATCAGAGTTAATTATGATGCCAAATTTTGATGAAGCACGACAGATATCTGACAGATTCAAAGACAAATTTAAGTGTCCGCAGGTTAGATAATAAAAGTTTTAATTTTGCACTAAGATAATGGAAGTCAATTCGGTTGAAGCCCGGGTGTAATGAGTTGGGTAGGCAATGCATTTCCTATCGAACGCGAAATAGAAATGGAAGTTGTTGCTATTAGTATTCCTTATCTAATTGTGGTAAAAATATCTATTTTTTCAGTACCTACTGGGTCAATTGCTTTGAATTTTTAGAAGTTAAAGATTGTTGTGGTTCTATTACATTTGAACCCACGTACATTTGAACCCATGACAATTGCACCTGTATGCTATTGCATCTATGGAATTTTTTTTGTTTCACAGATAGTTGGACCCATACTAACCCTAACCTATGGGTTTTAGCACCCGCATATAGATTGAACCCGTGGATATGCGCATGGGTTCAAATGTACATGGGTTCAAATGTACCGTCACCATTGTTGTTGTCTCTAATTTCTATTACTTTTATTTATTCCAAAAAATATCTGTGAGCTCTTAGAGATTTGTTCAATTTTTGGGTGATGACGTCATTGAAATAAAAAATTGCACACTTTGTGGAGGCTCCACATTCGTTGCGATCTGGTGATCAGTCAAAGTCGGGAAGACTTTGGTACCGATACTGTACAAGAATTCAGGCCTGTCTTTTTGACCTTTGTGTCAATAAATAAATAATATAAAATTCCCATTAAACTAATAAAATAATGATTGCCAATTGTTTCCAAAATCTCTAAAGTAGAAAATATAATCAAGTTGTATTTCACTATTGAGCACTTCCCAGGTCATAGGGGTCAATGAGGTCAGGTTACATAATGGAGCTCCCAAAATAGCAAGATAGTGCAACCTTACCTAGTCTTGGCTACACTACTTCTTAACTGTCTCTACTTTTCAACCCAACACTGGAATTTTACTCATTTCAGGTCATAGGTACCCTAGGAAGCATTCACATTCCAGAAGGAGTTTTAAATGAGAGAAGGTCGGCTTCCCATACAGCAATGTCACGGCTAGTTCTTCAGGCTCTGGTAGATGATGAGTACAAGTAAGCTATATTAACCCCATGATATACGATGTGTCTTAGATAAGATAGGATTTACATATTAATCCAAGGGAGAGGAAAGTCGATAAGCCGGCTTAATCTTATGGCGAACCACGACCTCTCGTCCAGTTACCAGTCCATGTCGGGTATGGGATTAGTAAGCCGGTTCTTTGTTTTCGGATGCATGGACCTAACGGTGGGAGGACATAAACCACCATGTGGTTGCGAGGAATGCAGCAATTCTTTCGCACATAATTATCCACACATGAGATTTGAATCTGCCAACCCACGCCAGGTAATCGGGAGATGTGGTGGCGAGCGAACTACTGACGCTTAGCATGATGAGCCACACCGCCGAGCCGGTGGACAAATTCTTGCAAATATAGTAGCTTCTTATGTATGAATTGAAGAATTCTATGAGATCTACCAGGATCTTTGTCATTATTAGTTGCATGCCCAATTTATTGCAGACATGTTGAGCCGGTGCTCATAAGGTCAAACTCGATAAGTTACCTATGATGACAATATAGCTAATCTGAAACCTTGTCCACAAAACTTACATTTTTGTATAGTTTCCAGATTACAATTTTCCATCCTAAATTATGAATCGGCTTGGTGGTGTGCCACATCATGCTAAGTGTTAGGCATACGCTCGCTATCACACCTCTGATTACCATATGCGGGTTTGTCGGTTCGAATCCTGTTCGGGATAGTTATGTAAGGAAAGATTGCTTGACTGCTCGTCGCTGTAGGGTGGTCGATCAACTCCATGCGTCTGAAACAAATAACTCGCTAACTAATCTCATACCCGACATGGACTGGTAACCGGACAAGAGGCCGTGGTACGTGGCCGTCTTATTTGCTTTCATCTGACCCAGAATAAATTTGAAAATTCTATTTTATTATTCATGCACAAGAAGTGAATGTATAAACCACATCTTACATATGTATTTTTGGAACAACTAAATCCCTACATGAAAATTAATGGTACTCCTGTATTATGTGTACCAGGTTAGGCCATATTTTCATTCCGATTTTCCTTATTTCAGTACTATTACGAGTTCGGGGACTGTTTTTGTAAGCCAAGTGAATATGCCCCCTGCCCATTGTAGTCCTTTTTGCACAACATGATATAAAGTAGGCAAACAAAATTGGTTACCTCCATATTACTGCACACACTTCTGGAGCGCCAAATTAAGAGTCAAAGTAAATTTAGAAATAAATGTTTTATTACTAAGTTAAACTAATTTGGTTCTTATTTGTAAATGAAAGCATAAGTTTCATGTTTCACAAAGTAATCAATCTCTGGAAATAGCCATAGCTAAAAGAAATTTATTTCAACCTTTTTGCTTTTACTGTGCGTAACAATCATTTTCAGATTCCGTGATATATTTATAACGACGACTGTGAAAAGTAATTACGCAGAAATCTTGGAAGAATCAAAATTATACAAAGATGGATTACCAGAAGTATGTGTATGAACTGTTCATGTTTGTGTTTTCTATGGGAAATTTGATCAAAGCAGGGTCATGTGCTCACCTTAAAATAGAGGATAATGATCTCTCAATAAATGAGAGATTTTTAATTTGAATTTGGCTTACACCATCATACACTAACCTTACATTTTGTCTTTGAAAGGGCTGTGTTCAGAATATCTTTTTTGCAAACGCAATCTGACTCACTGTGATAGTGTAGCTGACATTGTTGAACCGTAGATGTAAAAAACAACAATAATATTACTTTTACAATTTATAGTTTAGATATTTTAAATAAAGTGAGAATATAAATCAAAATTTGTAGGGGGCGGCACACAAGTGTCCAGTTTAATGCCAGACATTGTCAAACAGGAGCTATTGTTTTTACAATTCAAATGAAGTGTGAAAATAAATGTAATTCTGTATTTTGCTCTATGAAATTTTCACAACTTTCTCAAGCATGAGGGCTGCACAAAATGCATTAGCATATGGCCAGCGGCCATAGTTTGCTCACCCCTGGACTATGCGAAGGGAATCTTACTATTTGCTAACATTTAAATTTTTTTTTTTCATTTAGTATTCTCTCAACATTGAAGGAACAGAGGTACCATTCTATGTGGCAGCAAACAATGAATATCCTTTGTTGTCTTGGGTTATTACACCTTTTCATGATTCCAAAATTGAGGGGTATAAAGAGCGTGAATCATTCAACGAACAACTATCAAGTATTCTACAACAAGTGGAAATTGCGTTTGCAAGGCTAAAAACAAGGTGGAAAATACTGCAAAGTAACTCTTTCATGTCAAATCACAATGCAAAAGATATTATAGCATGTGTTGTATGCTCCATAATCTTTGTGAAGCCACTGATTCTCCTGTTGAGGAAATATTATCAACAAAAACTCATTTTAGTCAGCGCAAACGCCCGGATTGTACACAAATGACTACAGATGGCGAGAACTCAAGAAATGCATTGTGTGCTTATTTGGCTAAACAATTTCCGTTGAAAGTAAAATTACCTTCTGTTGAGCAGAAAAAAAAGAACTATTGAGTTCTGTGGGAACATGCAATGGTCTCAAATGTTTCCTACCCAGGGAGAAATTCCTTCACAAGAAGGGATTTTGATGTTCTCGGGAAAAACATATCATTTAGTATTTGGCATCATTTCACAAATAGTTTATTTATTTAGTATTTTTGTAATGGGCAAACGAAATATACAGGGTGTCTCAAAAGTAAGTATACACTTATAATTTTGATTTGCTTTTCAGGTACTCATCATAGAGCGTTCATTTTTTCAGGAAACATAGTATGGATAAGTAGTAAAATTTAGGTATTGTTTGCATTTTTCAACATCCCACAGAATGACAAGGATATTGCCCCGAGGAATGAGGGGAAAAATTGCTGTTTGGCAAAAAGCATGTAAATCAGCAAGGCAAACCCAGCGCTTCATTAACAGAGAATTTGAAATTAATTCAGCTTCGAATGTTTTCCTCAGAGTGACCGCTTCTCGGTCTTCCTGATCTTTGTGCATCAACTACAGATCCAGTTTCCATGAATTTTTGAAGAATTTCGTAATCCTTTGTTGTAAAAGGGCCGAATGCCTTGCTGTTTTATATGCTTCTTGCCAAACAGCAATTTTTCACCTCATTCCTCAGGGTAATCTACTTGTCATTCTGTGGGATGTTGAAAAATGCAAACAATACCTAAATTTTACTACTTATACACACTATGTTTCCTGAAGAAATGAACGTTCTATGATGAGTACCTAGAAAGAAAATCAAGATTAAAAGTGTATACTTACTTTTGAGACACCCTGTACATACCGAATGTTCAAACTGTACAAAAGCTAGAGATCCATGTGAGATTGAGCAAATAACAGAAATATTATGCAGAGTAGGAAAAGATTAAAAAATTTCTTCATATCGTGCAAACTTTTTGATGCATATTTAAAGAATGGACCTCCTGAAGTATGCGCACCAAGATGGCGCACAACCTGAACTCAGGTTGTGTACCAGGTTAGGGTTCAGGTTATGCGACATCTTGATGCGCATACTTCAGGAGTACCTAAAGAATTTTTCGTTGGCACTTACAGACTTGCTTCATTTCAAATTTTAGCTTCACCAAACCAATTTCTAACTAAAACTCTGAAGGCAATAAAGTCAAAGTATTTGATTTTTGAATTCTATAAACTCAACTACAAATTAGCTTGCATATCAAAAAAAAAAAGGAACGAGCAACTCTTGGTAAAGTAGTAAATAAGTCTTGAAAAAGTTTGTCAGAATCCGTGGACACTACATTCAGTGTTTACAAACTATGTACAAAATGTCATATAGAGGGCACAAATGTTTTTTCTTGAGAATCAATAATAAAGGATTCAGAATGCAAAAAAATGTTTTGTTTTTTTTATTAAACATATATTTCCTATTGTGTATATTCTGTACTGTTGTTTCCCAGATGTTGTTGGTTTGTCCTTTCATCGAAATTTGTATTGTTTTTGAATCGACGGATATTCATATCTATATCATGAGAGGAAAGCTGATAAGACAGCTTAATCATATGGCAAACCACAGCCTCTCGTCTGGTTACCAGTCCATGTCAGGTATGAGACTAGTTGACCAGTTATTTCAGATGCATGGGCATGAAACGGCCAGGGCTTGTGTGAACCACCAGTCCAGTTTTCAAGGCATTTGTATCCTTGCAGGGAATCAGAGGTTCAATGGAGAGTATGTTTGTAACTATTGCCAACCGTCGAGCCCAACAGCTTTGTGTGATCTTTATTTCATGTGTTTTTGTATACTCTGTATTTCTTTTCCAGGTTTTAGGAATAGTTTACAAACAAATAGGAAATATTTTTAAAGATTTTTATATATATTGAATTAAGGAGTAGTTCCATTTGACTACAAAAATGGTGAACAACTCACTGAAGGCTGTCGTAGCAGTAATTCTTGCAATCGGTGTAGGTGCTTGGATTAAAATTGTAAAAACTGGTCCAGTATGTGACAGTGACACTGATTTGACTGGAAAAACTGTGCTCATCACGGGAGGAAATGTCGGTGTTGGTAAAGAAACTGCCATTGGTTTAGCAAAGCACAATGCAAAAGTAATTATTGCTTGCAGAAATTCTTCGAAGGCTGAAAAAGCAGTGACAGAAATCAGATTAGAAAGTGGAAACGATTTGGTAACTTTCATGGAGCTGGACTTAGCAGAAATGGCTGATGTCCGAAAATTTGCAAACGAGTATATTGCGAAAGAAGAAAGACTAGATATTTTGGTCAATAATGCAGGAACAATAACAGATGGGAAAACTAAGGACAATTTTGATATGATGTTTGGCATTAACCACTTGGGACCTTTTCTACTAACGAATTTATTGTTGCCACTATTGAGAAAAACTTCAAAAAAGAACCCGGTGAGGATTATTAATGTTTCATCAAAAATTTATGCAGCAGGGAAAATTGACTTCAATAATTTGAATCCAGATGTTGATTCTAACAGTGGGATGAAAGAGATATTTCTTGAATATGCAAACACTAAACTGATGAATATATATTTCACAAGTGAGCTGGATAAACGTTTAAAAAAGGAAAATGTTGCAATAACGACATACTCTCTTCATCCTGGCACTGTGAATACCAATTTTGCACTTGATCTGACAGAAAATCGTGGAACACTATTTGTTTATGTGCGTGAAGTTTTTGTATGGCTAGCTTCCATGTCGTCCTTCTATGGTGCACAGACCTCACTGCATTGCTGTCTTGAGAAAGGAATTGAAGATCAAAGTGGGAGATTCTTTCATAGGTCAAGACCTATTGACCTCCTCTCCATAGCAACCGATCCTGCTATTGGTCCAAAGTTATGGGAAGTGAGTGAAGTCCTTACTGGATTAACTGGCTGAATTGTCAGGATCCTTAGTGGTTTGAATATACGATAATAGCATTCACACCTTGTTATATATATTATCATTATGAAATTGATGAGCATACAAATTAGTCAAAGCTGTCGATGCTTAGGTTCAGTACCTTTTATTCACAAACGCCTCTTATGGGGTTGGAACGGGGCATAATAAACCAAGTTTTTTATTTGAAAACATTGGATGATTATTTCCAATAATATTTGTTTGGTTGAAAAAGTGACTACACTGTGACATAAAAATTTATTTTATTTTACCATGTTTGTATTTTCAAATTTGCGACTTTGTGTGATTTCAATAGCCAAGCTTTACGAGAGTCTATAATCGTGAAATGGAGATTTCAATTTGTAAACAGGTCGAACTGACTGATTCTTTTCAGTCTTGAATTTTTAAGTGATAAGCTGGATCCAAATGCGAAAGTGGATAATTACTCCAACACGGCCCTGCTTTGCGTCATCACCCACTATCTTCCATTAAGGCAATTTATTCTGTTGCGTGGACATTCTTTTATTTGGTATAATAATTCAGAGATGCAATAAAGTTTATATTCCGTACTGAATCTTTCTGTAAGATCATAGTTATAGGGGTTGTGAAGTGAATGATCACTACTGATGCAAAGTAGCTTTTCATTAGTCGAGAATAGTGGGACTGGCTAGTTGCTATTTGAGTAAAGTTTGGGGCCTTGTTTATTCGAACTTTACACATTGTAACGCTTTCTGAATGCGTAAAGGTGTCCATTGTAGCAGCAGAGTGCTGTGATACCGTATACTTCCATGGAGGGATGACTGCTTACTTTTCTGCCTGATGTTTGAATTTAGAATATACTTCAGTTGTCACAACTTTGTGTGAGATCACTGGATAATGGGGGTTTTGCAGTTTAGGAACTGTCCTTCTAGCGAAGAGACTGTTTGTAGTGTTTTTATCAGTCAAGACTGGTGTGCTCCTTTGTGGCTGGTTTCCACCAGCTATGCATGAAGGTGCTTTACGCATTGGCTGTTTGAGTATACAACCTGGTTAAGCTATCGTGGCTATGCTCTGCATGATTTTTCATAAAAATAATCTATGACCAATTGTGAGTTCGGATTCTGGTGGGAAGTAGCCCTGCTATCCGCTCGTAGATAAAATAGTAAGTAAAATCATCAAAAGAACTTTATCTGCCTTGTATATGGCAGATAGAGGCAAGCATGTTCCAAATACCACAAACCAGCTGTGCTAATAAAATTTTTTTTTATTTATAAGGGCAGCCTTCGAGAAGGCAGTAGCAGAAATGTGTTTCCTACCTAACAAATAAACAAACATTTTACTTAAACTTGCATATTCATCATTTATTTAAGAGTTTTTATAAATTGAAAATTAGGTAATATGTTAAATAACAAAATGAGGTAGTACGAAATGTAACTGCATCCGCTCATTTGCTTACCAGCCCAGATTGGAATAGAAAGATAGTTTATTTTGAAAACTTCATAATAAACACAAATTGGAAATGTAGAATTCTGGAAAGCGAGCAAATCCCTTGGAAATTTTTCAAATGCTTTTTTATTTTCCCAAGCCTTACACACTTCTGGGAAACATAAGCATAACCAAACATGGCCTTCAATTATTGTTGAATAGGAAGGCCTAGGCCCTAGGTCAATGTTTACCAATATCGCACCCATCCTGTGCTGGCGAATGAATTATGATTGTTAAAGCTTTATTTGAGATAAAGCGAGGAAATAAGAATCCTATAATTCAAATCTCGACAATTTAGTCAGTGAGTCCTGTTAGACCTTCACTAACATTCCATAACTTGGTACCTATCGCAGGATCTGTTGCCACGGCGTCAATTTCAATGGGTCTCAACTTCACGAAGAATTCCTTGCTTCGATCTTCAATTCCTTCCTCAAGGCAACAATGCAATGAGGACTGAGCGCCATAGTAAGGAGTCATTGATGCAAAACCGCAAAAAAATTTGTTAAAATAAGCCCACAGCAATCCACATCTTTGTGCAACATCATGTGCAAAACTGCTATCTACATTGCCAGAATGAACAGAGTATGTCGTGATTGCAACATTTTCACTTTTCAATCGTTTATCCAGCTCACTTGTGAAATATATATTCATAAGTTTAGTATTTGCATATTTAAGAAATATCTCTTTCATCCCACTGTTAGAATCAACATCTGGATTCAAATTATTAAAATCAATTTTCCCTGCTGCGTAAATTTTTGACGCAACATTGACAATCCTTACTGGATTCTTTTTTGAAGTTTTTCTCAATAAGGGCAACAATAAATTCGTTAATAGAAAAGGTCCCAAGTGGTTAATGCCAAACATCATATCAAAATTGTCCTTCGTTTTCCCATCTGTTATTATTCCAGCATTATTGACCAAAATATCAAGTCTTTCTTCTTTTGCGATAAACTCATTTGCAAATTGTCGGACATCAGCCATTTCTGCTAAGTCCAGCTTCATGAAAGTTACCAAATCGTTTCCACTTTCTAATCGGATTTCTGTCACTGCTTTTAAAGAATTTCTGCAAGCAATAATTACTTTTGCATTGTGCTTCGCTAAACCAGTGGCAGTTTCCTTTCCAACACCAACATTTCCTCCAGTGATAAGCACCGTCTTCCCAGTTAAATCTGTGTTGCTGTCACATACTGGCCCAATTTTTATGGATTTCATCCAAGCACCTATACCAATTGTAAGTACTACTACTATAACAGCTCTCAGAGAGTAGTTCAATACATCTTGTTCCTCAGTTCCTGTTTTCACAGAATTCATCCAAACGCCAATAGCAATTGCAAGAATTGCTGCTGAGATTACAAGTTTAAGTGACATTTTATTAGTTGTTCAATATCACACGAATCATGGAAATCTATAAAAAAATATTAATAATGTTATTTTTTTTATAAATATATAATATTGTTACTAATAATAGGGGCTATGTTCACAACACGACACATTCCGTGTCAATCATTGTCAGTTCATTAATTATTAAACAATTAAGACGAATTGTGGTAGCGTAAAACAGGCTCGAAAAAGTTCGGATGCCTTGTAACTTCGGATGAAATTTTCAATCGTTTATATCTCGACTAAATTACGTCATATTGTGCTTCTGGCAGTTTCCATAGTGAGTCCTTATATATCTGAATCTGTTATCATATTCAATCGCGCAATTTAATTTATTTTCTGATTAAAAAATCACGTTTTACGATAAAATTGACACTCCGTTTTCGAGTGGCTCAAATCGTGACTTCTATTTCTTCAAACTACCGTCATTCGATAGAGGGCGATAACAATGTATATGGAAAATTAGATTGATCGCAAGATGTCGCAGGAGACTTGATAAAAAATTTGAATTCAAATATTTTTTATTTATTAAAATAATAGCATCTGACGCACACGTTGAACTTGACGTCACACTGACGTCGCTCACTTCGAAGACGACGTTATGTTGCGTCGCTGTTATAGATTTGACGCCAGACTTACGGACGCCGACGAGTTGTCGTGATTTGAAAATAGCAACGATATTTATACCGTAGTATTGCGCCCACTGTAATCAATTGCCCCACTCCCACTTTCTATAATTCAAGAATTTAAAAAAATCTCGAACACTCACACATTCTAGCTGGTAGTGCTAGTAATTGTAAATAATACAAAATTTTGTGTTAAATGTTTTTAAATTTTATTTGTATGCAAAAAGAAATGGACTTTTCCCCGACCTTTGACCCTCGGAAAATTCTTCCTATACTTTACCATTGCAAAATTGTCAAGGCTATTTTAGGAGTGCTTTTGCGAGTTGGCGTCTGTAAAATGGGGTATGTGTTTCAAACCATCATTATGATTCATCGCATACAACAATCTGTTTTTTAAAAGTTCCGGTAAAGTATTTCAGGCTAGTCTATCACAGTTATTTCTACACTAATTTTTATTACTGCAATTGAATTAAAACTTCTAGAAAGACAGAGTGATCATTGAATTATCTGATTTTTATTTAAGTTCCCAAAACACAACTGAAAACTAACGAATAGAGTTCAAAAACGCGAAAATGAGGTATTGTTTACAATCACGCTTGAAAATCTGTCTGAGTGAGAAAAGTGTCTGAGCGGATGCGAAAAGGGGGCATTGTTACGTCACTTTTTGCATCTTGCTGATTGACCAATGTCACGAAGTAAACAAGGAAGTCGATGCTCGGGGAAAGGTCCATAGTGACCGACGACTAGTAGCCATTGTTCTCAACACTAGTTGTCGCCAAAACACTTCATGAGAGTTATTTTCGTAGGACAATTTTGAGGTCGAGGTCTGTTCAAAAGGTTTATTTTCCGGTCGCCACTGAATTGGCGTCACTGGTTGGCCATTTCAGAAAAAATGGCTGGCTCTGGGGAAGGATCAAAGGCATGGAGCAAGATCAGGTATAAACAGGACATGCCCCCGCCCGGGGGCTATGGAAGGATTCCATATCTAAGAAATCTTCCCGTGCGTGGACCCAGCAGTTATGGAATTTTTGGGTTTGCTATTTTTACATTTGGGTATGGTTTCCATATCATAAGAAAAAACATGAAATTGGACGAATTTGAAAAACGGGAAACACGACTAATTGAAATGACATATCTCCCGCTTTTGGAAGCCGAAAAAGATCGTAATCACCTCAGAGAATATAAAGAAATAATGGAAGCCGAAGCACTCAACATCATCGGTACTGGATCAGACCCTGATCATGTGGTAGGACAACACGAATGGGAGTCGAAAAGATGGCGAGCACCGTATCACCAATACCCAGAAGTGATCTATTCATGGACTCGTGCCATAGATCTGTGGTATCACCAATATTTCCGTAAAGATGTTCCAGGACCTTAGATTTTCCATTTATTTGATTTCAGAATTTGTTATTTGAGTGTTAGTTTTTATAATTGGATTCATATTCAAATGCTCTCGTACTTGTTTGAATTTTTTCTAGTTGTTCTAAATTAGATTCCTAATAAATAAATTAGTTATTCAGCAGTTCATTCTAAAATAGTAATTTATAAAATATATAGCAATGAATATGTAAGTATGTAATACTTTATCATGTGCCTCGTCAAGTTTAGCAATACAACCCAATAATTGTTAAATTGTAAAATAGCTGAATTGATGCTACCTTCCTGTTGAATACATTGTTCCAATCTTTGATTCAGGAACTGGTAAAAATGTCCCGATTCTAAAACTCACCAGATCGAATAATTATATGTTTCACATTACCATGAGATCGTTAGTACAGCTTGATACCCTTTTCTAAATCCTAGAGCTACTATGGCTAAAGGCTATGGCTCTAGCTATTATGGAAAGAGAGTAGATTTGTTAGTGATGTTATTACAGTTATGCTTTATATGATTCACCAATCCAAAGTTTGCTCCAAATTTTGTTTATTTTGAATATGATACTGTTATTAAACACTTATCATTCTAAATGACATTTTCTGTTTATTCTGATTGGTTACTTGTTTCAAAAATATTTAGATATTATTATTAATTAGAAATATATCGTTGGTGAAATGGCCGGATTGAATCCAAACCCAGCTGTTTTTATGTTGATGTCAACAGGACAAATTGAAAGTGCTGTTGTAAGTTGCATCCACTTTTTTATTTATATCATTCTTTTATCGTTTCTTTTTATGCTCGTTCATGGATTGAAAGTATCTATTCTGGAATTCATACCTTTTTACAATTTTGAATTTCTAATTCAGTATATCAAATTATGATTAATGCCAAATTTTTTGTGATATTAGATCCAAAAAAATTTTTGCTTAAATAAAAAAAATCTTTCGAGACTAAATAATTTTTTTTTAAAAATTAGGCAGTTTTTGAATATTCATTTTTCATTCATTATTAAGGTAACCAGTTCTCCAAATGCCTCAGATGTCCTGCTGTCACTTTAATAATTTTTGAGTAATCGAAAATTTCTGATTTAGCCCAACATACACGGTTTATTATACTTCAAATTCGCAATTAAAACAAAGATGGGGCACAGTTCCTACACTGCCAAACATATTATAATCACATGCGTCTCTTAAGGTTGTTCACCTCACAAACTGAAGGTTTTATGACTATTGTGTTGAAATTCTACTGTCAAAATGTGACAAGATTTTTGTGTATATTATATGCTATAGAGAAGGGTTGCGAAACCCATAGCAAATGGGGCAAGGTTTTTGAACAAGTGGTCAAAATATTTGCCCACCTAGACTGGCGGCCGGCGGCCCATGTAGGTGTGAAGTAAAAAGTTACATTTTACGAACAATATTTACAGAGGTACAAATGCAAAAGTGTAAAACAATTAGCCTCATGCCAAAACTGAATTCATCAGCATCGCAATTCGCGATCTCAACGGATTCCTTGAGTTAGTTTTTTTAGCTTAAACATCTTAAATTTGGTTTTAGTTTGTCTGTTGCAGAATCAGGCGAGCCTGATTGATTAACCCTACGGGCCGGATTTGCCCATGTCAGCATGCGCCTCACTGTTTTGTGTACCCCCTGCTTTTGAATAATCGCAATCACTCTGTGTTTTATCAGTTTCCAGATTTTGAAGAGTTATATTGCAAGTTTTCATTCATCCATGGTCAAGACTGGGCAGTGACTGCAGGACTAGAAGAAGGTATCTCACAAATCACAAGAAAAAGTCGAGACGAGAGACAACTATTTGTGTGGAACTTCCCACTTGATATCACATATAAAAGTACAAACCCATTTGGATGTGAGTTTGCTTATAAATCAATTTAAATAGATGGCAGTTAAGTTCTGAAGTTGTGCTAACCATATTTATATTTGGAAATAAGATGGGATTCCGTCAGTACAGTCCAGGCATTCCACAATTTTTCATTCAAATCCGAAAGTCTGTATTGGTATATGTATTGTTCCAAATATAATTAAATACATATTAAGTTTACCATTATCATTAACCTTTTCACAATTCAAAGATCGTTTTGTTTTGCCATTCATTAGGTTTGCTTTTATTTATAGTTTATAGAATTCAGACAAACTATCGCACAGGGGTTCCTCTAACCTCTGGAATGTTTCATTCAGGTTCTGCTAAGGTTTAAAGTTTTGAAAACCTTACAATTGAAATAATGAGTCAAACAAAATGCTTTCTGTGAATAGCATAATCTCCTCCATGACATTATTTATAGGGGAGAGAAAAGAAAAGCCAATAAGACTGCTCAATCATATGGCCAACCACAACCTCTCATATAGTTAACCAGTCCATGTCGGTCCATTTGAAGCAACCGACCAGTGGTTACGTGTACCATCCTACGTGAGGAGGAGTCCAGTGATCCTCTCACATATAACTATCCCCGTATAGGATTCGAACTCACACAGGGTAATCAGAGGTGAAGTCCAAATGTGTAATTTGTCATGCTAACACAGATACGTCCATTGCTTTAATAATAACCTTCGCGTTTCCTTAAACACCATCTTCTTCATTCTATCATTTAACAGGGCCTCAATTAGTCGTTAGCTGTTATGGTCCAGATGCATTTGGTCAGGATGTCGTCAGAGGATATGGAGCCACACATGTGCCCATAGCACCTGGAAAACACTCAAGGATTATACCGATGTTCGTGCCCGAATCGTCATCAAAGTTACAAAAATTTACAAGGTTTGTTTTCATCTTATAATGACACAAATGTGACCAACATTCGTCAGATTTCTGACTTCACTTTGTTGCGATTATGAGTCAAGGTTAAACAAGACTCACTGTCCCTCATGCCTTTGTGGATTTGTATCGTATGATGCAAGGATGCTGTAGCGGTAATAAAAATGACCTTACTATGTAGAGTCCTGCTGCATACTCAAGTCTCAAATGTATTTTTATATTTTTACAGTTTGCTTTTTATATCATAAATTATATCCACTTTGTGCGAGACAGAAGAATGAATGCATTCCTATTCTTCAACGAGAAATTTTGTTTTGAATTGTTATCTTGTTTTTAAATTATTCCTTTTCATCCATCAGTTGGTTCCTTGGCCGACGTCCTGAATTTGTTGATCCCAAGGTCGTAGCGCAAGGTGAAGGGCGTGATGTCACAAGAGTTCGAACACAAGGTCATATAAAGGTCAGTCAACTATAGCTGTTTCACATATATAAAGTTGTTATTTTACACATCATGTGAATCATTGTTGTTAGAAAGAAAAATCTCTGTTTTCCTAGACCAGTGGTGTAGACCAACTTTTTAAGCCCTCTTTATAAAATGTGTCAAATCTCGTGCTCCACCTCAAAAATAACTAGCTAACAATAAGCTACGAATAACAGATAGTAAGGAAAGTATGTTTTATTTCATAAATTATTTTTTAACACGTTGAAAATATAGATGGAGCGTAAATATCCAAAATAAGGCGGGCAAGATCAAATCTAACAAATATTTTTGTTTTAAATTAGCTTCACACCCTCTTAAAAAATTGTCTACGCCCCCCTTGTGGGGCGCACCCCACTTTTTAAGAGCAACTGTACTAGACTATTTATTGACAAACACTTTTTAACAGTATTGAATTACTGTTTTTTTAAAAGTTGCTTTTTTAACGTTGCCATGATGAAAAATTTTACCTTAATTTTGCGTAAGTTTTTTAATACCCTGTAGATTATAGAATAATGCTATATTTCACTCAACATTTTTGCTGTGGTATTTTAATTTGGAGGTTACACTTATTATTTTGTATTACTCAACCATCTCATGGCTTATTTGCTGATCTCTTCAGCACAATTGGTACAGTCAGGCAACACCATACTGGTACCAATGTGTGGCTTTCGTGTCCATGTATGTGAGGATTGCTGTCTTATATGTTGTTGCTAGAGAAATTTACAAATATACTAACTATTTTTAGAAAAAGATTATGCTATTCTTGTTTATAATTACGATGCATTCATAGACTTCCTGGCAACTGCCGAATGCAAATCGAAAGTTATCAATTATTTTTTCTCAGAATTCACTTGTCTTTTTCGGTACATAGAATTTTACTTTTGTACTGTGTGTGTGTGTACCAAGTTAGGCCATGATTTGATTCCGATTTCCCTTATTTTAGTTCTATTATGAGATCAGGGACTGTCTGTGTTAGCCAAGTGAATAGTGAATATACCCCCTGCCCATAAGTTCCAGTCCCTTTACAAAACTTATGTAAAATAGACGAACAAGATTAGTTACCTCTATATTTACACATACTCCTGGAGCGCCTCTACTTCAATAAGTTTAGCTATCAATAACACACTTTTACCGTTTTTAAGCTACATTTTCAATTTCTTCAGGTTACATTCAATGTTGTAACGAGAGACATGAAAAAGATGGGATATGATGTCACGCCTGGTGAACCACTCGGATTTGATGCCACACAATCTCAGCCTGGTGCCGTTGCCACAATGCTATCGTGACATTCCAAAATAAGATACTTTGATTGCTGCTTATAACCACTGTGGCTGCTAGTTCAGGAATGTTTAAAATTTGGCAGAGTTAAATATAATTATGTCTGGTGGATATTTTTTGAATATTGTTTAACAAAAAAAATCTTCATATACACCGTAATATTCAAATGCATCTGAAGCTTTGCTTCATTCTATAGGATGTCCATACATAAAGTCCTAAAACTAAGGGAATTTATCGATACCATATATTGTTTTGGCCCTCGCAGATGTATTAAATGAAGTAAAAATACTTAAACAATTACTGATTAAAAACAACAAACCTAGCTAAGATATATTGAGAATTGACTTCATAACAAAATTGAAACTGTAAAAGGGACTTTATGGGCACCCTGTATTTTATAAACTCTTTGTACACTTTGTTTATAAAATAATTTAATAATAAGCAATCGATATCAGAATAATACCTTAAGAAAACCAGGTACAAATATCCAATGGGTTGCACAAGCCATTTTTTTTCCAAATTCGTAATTTTCTTAAATCTCATCTTAATAAATTATTTGGTGTCCAGCATTGCACTTTGATATTCAACCAAAAACTTGTCGATTTAACGTGAAGTCGTTTCAGCTCAAATTATGAAAGAATGACTTATTTTAGGTTACAGAATGATCGTTTTTTTGCGTGGATCATTTCCAACAAACAAAAATATGATGCTATTTACCTTGAATATGGATTATTTCAGGTTACAAAAAATGAATATATTTTTGTTAACTAGTTCTCTGCACTTTCTCACGGCCGAAATTGTGTCTACATCTACCTTATTATTAAATAAATACTTGCTTCTGAGTTGGTGACTTGACTTCGCAGTCCTTGGTGAATTTGTCAATTTGATATCCTGGCCTTTTGGGGTGCTTTTATTGTTTCAACCTTTTCATATAATGTAGATGATTTTTTACTATTTATATACCGAATAGATATATTATTCTTGTATGCATTGTGTTTTCTTGATTCTGAAATCCGCTACGTGCACAAATGAGCAGTTGATGATATAATTGGTAATAAATTTACTTAATAATAGCAACACATAGAAAAGTGAATATTCTGGAAATATGATATAACCTCAAATGACGTTTAAACTGTATTGAGCGCTTCCACCTGCTGCATGTGGAACAATTGTTGAATGATTAACAAATTGGACTGGTAGTGGGACGAGAGGATGGAGTTTGTAATTTTTTTTAAGACAGGTAAACCGGTCGGATGGCCCATGTTGGGTGATACAATTCATCATTCCGATAACTCAATATCACACAATACAGAATCGAGAATATCGGTCAGAGACCGGAGACTTATCCCATTGTGTCCCATAATCAATAGGCTTCTGGCCCGAGAAATGATCAATCTCGATTTCATGAGATATCGCGTGCATCTAACAGACATACATACAGATAGACAAATACCTATCAACATACTTACCGATTAAAATCGATAAGTAATAATCAACACAAAATAGAGATTCCTGAAGTGAGTTTAAAACGTGAAAAATTGGTACGTCAGTAACAAGAAATAAGTTCGACTTCTTGATCAGAATAACTGACTTTCAAAAACTGCTAAATGTATAATTAACAACTCAAGTTTAAAAAATAGGATTTCTACATATCCACAAATCTTAACGTGTTTCGTAGGATTTATTGTAAAAACATATTCATTTGCGATTTAAACCCTGCCTCCTTCTTTCCACGCCAGAACCCGGAACATGGACGTGCCATAAACTTACTTTTGTCGTTGCGCCGTATCTCTCTGTCCTTTTTATGAAACGATAGTTTTTAATTGTATATTTTCTCTATTTCATGTCTGTTGTGCTGCTTTAGCGCAGCAGTCCTAAACTGCTGCCATACTTGTAAAGAGCACATGTCGCACAATTGTGTCCCAAGCCAGTAAGTGAGGTCTCGTATCCCGTTTCTGATATACTGTTTAATTATTATGCACATACTGTTACATTTTCGAGGCAGATAAACATACATACATTGGTGTTCATTTATCTAAAATATACACGCACAGACAGATACAACCACAGAGATGAGGTAAGCGCATTTTTTCAGAATTGGGGCAGCATACATTTTCGTATTTGGGCGATTTGATTACAAAAATATAGCATACACATAGAGCATACATACATTTATTGATCAATCACATAATAGGTTTGGAAGCGTGGACTGCCATGAGAATAGGCAACCTGTTTCCACTTTCTCACATACATTGTTAATTTTCTCGTGATTTACGTTTGTTAGGAAATGAAATTTCACTCTGAACAGTCAAGTTCTTCTGTAATCACCACATAGAAACCGCAACCACAATGTTTTTTGTTTCTGTTTTCTAGTTTGTCTAAAGTATTGCCATGATCTTCTTTTGATCATTGTCTCACATTTTAAAAATGATTTAAAAGGTATTGCCCGATTTTACGTCGTGTCTTTATTTTATTGTGTTCTTTTGACTGTTTTTGGTGGACGGGCACGTACTTGTACGTTTTTAACTTTTTTTATTAAGTTATGCCCGTCCTCCAGGTCATCTGCATTTTGTTTGTCCGTTTGTTGTTGTTTTGTTTATTCCAGAGTAAACAAAATAAATTGATTGATTATTTGTTTATGGGGCATGTACAGGCTGAGCTTTGTCGTGTTCGATTCCGTATCGAATTATACGGAGATACTCCACCAATATTTAAATGCATCTACCGAATAGTTTCCCAACCTTTTCTGTAACATGGACCCTTTTCTTCGAACGACTGAGTAGCGGATCACTTTGAATAGCCAAAAATCAATTCGTTCATTCTCTAATTTATTGTTAAATAGAACCAACGACCAACATACCGATAGAACCAAGTTTATGGTTCCGAAAATAAATACCTGGCTGACTAATCTCACGAGAGGCCGTGGGTAGCCATATGATTCAGCCGTGTTATCGGCCTTCTGCCTAGCATGACCAAGACAAAGGGATTCTGGTCGTTTCAAGAACAGTAGCTCCTTGCATCAGTGCCTGCATTTCCAGGGTCATGTTCAGATCGAAAGCCTAAAAGAGTAAGAAAAAAAATAGAGAATCACTTTTTGTTATAATTATTTATTTATCTTAACAAAGTCAGTAAGCTATTGTCGCAGTAAAATTATTATCGCAGAATTCAAGAAAACGTAGGCAAAATAGCTCATTTTCAGTACATGATGTCGTCATAAACAACGAAATGTCAGCTGCCGGTAATAAGTCAACACCATCTTTGTAGTATTCAGTGCCGATTTAATTGATCGAGTTTACTGACCCTAATGACGTCTAGTTTCATTCTGCTATTTTGAAGGCATTTTATGGCCAAAACGCTCATTGACGCCCAAAATTTTTTTGTGTAACCAATGACATTAAACAACATGATAGGCAACTCTGACGTCACTCCATAAGACTACATGCGAAAGATTGTATTTCATGATATGCTCCAATGCACATATTTCTCGTCGCCTTTCGCGACCGTTTTCCGCTCGCTTTTGCTACCCGGCGTCTTCTTTACGTGTAGTGCCTGCCTTTTTGCGCCTGTAACAAAAGAAAATAATCTCTATATCTAAGAAGTTTTGCTCGCTTGGAATGGCAGACAAGCTGTAAAGAGTAATTCTGGACATCATAGACGTTTTTTTTTATCAGAGAAGATTACAAACGCGATAGCGTAAAGATTTTGTGGAACATTTTGCAGATAATGACAAAGTTAAAAGTTAGTAATTTTAATGTTTGCGCTTAAACATTAAAATTTCATTTAAAGAGAGTGTCATACAAAACAGCAAAACTGTTTTTGCTTCTCTTAACGGTGCTGTGATACAATTCCATAACACTAGTTTGCACCTATCGAACTTGCTTTAGTAGGTTAATTTATTAGACATAATTACATATTTAGTTAACCGTAGGTAACATTGCTGGTACATAATGCCTCGTAGATAGGTTTGTGTCTAAATGTAGGAATTTAGTTCATAGCCCACTAATTAATAGCTTCTATGCGGGAGGTTGCAGGGCTGATTCAACTTGCACCCTTACCGATCATCTGACGATGCTCATTTAGTTTGGCTCGAGTAAGTCTTCTTGAAAGACTTGTATGAATGGAAACTACCTATATGTTTTGCCTTCCTCCGATTTTAGAAGACAAATTTATTCTGAGGGATTTGGCATATAATTCTCATTGAATGTTGGCTGTTTATGATTCCTATTAATTGTGAATTCTGATTATAACAAAGAGTTTTACGGGCACCTTTTTCTTGTCAATACTCCAAGCTGAGGTAATAAACAAGACAATACTGTACATTTATGTCTTCTGGAAGCAAAATATGCACACTAATTAAAAGTTTGGCCGTAAATATATACTACTACGACCATCACATGGTAATTAAAATTAAAAAAAAATTAATAGGGGCTGTGGAGTATGAAAAGTTCAAGACAAAGAAAAGAACAAAAGTTCATAGCTCACGAACTCTCAATTTTGCCTCCATTGCTTTGTGAAGGCCAATATATTCCGAATGGCTGAATTGGTTTACCTTTATGATAGCAACGATTTTGTATTTATGTAGCGAAATTTTTTTCAATTTAATTGAAGTGATATTATTTCCCAAAGCAATGCTTGAATTGTCTAGAAAAGATCAGTGGTGTCAAACGCATGGGTTTTCGAGAGCCGCATTGCATTTTGGAAATTGTAAAAAGGGCCGAAAACACTTTTTGATAATGTATACTTGAAAGATATGTTTTTCAGATAGTTTTAGTTTGTGACATATATTGTGATGCAACTGAACAGTTGATTAAGTTTTATTATTTTCTTTAATTTCAAATGCAATTACATATTAATATTTGCATTCCACTATTATTGCAAGTTACTGTATTTATTACAAAAAATCATAAAATTCTTTATACAACCATCAAAATCATTTTTGAACAAGCTTTGGATAAGGAAAGAATAATACATACACTAAAAATGACTTAATCTAAATATATGGACTTAAAATTAACAAAAATATTACAGTATAAACTCAATGTTTTTTTAATTACATTTGTCCTGACGTTTGGCATCTCTTTGTGTCACCAGCATACTAAGGCCAGGCTGAAATGATTTTATGGTACCAACTCTAACTAACGAGGTCACATGATCATGGGTTAATCTGGAACTTTGCGAATGTTTAATTAATTCCAGTAATGCAAAAAAGTTACTTTTATCATTTCATGAATAGATCAGTAGAAAAACAAATGACAGATATTTTCGACAAGACATTTCGCGCCTCATTGCATAGCATAGGGTTGCTTGAATTATTATTGATATTGATTTTTAGTAACTAAGTCGTTGTATATTTATATTAATATACAAACACATGGAAATTTTCTGTTCGAAGTTGGTCTTCGAAATTGTCATATTGACTGCTGAGCTTATTGTGTTTTTCATTGTACTGATGGAAATATGACAAATTAAACAATGTGCTTCAAAATTTTGTGAAATGCAGAAATATTGCAACTCCCATTTTCTTCGAAAATGCCACCTTCTTCATGTACTTTGCGTTTAATTTATTCACTCAAGTGTTTTATTCAAGTATTCTTTTGCTAGCTTGATGTGTATTCTTAATTGGGTCAAAATGTGAACAAAAAAAAATTAATTTCCAAAACTACTTTCAGTAAATTGCTTTCTGTGTGAATATTCAATTTCACTTTAAAAAGGTTGAAAAATCTATTACACTTAGATAAAAAAAAACTCCAAAATACTATTACAATTATTGTTAAGCGTTCGAGGGCCTCACTGGAAGTTCTCTGAGGCCGCGAGTTTGATATCCCTGGTCTAGATTGAAGTTGTCCAAAATATATAACAGTATTTTATCATGAATCATGATTATACCCTTTCCTGAATTTCTTCTTTAGTACTACCAAAAGTTGATGAATCAAATATAACACAGGTGTAGTGAGTGACCCATAATCCTCATTTTCCAAAGCTGTTTTAAGTATGTCTGGCATGTTTTGTGCCTTTTTACAAAGAAGACCGCTTATGCAATCTTACGCTTCGGAATTTTTAGTTATTTTCCTCAAGCCCTGCGGGATGTAGGGGCCATACACAACTCTACCGGAGGTACAAATGTCTTTGCATGCCTCCATAGGTTGTTCTTCTATTGCAAACATTTATGGAGTATTCTGATTGTATTTCTTGGAATCACACTGTCACTGATATGTCGCCAGACTTCTGAAATATCCCCTTCTGCTACAGTTGTCCTGTGAATAAATATTAGGAAATTGAGGTTGGACGAATAGTTAAAAGTTTTGCTTTATGTCGGCTTAATTTCTTGATTGATATACCTACTATTTTTGGTATTGCCTCTTATGCTGTAGGAGTCCCACAATGCTTAAACAGGTTTTTCCAAAACTTTCACATCTGAAGAAAGAGAGGAGATTCAATAATTTTCGTTAAGAATAAATAAAGCAGTCTATATGATTTAGATTGGAAAAGCTAATAAATCCAATATCTCATGTTTTATGTAAAAAATGTTTTACTGAATTTGGTATATAAACCAACTAATAAAGGGGTTTAGTCAGAAAATTACAAGCATCGGTGGCTCCAAATACTTGAGAGATCAGACTATACAATATAGACCGGTATGAGTGAAATGTTAGGTGAACTTGTTAACCCTTTGATTCAATACGCAAATAAAAGTGAATGAGCAATAGTATGTTACAGCAATGAGTATATATCCTCACTGATTAAAAAAAATCGAAATGGAGGCGTATGAACTATTTGAAACCATAAGGGGTAAGTAAATAAGCAATTTCGGCAAATGGGCAACTACGTACTGTACTGATTTAATAACATCGTAGTATTTGACAAAAGCTGGCTTTCCCACATGTACTTAACAGTGCGATGCCCGAGTGTGATATACAACAATAGTAATTACCTTACTTTTTTCCGATTTCTTTTTACCTTCAATTTCCAATATATCATTAAAATCGACAACAACTGTCAAAGCAGGCACGAACGCCATTCGTGCTATGCCTTGAGTGCAGCACACATTCGCTCGTTTTCGTCTCGTCAAGTATGTGCATTGGAGCGTGCTATCGAATACGATCTTCGGCCAAAAATGCCGGAGTTGCGCATCATGTTGTTTAATGTCATTGGTGTAACTCGGTTTGGAAGTCGGAATGCCGCATCGTACTGTAAATCCCACAGACAGACCATGACGAACGTGGCCATCCAACTATTTATTTACACAATTTTATCGATGTTCATGGTACTTGACAGTGACTAATGTCGACTGCGCGAGGGTTGACTCTATACTGATAGAAAGGCGTTATGTTTTTTAATGGGGATTCCTGGTTTCCGTCAGGCGAGAGAGAATTATTAACACTGCCAAATATCATAGGCGGTGGAGTTATTCTGACTATTATTGTATGGGTGCGATTTTTTAAACGCGGGCCCGTGTGCAATAGCAAGAAAGACCTAACGGGAAAAACAGTGCTTGTGACCGGTGGTAACCGTGGGATCGGAAAAGGCATCGCTATCGGCCTTGCGAAATGTAACGCAAGAGTTATTATTTGTTGCCGAAATAATGACAGAGGTTGTGAAGCAGTGAAAGAAATACGGCACGAAACTGGAAATGATCAAGTGCATTCTATGAAACTTGATTTGGCAGATTTTGAAAGTATCAGAGAGTTTGCTGAGGAGTTTTTGAAATCTGAAAGTAATTTGCATATTTTGGTGAATAATGCTGCAATTATTCTAGAAGGAAAAACTAAAAATGGGCTTGATTTGATGTTTGGTACAAATTATTTAGGACCGTTTCTGTTGACTCAATTATTGATGCCCATTTTGCGGAAAACTGCTAAAAAATCTCCTATTAGGATCGTGAATGTAGCATCAGAAGGGTACAAATTTGGAAAGATAAATTTTGACAACCTGAATCCAGATATCAATCGGAACTCAACTGGGCTTCAAATCTTTAAGCAATATGCTAACACAAAATTGATGAATGTGTATTTCACAAAAGAACTGGACAAAAGATTACGGTACGTCAAGAAGGTGGCACTTGCAATAATATTACTGTATACGCAGTCCACCCAGGAGCTATTCAAACCCACATTGGAGCTGATCAAGTTAATAAAGGAAGATTCTTTAGTTGGTTATTTAGAAAAATGTTTTTCGTGCTTTTCTGCCGTTCTTCTTTCTACGGATGCCAGACCCCGCTTTATTGCTGCTTAGAGGATGGACTTGAGGAGTCTTCAGGAAACTACTTTACCGAAATGAGGCAGCGCAAATTATATCCTGTAGCTACTGATGAAAAAATCTCTTCCGTATTGTGGCAGAAATCTATGGAGATGTGCCACTTGGAATAACAATGCAATTTATTGACGTAATACATTTCTAATCTACTGTCTAAGTAGAGAATTGATATATGTAAAGGACCCGGTGAGTCTGTTATACTTGTATCAAACATAAACATAATAAGCAGTTTAAGAGTGATTTACCTTTCGTAATTGTGCAAACAGATTTGCTCTTATCTTATCTATGCAATTTTGAAGCAGCTTCTTTCAATGTTTGTATACTCAGACTGTATTGTTTGTGCTGATTATTGTAATGTTATTGATATTCATCTACGATATACAATTTATTATTATAATTAAACCCAGAATGCAAAATATACTATGTTATATTGCTTGATTTGAAAGCCTATCAAGTGTAATCTATGATTTTGTATTATATATGCATTTTTGTGACGGTAGCTAACATTTTTGAGTGACCATTTGTTTTATCAAATCTTCATATTATTGATTCATTGTAATAGATTATTAGTATGAAAGTATATCAACTATTTTACCAAAAAATTTTTTAGTAATCTTTAACATAACCACTGCATATGTTTCTAAATTGTGTTTCATATTCTAAAGTAGTAAGATGTTTACTTTTTGTGATCCAATTATCTTCTCAAATCCAATACAAATTCCATTTGTAAAGTATTTTATAGGGAACATAACTTTTCTGCAAAGCGTCCCAGATTACTGTAACTTTTGAGTACAATCGTACACAAACAGTTGTTCGAGTGATAAATGAATAGTACTTAAAAAAATTGATGTGCATAACCACTGAATATGTTTAAAATTGTGTTTCATATTCTAAAGTAAGTTGTTTCATGAACAAAATATCCTTTCAAATCCAATTTTCAATATAAAGAGCACCCAGGCCCAGGTCATATATAACAATATTCTTAAGAAAACATACTGTATATCCTCACACATAGGCAGATTTCGCATACAGGCCGCCCCCCAAAAAACGACCCTTAAACGGTGAATTTTGTAAAAATCCACTTATAAGCCGACACCACAAAGCGTATGCTCTCATCGTAAGAACTTAGCTTAGTTCGAGTTGTAGCTGTTGGAATTAAGTTGGCATAATGTCATTCTGTTTGAGTGCGATCAGAGTTATGCGCGTATAAGTGAAACTTTTATTGCACTTAGAGTTGTGCGGGTATAAGCCGATTGACCCCTTGGTTTGGCAACTTTTTTTGAGTTTTGAATTTGGCTTATAGGCTTATATGATAACTTCTGTGCAAAGCGACCTAGATTATGGTACTTAAACTTTGGGACACAGTAATACATGAACAGTAGATCAAGTCTTGAGTAGATTTTCTTCATTTTTGTAGAAATACTTCAAAAAATTTTGGATTCTCTTTTTCTTGGGTCACCCTGTAATATACAGCGATTATCACTGTAGTTCATGGGCTCAATCACTGTATATCTGAACAATTCAAACCTTGCGGGCGTTACCCTCTCCTATCTCGGGAATATTCTTACAGTTCTAATTTTGGCCCACGGTCAATCAACTTTGGAAACCACTGTCTTAATTCAATGTAATTGAGTAATATCCGCACTGTTTTAAACTGAATTCTTGAATACTTTGTGCGCCTATGATTTCATCCGCTGGTTATTTTTTCAATCCAGAAGATCATTGATATAATGCATAATTAGAAGATAAAATAATTATATACTCTATGGTGACGTCAAGTGGATATACCTTAATATTATAAAATGTATTCGGAGTGGACGTCAGTTAAAACTGAAGTCCAAGATCTTGAAAAATGTACCAGTGTGCTTCATCATTATTTGCCGAGTGTTGGAAGAGATGTAGCAAAGTCTGTTGTTACCAGCTTGTTAGGTGGTAAGTGTTGTATTTCTGATTGTTATCATGTTTAATTAATTTAAGCTTGGTATTTCTTAGGATATGTTAATACTTCGATATTTGTCCCGGGAGAGAATAGTTGCCAGGCGAACCATAGCCTCTCATCTATTTAACAACACATGTTGTGTACGGCGCGGCGGTGTGGCTCAACGGGCTAAGCGTTAGGAATACGCTCGCCACCGCACCTCTAATTACTCTGCGTGGGTTCGCAGGTTCGAATCTCATGCGGGGATTGTTATGTGCGAGAGGATTGCTGGACTCCTCGCCGTCGTTGGGTGGTTCACGTAACCGCTGGTCGGTTACGGCTTCCTCCACCACCAAGTCCATGCTTCCGAAAACAAACAATATAACTAATCCCATACCCGACTTGGAATGATAACCGGACGAGAGGCCGTGGTTCGCCATATGGATAAGCCGTCTTATCGGCTTTCCTCTCCACCGGGATAAATATGTAAATCCTATCCTATGGTGTTACGGTAGTTAGCTCATGATTGTGGAGTCGTTATGATGAGGCATACTGCCGAGCCCTTCGATATGCTCGGTTGGCTCATCCAGTAATGAATATATAGATCTAACCTTGCTTGAATGCTCCACTGTATTGAGTTAAATTTTTATGTTTTTGTTTATTGCAACAGGTGGAGGTTCTAGCAATGGAAGTCGAACTCCTGATATTGGGAATATACCCAGATTCAGGCAAGATTCTGAGGTATGTAATGTTGGTATTATCACTATAGCACTATTCTGAGTGATATATTGTCAATGGGGCAGCAAAGATGGGTCTTATATATTGTGTGAAATGTCCATTATAGACTGTGCATTCAGTTGTGTTATAATAGTTTTTACATGTTAAAATGAGCTCGAACGTAAGGTACCGGTAACCTTACTTAATCCTTTTTTTCTGCTGTATACAATCGACTTTTTGTACCATTTTATAATATGTAATGACCAGTTAACCAAACGTACAAGGAACACCCCCAATATCTCTTTAAAAAGCTTATTTTCGCGTCTTCCTACTAAAACGCGCCCAAATGACGTAAGCGCAAACCGTTCGACCCTACGCCGGTAAGAAGAGAGAAATTTCAAAAAATATTGGGAGAACGTTCCACACTCTTATCGCTTCGATGAACACGTGTTACAAAGAAACGAAATTCCGAGCTCTCTTCTGAAAGAGCATTACGTCACCTTTGCAGAAAAACCAGACTCAGCTTCGCAAGCGAAGCGAAACGCGAAATAATCAATGATATGTGAGAGCATGTCCACGATAGTTGTCTGGAATCTTTGTTTGTTTATTATATGCGCGAAATTGTTTCCCGCTCGTTCAAATGACTTATTTTTGAAGTAAGGACAAATACTTTCGTGTATCTCTAAGCTTTGAAATACCTACACAAATAAAATTCACTTAGTAGTAAAATAAAAAATTTACAAAAAAAAATGTTGCCAGATCAAGCACGGATCATGGTTGGATGCCTAAAATGATTTTAGTTAGTGCGGAATACTTCACAAAACATGAACATAAACGTAAAATAGTCCGAAAATAACTATTATGACCAAGGATGGTAGTAGGAATTTATTCGTCATACGGAACAAAAGAGTTAAGATAAACAGAATCAAACGAAATAGATCAGAAATTGAATAGTAGAGCCAGTATAGCAGTGTTTTCCAAGCTTCGGCCCGCTGGTCGTAGATTTAATTTGGCCCGCCGAACTTAATCAAGTGAAATGGTTTAACGCTTTATAAAGTGTTAAATGCTTTTACCTTTTTTCGATCTAGATATCGTGTGAGCAAATGTATATGTAACTATTCAATTATACCAGTATCTTAATTATACGTACCGATGCCGGTATCAGTCCTATGCGGGCACTATTCTTTCTCGTTCGCGAATATCCTTCGGCTTTTAATATTCGCTCACGGTCAAGCAACTTTAGGAACTACTGCGTGAAATGAAGGGAAAAATACAGTCCCAAACCATACTTGTTGCTTGCCTTGCTCGAAGCAAAATACATATGAAAACAAACCAATATTAAACTTCTAACTTTGTTTCTTCAGGTTAAATGGACGATGGAAGTTGTGTGCTTCGGTTTGAGTCTCACTTTGATGGAACTTGACACTCTGAGAGAAAGTGTGAACGTGTATCTTGATTGGTTAACTGTGCTTACAGTTCCGAAAGCCACTGTTCCCGAACCAATTTTGAAAAATCCATTATCATATGTTCGGCAGATGATTTACCATTTGCAGAATCTGTTTATTCCAAGGTAAGAGGATTTATATTTTATATATTCATCCCAGGAGAAAGAAAAGCCGATTTGGCAATTTAATCATGGGGGCGAACCACGGCTTCTCGCCTGATTACCAGTCCATCCATTGGATTAGATGGTGGAGGAAGCTGTATCTGTCCAATGGCAACGTGAACCAACCACCCTGCGGTGGTGAGGAATCCAGCAATCCTCTTCCACAGGATTTAAACCTGCAAACCCATGCAGAGTGATCAGGGGTGCGAAGTGGGATGTAGTGCTAACGCTTGGTACAATGCACAGAGCCTAGGAGATTTGAAAGAAATATATATATTGTGAATTTCTAATGCTGTTTTAATTATTCTAGGAATACAATGATGAAAACATAGTATGAAAAAATGAACAATTTTAATTTTGTCAACAAACAGCCCAAAGTTTCCTATCCTGGTCTGAAGACACATCCCTAATCCTGTTTTATATTTTGCAAACATGGGTGGATGCCTTTCGGCAGTGCCTCACCCGTATATGTGAATTCCGTCCTTATCAAGGGGAGTGCTAACCTGCTCTCCTTTTCAAATACACAATATCCACCTATGCTTGATTCGCATATATAGACACTCATTTGATTTATACTACCATTTGTGGTAATAATTGAAATCATTTTTTTTTAACATGGCACTATTACAGTGTTTACAGCAAAAAGTACAACTCAATTTCAGTTTAGAACGGCTATAAACAATATTCAATAATAATAACTTATTCAAAGTACTGTTATCAGAATTTGTATCATATTACTTAGTATAGGATTTATATGAATTGGGGAAGGCACATTGTGCTAAGCGTTAGTGCGCTAAATAGGCTACACATTATCTTCTATGTTTTTGTTGAACAATTGAACGAAATTCGAAATTACTCAATTAACCTGTTTCAGACGCTCAATCGAGCCCAATTTTGAATACATTCTTATTAATGTCATACGACCCCCAAAATTTACCCAATATACAATAATTATATACCATTGGAAAGGTATTTTAGAGTACTATACGCTAGATGTCACTGGAGGACCGTAAACTAAAACACCTCTTTCAAGAGGTCTCTCGTAACGTCAAAAAATAACAAAAATATTTACACTCTCTCATTCTATCAGCTGTTGGACGTCTATCGCTATTGTAAAGCTGAAATGTGACTATACAGTTGACTGCACATTGGTTTTCTCTTTCATATGATACTAAACGCTTTTCCATAGCGCGCGTTGTTCAAACGTTTTGGAAATTTTCCGTTTGAGAAGTCACCACATCGAATCAGGCCAGGCTGAGCTTGATAGATCGATCGGTTGTTTGTTTGTGCTTTATCGCGTTGAAAGCTTTTGTGAGTCATAATAAAACATTTATTATGAATCATAAAAGCTTATAATCGTCAGACAAGGAGAATTTGCGAGATAAAACGCCTAACTTTTTTTCGGTGAGGCAGCTGCGATCAAACGACTCGATATTTTTATAACTTCCTGACGTTGTGAGATGTCCACTCTCCTATGTTATGTAGCATATAAAATGACCTTCAAAATAAGACCTTATCATACTAGCTTTTGTTATTGGTTTGCGCGCAACACCAAGGTTTATGGAATCATTTTCTTGTTGTGCGACGTTTTTATATCGCAGCGGGAAGTACACGCGTGATATGTAAGCGAAATTTTATCACTTCTAAATGTCATATAAGGTTCATTCTCATATCGTTGTGTGGGGAATAAGATTTCCTTTCAAGCAAGACCATAACAAACATTCCAGACCTCATGGTATACACACAGCATTGCAAAACGTCTGAAACGTCGCGCATGCGTCAAACCGGGAGGATTAGGTTAACTCTATCCGAAAATGTAATTTTAGATTTTTTTTTAAATAATTCAAAGTTGCAAATTAGATTTTGGCCATTGCTTATGATATTACAGATATGCATTGTAGTAAGCATTACATGTAAACATATTGTATGCTTAGTTATTAAATATTAAATTGAATCAGCAATTACTTTATATCTCATTTATGTGTTTGTACTGGTAATATTATTGATCTAGGAATTGTGATGAATTATTTATTTATTTGACATGGAGTAGATGAATGTTTTGCTAAATTCTTGCTGTGGTAAAGAAAAAATGCTTTTCTTTGGAACTAATAGATGTTTTAGACCTGTTGTCTACTTTTATTCATTGAGCTGTCTCGGACTAGCTCATTAGTTCTCAAATCGTGTAACGATTTAATATGGCCTGCCTGCCGAACTTGAGGGAAATAGTTTTACCTTTCAACACTTTATGATTTTTTCTCTTTGCGTTTCAGATACTGCCAATTGTTATATTGTTATAACAGTTTGAGCCTGGGTATATTCATTACAATTATACCAATATCTTTATTAATAATAGTATTGGCCCGTGAATATCCTTCCGCTTCTAATTTTGGCTTCCAGTCAATCAACCTTGGGTACTACTAGTCTAGTTCATCAAATCATGGATTATCACTTGGTGGAGCAAACAAACCAACACCGGGGCTCCCGAAGTATGCGAACCAAGATGGCGGACATCGGAATGCAATATGTGTACTAGGTTAGGGTTAGGCCTTGATTTTAGGTATAAATACTACGGGAGGCTCTTGGCTAGTCCTCGAACTGATAATAGGACTAAAATAAGGAAAATTGGAAAAAAATTATCGCCTAACCCTAACCTGTTACCCATGTTACGTTCCGATGTCCGCCATCTTGGTTCGCATACTTCGGGAGCACCCCAACACCAGATGTAAATTGGGAATGTCCAAAACGACTGACGGCTTTCATTCATTCGTCAAGGCTTTGTTAATGAAATTTTGTTTTCTTGAAATTTGCATCAAATTTTTTTTAAGAGGAAAACCTCTGTCCAACCAGAGTAAGAGCTGAGTCATTTTTTAAATGACTCATCCAAAACAAAGTAGCACAGCGCTTACAGCAGCGCCTTATTTTGAGTGAAAGATGTGCGTAAAAATGTCATTCGAAAAAGCTCATGCATCTGAAAACGGTATCTATCTAAACCTGATATATACAGCTAGCTAGGCTAGAGGTCGTTTTAGGATAGGATTTACATATTTATCCCGGGGGAGAGGAAAGTCGATGAGACGGCTTATCCATATGGCGAACCACGGCCTCTCGTCCGGTTACCATTCCAAGTCGGGTATGGGATTAGTTATATTGTTTGTTTCCAGAAGCATGGACTTGGTGGTGGAGGAAGCCGTAACCGACCAGCGGTTACGTGAACCACCCAACGACGGCGAGGAGTCCAGCAATCCTTTCCCACATACCATCCCTGCATGGGATTCGAACCCTCGAACCCATGCAGAGTAATTAGAAGTGCGGTGGCGAGCGTATTCGCCATATGATTAGGAAGTCTTATAGGCTTTCTCTCTCACAAAATGAATACGGTATATATTATATGCATCAAATATCCATATTATTTTTCAGAACCGACGGAGCTGTGTCAACCCAAGTTAGTTTATGTCAGAATGTGCTTCGAACAATTCAAAACGTTGTTCAGAATTCCATGTTATTAGACAGAGAGACCTGGGAGACAATTTTGATGTTCATGTTGAATGTTTGTGACAAACTTCTTGCTGCCCCTTCACAACCAAGTAAGTTTAGTAGGGCAATAGTAATATTGATATTGTATTATTTTGTTTTGTTAATTTTTGGCAACACTGCCTGTTTATTTTATTGTTATCGTTTCACGCTTCACTGATTTTGTATCAGCTTGCGTCTGCTGAGGATTGCAGTATTCCCATTGGTTATTTTATGAATCATCTTCAGTCGTAAAAAAACTCAACAAATGGGAAGTAGAAATACATGCAATTCATTTAAAATTATTACACAAATCCCCGTTGATTTACCTTGAATTAATGTAGTCACCTCGAATGGTATTGAAAGAAAGCTACTACTTGTTGTCCTCAGAGAACTGTTTCAGGCCCCTCAACGGTACAGTTCTAGAAACCCTAGTCTGGTATTTGAGGTATGGTACCGAACTATGTTGGCATTGCGGATTATTAAGATCCTCAGTTCAAACTACACACTGAACGCTCGACCCAGAAAGTAACATATTGAGTGCCGAACCAGTATAGAATTCATTTCTTCCAAAAGGAAGTAGTGACCCAGAGGGGGAGGTTTTGGGGGTCAAACGTTTCTGGATTTGGAAACCCACGTGTTTTGGCCAGACACACTAGCTGTTACGGTCCAACTTGAAAATTAAAAATTTCAGTCCCCCCTTTCCCTGGCTACGCCCCTGCCTCAGCGTTAAAACACCTGTTGCTATTGTATTATTTTGTTTTGTTAATTGCTGGCAACACTGCCTGTTCACTTCATTTTATTATTGTTATTTCACGCTTCACTGATTTTGTATCTGCTTTCTCTTGCTTCTTAGGATTAGGTTTAGTTAACATGTAGGCACAATGACCATGAGTAGTGGTGGTGAATTATCATTAAGTAGGGATGGTCGCTTGTACAAATCCTTGTTCTAAATGAAAGATATAAAAATTAAATTGCGCAGTAGCGTAGCCAGGGGGAGCTTTTTGAGTTCGGATCCCCATATTTTTCTGTATCAAACATAGCAATTTTTCATAGCTTGAAACGTTTTCTAGACTCAAAAACCATGTTTTCTGACCGGACACACTGGTTGTTACGGTCCAAGTTGGCAATTAAAAGTTTTAGACTTTCGAAAATTCCCTGCTACGCCTCTGTCTCAGCATTGATAGGATAGGATAAGATTTACATATTTATCCCGGGGGAGAGGAAAGCCGATAAGACGGCTTATCCATATGGCGAACCACGGCCTCTCGTCCGGTTACCATTCCAAGTCGGGTATGGGATTAGTTATATTGTTTGTTTTCAGAAGCATGGACTTGGTGGTGGAGGAAGCCGTAACCGACCAGCGGTTACGTGAACCACCCAACGACGGCGAGGAGTCCAGCAATCCTCGAATGCCTTTCAAAAAATTAAATTTTTTTTTCCTTACAGATGGGCTAGCTGAACAGCTTTGTGAACTTCTAATGCAAACATTTATGCAAGTGTGGCTTCTATCTTGTGCCAGGTCGTTCCCTTCCCCTCCACTATGGAAGACTGCTAGGTTATTATTTGCTGGATGGAGGCATCATCCACCTGTCGTGGAGTATTGGTGTAAAATTACTGCTGCATTAACTGCAAGGTTTGTGTTAGTTATCTTTGTTTCAGAGGTTGAAGGTCGTGATACAAAGATTTGAATCAATTTAAAATTAACTTTATTCGATTTTATGAATTATTTAGAATAATTTCTTTCGATGAAATATTATTGATTACTCACAATATCACCAGAAAGGCCCTAAATTTCTTAAAATCATGAAATACCAAAATAAACCAATGAAATCATTCTTTATCTGCGACTTCCCTGTATTTCCACATTCAAACCCATTTAGTATACACTGACTTCTTGTGTTCCTTGGTATAAATTAGGATTCCCAAGCTTTTAAGATTGAGACCCCTTCCAATACACTGAGAATTTCCGCGACCCTTGTTGTCGGCATTGCTATGCAAGCGTGCTGCTTCTGGAATCTTTCGATCAAAGTCGGCTTAGTGTTGCAAGCGAGCCACTTCTCTAATCCTAGATGTATTCTCTCGAAATCATGAGATTTAGGTTTTGCAATAGTTTTAATAATTTCGTTTGAATAAAACATCTAAAAAAGTATAATAGATATATTACTCTGTGTGAAATTGGTGTACTTTTTGCAACCCCTAAAATTCGTTGTGTGTCTCTCTGTGGGGTTGTGACTCCCAGTTTGGGAAGACCTGGTATGAAGTATATTTAAGATTCGAAGTTATTGGATCCCAGCTCTAGGTGACTCTCATTCTGTCTGTTTGTTGTCTGTCTGTGTGTTTAGCCGTAGCTTCTAAAGTTCCGGGCCGATCTGGTTGAAATTTCTCATGTGGATTATGCTGCCACTTCAGTATTGGTTTTTCACTGAAAAATAGACTTGTTTAGAAAGAGTGGGCGCAGTAGTATATCAGTTAGAGTATTGGACTTGCTATATTAGCATGTATGTTAAAAATACCTAGCAGAACTTTGCAATACCAATCTAACCCTTTCTTTGAGTTTATCTACTGAGATTTAATCTTTTCTCTGATTTTGAATGTTTTCTGTTTTAGGGTGGTTGAAGTCACCCACGGACCTTCCTATCCAAAGCTGAAGATCCCGGATGAAGACTTGAAATATCTTCCAAATGATTTATCAAACGAGGTTATGACTCAGACCTGGTACAGGATGCTGCATATGATTAAGTAATTCTTGTTATTGTATAACAGAAAACATCAAATTTCTTGGTTGTTTGGAAGCGCTGGGAATGTTTGATCAGTTTACATACATTTCACTCTTCAGGCTTTTCTGATCACTAGGTTGCGTAATGCTTGTTTAAGTTGTGACTTAGACTTCGAGTTGCCGTGGGAGTTGTTCAACAAAATTAATAATTTACAAATACACAATTATTTGTAGATTTATTCTACACAGTGACAACATAATATCAGGTAACCTGCGGCTCCAGTACAACTCTAACTATGCGTTAATGTCCTACATTTATCTATATATCATTATTTTTGATAAACAACTCTAAAGTGAAATGTAAAACAAGATCATAACTCAAACGCCTTGTGGTCGAAAATGTGTGCAGGACGAAACGTATTAAGGGCTAAAAGTCTCTCTACTGTCTTGTCAGTCCTGTATTGAATGGTGTGACAAAAGAAAGGATTTTTTTTTCCCATATTTTTTCTAGAAGCCACAAAAAGGACGAGTGTATGGCTTAATCATTTCATGGTAAATTTAGTCTTCCATCTATTCACCAGTCGAGATTAAGTATGGAAATAGCTAATCAGTTAATTGTTTTGTAGGCTTAATGATTAATAACACTATTCTTTTTAAAAATACCACCAGAATACTGATTCTAAACCAGGCGCCATGGCCAACTGCTGTGCCCCAGACACATTCCCAGGTAGCACATAAATCTATCAAAAATGACTATCGTTCTTACTCATCGATCTTAAGATCGGTAAGTATGTTGATAGGTATTTGTCTGTATGTCTGTTGGATGCACGCGATATCTCACGAAATCTGCTCCAGATTTCGCATGTGCATTCATCATATCTCGGACCAGAAGCCTATTGATTTTGGGCGAATTTTGTCGTATAATTAGCAAGTTATTAATTAATTAGTGATGGGACACACGGTGTCACTATGGAGTAAGACCACTGTTTTGGGGGATCCCCTAACCTTCGATCGATAAGTCTTCGGTTTCTGACCTATATTCTAGTTGATAGATTAGTTAAATTTTATTGTGGTAGTAATGAATAATGATGCAGTGTCAATTTTTATGGAAATTATTTGTTTGCCCTTTGCATGAAAAAGTTGATAAGCCTCAGAATTTTTGTGCAACGAAAGTGGGCGCACAAGAAATGATCGAAAAGCAATGAACTAGACACTCATTATAAACTTTTATTTACAGTAACCCTGTTGACCTGAGCAATGCCAACTTGATCAGTAAATACCAAGGATTCTTTGAAACAGCTTTTACGAGAGACAATCTGCAGGAACCCGCTCAGCATCCTAGTCTTGCGATGCTGCCAACCATATTCTTGAGAGCTTTACGGGGAATCTCCACCCATGTTGACGCTTTTCTTGGTAAGTTATTCTTGAGTGATGCAATAACTAACTAGCTGACAATAAGGTACAAATAACAGATAGTAAAGCGACAGTATGTTTTATTCAAAAAACACGTTGAAAATACGTGGATGGAACGTAAGCATTTGAAATGTAAATACCATTGAGTGATGATACCACATACTATAAAACGGGGGAATGGTCATGTTTATTAAAGGGTGTGGTATGCACACTTAGAGCGTTATACTAAGTGTGTTGGTATTGCAGATGACACATCTCAGGCGCAACGAAGATGATAAAATTTAACCACTTTTTTATTTTATATGATGCTTACTTTTTGCTCTGTACAAAGCCTTGTATGAGCAGCGAACGATTGCTATTTGAATAAATAGACCTCTTTTTTATTGCTACAGCATCTAAAGATTATATAATACATGCTCAAACACAAATTCATAAAAGTGGGATAGGTGGCAATTTAGCCATTTAACCCCAACTGAACATTACTTTTCTTTATATTCTCTGTGATTGTATGTCGATTAATGCAAATTCCTCTTTTGATTCAATTTAGAATTTGACATTTCATATTCAAATATTTTTTTGCTCCACCAGGTATTTCTGGGCAAAAAAGAAGTGAAATAACTTACCCAAATGTTTTGACGAAAATCTCAAATCCTGAAACTCCAACTATCATGAGAAAAGCAGGAAAAAGCGCAAGCAGAAAGGTAATAATTCCGTTTTTAGCAAAAGTCATAAAAACGATCACACAAAACTTTTAAAAAGGGCTATGATTACGAATTAATGCAAAAATTAAAAATTTTACACAAAATCGAAAATCTTGAATATACCCTACAAAATAGAATTCATTTTGCATTCCACCCTTGCTTGTGTCCCACACATTGCTGTCCTCTGTTCTATAGTTTCTCTGAATGTTTCAGTATGCCGTGCCACACCCTTGTTACCATTGTGTTAATCGGTTATTATTGTTAATTATTTGTGTGAAGTTTGAAAGGCTATAAATAAATATAATTTTTTTTTTTTTTCACTTGCCAGAAAATTAATTTTGACTTTTCAATTCACAGCAAGGGCCGTCAACCTCATCTTTGCAAAGCAAATCGTCATCCAGCAATGTCTCTCATAAATATAACACAAGCCCAGGAAATGTCAGCCAAAGTCCAGGTAGATATCACTTCTATTTCAATATATAACCATAGTATAGCACAGAGCTTCACAAACTGGGGGTCCCGACCCCATAATGGGTTGCGAATGGACCCAATGGAAGTTGCGTTAAAATCTTAGCCTGTCAAAAAGTATATGCATTGTCAACTTCGATTTTACCGTAGGATTTAAACATTTTACTGGGCTCCTAGTTGCTCCTTTTTCTGTGCTTGCCAAAATACACTACAATTCACAAGTATAAATACTGTAATGTTTATTGATTTTCTATTCTCAGAATCAAGAGAACCACGAGTTTCAATCATACCACAATGCCATTCGTTTTATTCACATTTGCTTCATTGTGATAATATTCTTCAAGCTCAATCTTTAGTCCTTGGATTTTTGATGCTTTTGATGCAAAATTTATGCTATGTGCGATTTCAGAATGTATTCAGAATTCCAGATTCGAAAATATTTTTTTAGAATGTATTCGGAATAGTCCAGTATTCAACTATGGCCATCCCTGAGTACCATTGCCCTAGTAGAAATGTAGAAATCCCTTACTATCTAAAACATATAGTGACGCCCTTATTGCAATGGTAATATTGAATTCGTTTACAATTCTAGGTGCAGCAAGTTCATCCGTAGACATGCATCCGAGACCAGCAAAAGACCGTCCTCACGTAAACAGCGTCCTAAACTTGTATGGACAATGGTTATTTGACGCCGCTCTTGCTGGAGTCAAGTTAGAGTCCTTGCAAAATACAAGAGAAAGAGGAGGTAAATGGCTTGTTTTTATAGAAAATGAAATAGAGATATTTATGCAATATTTTTCAATGGCCGGCGGTTAATACATTAAACTGTAGTGATTTGGCATTACAGGTTACATGTCAGGTTCAAATCCTGTATCCCCAACCTCACGCAGGGTGTCCATAAAGTCAGTTTACAATTTTAATTTTGTTATGAAATCAGTTCTTAATATATCTTAACCAGATATGTTGTTTTTTAATCAGTAATTGTATTTTTACTTCATTTAATACATCTGTGAAAGCCAAAACAATATATGGTATTAATAAATTCCTTTTGTAATTGTAAGACTTAATGGACACCCTAATGTATTGGCTTGGCAATGCTGAGACTGAAAGAACCCAGCCCTTCCAAAAATAGTAGCCTCTTACATGTCTTTAGATATTAGTGCAGCTTGTACAGAGTCTGTTTTGAGCAAAAGGCGTGAATGAGCATTTTATAAAAAAGATATTGAGAGATAATGCATAACCAATTATTCACAATTCACCTATAAGCCGAATGTTGACTTTAAAAAAGAAGATTTTAAAATAAGTTGAAGGGGTCGCTGAGCTGTTCACGGTTTTTTTTTTTTTTGAGTGCAATTCATTCCAAATTTATCAATTACGCCCTATGTAATACTTTTCAGTGGTTTTCCCATGATTTCACTCAGAGATAAGTCCTATTTACCTCTGAGTGATTAAGTTTAACCTTGTGACCTTGATTCGAGCAAGTTTTATTAGAATGATTCTTCATCACTTCAGCCATACAAGAAAAATCTTTAAAAAAAGTTTTGTTTTAATGTGCTTTGACCAAATTTCATGCAAAAATAAATTTGTCGTAACTTTTTATGTTTGATATTTTCTTCCGAATTAATTGCTTCCATTGGTAAAAACTTAATCCCGATCTGTTTCAAACTTTTTCAAAGAACCACCGAAACGGATTTACTTTTCTGTCCGGAGGTCTGAAAGAGTCCGCAGTGCCGATTTGTCGGAGTCTGGCACTTATTTGATGCCTTCTATAGTGGAAAGAAGTCGTCGGTTTTCCATAGGTGGGGAGCTCGCATGCCCAAACTACCGGCACCTTCTGTCGGTTGAAAAAACTGTTTTTTCCTGTAGACAGGAATGTCCATTAGCTTTATGTAATGTCAAATTGTAAGAAATTTGAAATTTTTTTATGAATTCAAGAAACCTAAATAAGTTTCATTCTGTATTAATAAACATGACCCATTTTAAATATTCATTTATTCTATATATTCCCAATTTATTTGATATTTAAAATATTATTTGAGAATGTATTTAGCCCAAAAATTAAAAAAGGGTATAGAGTCTGGTATTAAATTAGGTATAAAAAATTTATTATCTTCATGACACTAATGGTAGACATACAAAGGTTATTATATAAAGTAAAATACCTAAATGGACACTTATTAAAATGAAACAAACTTGGTTGGGATATGTTGAGAACTGACTTTATGACCAAATTTTGGAATTGTAATATGTCTCAATGAACTTAATATTTTGTAAATATCAGCGAACACTTTGGACTTCCCAGTATTTATGACAGTGCCACGGAACCTCGATTGAAAACCACTCCTCTATTATATTAGTATTTCAGAAAAACAATCAAAAACAGTTTTTATTATTTAATTACCTGGACATTCCTCTTTGTAGAACTTGCAATCTCTTGTTTATGGCAAATAACAAACTTCCGATTTCAATGTAGAAGGCAGATACTAACATTGCTTGACTTTATAACTCGGGATTCTTGGAATTGGAATATGGCGAACCATGGCCTCTCGTCCGGTTACCATTCCATGTCGGGTATGGGATGAGTTAGCCGGTTTCAGACGCATGTACCTGATAGCGGAGGAAGCCTAAACCGACCAGAGATTACGTGAACCACCCTAAGGTGGCAAGAAATCCAGCAATCTTCTCGTACATTATTAACCCTCACATGAGATCAAACTTGCGAATTCACACAGAATAATCAGAGTAATCAGAAAAATCAGATAATATTCCTAACGCTTAGCACGTTGTGCCACATGATAGTCTGCTCTCTGGTTAATATAAACTGTTGACTATTAATTATGTGTGAAAGGATTTCTGCTACAATCAGGTCCATACATATGAAACGAATAAATGGCAAATACCCTCCATGAACTGGTGGCCGGTGAGGGCATCAACTTACATCAGTAGTCTTTCCACTTTTGTGGCAAAATATAGTAATCACTACTATCAAACTTAGTAAAAGTACTTCTTAAGATATCTCTTGCTCTCTTTTCTGTATTTTAATATAATATCCTCTGTCAAAGAAACAAGGCCCAGGTGGCTTGTTTGGCTGAAATATGCCATTTTAAAACTTTTTATAAAACAATATTCTGGGAATGTTTGCAAGTCTTCTTCACCAATTCCAAACAACACCAACATCACAAAGGCCTTGTATTTAATTATGATAAACAAGAATAGCAGAGCTTAAAACGATAACAATCTTGCCAGTCAAAATCCAAAAAATTAAGTATAAAAATAGGCCTAGGAACTCTCATCAAATGGAAGTTCTTTAAATTAAATTGGCACAACGAGCAGTTGAGAAGTGTGGTAAATCACTAGTGTTGTCTTTATAATCTTTTTGTGGGGTCTGGTTAATTCACATCTTAATCAAAATACAGGCCCATTCAAAATGACTCGGGCTTGACAAAAATTTTGGCTTTTAACTTCATATTGAAAGAAATTTTGACTCTCAATTAGAGGTAAGATTGGGCCCAAAAATCCCAGCCCGACCCGACTCGGGCCCGTGGGTGTTAAACCCGACTCAAGCTCGAATAATTATCTGTATTCGCAAGCCCAAGCCCGAAGCAAACTCGAAATTCATAAAAATAATCCACGAAAATTTTGCATCAGTTAAGTATAGGAAGAATATTTTGGGGGGTCAAAGGTCGGGAAAAGATTCATTACATCTTCTTCTCTGTTTTATTCAAATTATTTCTTTCATAACCAGTATTCCTTAGCTTAGTATCCACACATAGTTTTAGTATATATTTTTTATAAACATTAATTTATTTGAAAAAAAAGTCAGCCATAGAGAAGCCCGACCCAAACGTAATGATTGGCATTTCAGGCCCGACCCAAACGTAATGATTGGCATTTCAGGCACGACCCGAACATAATGATTGACATTTCAAGTCCGACCCAAACGTAATGATTGACAATTCAGGCCTGACCCGAACGTAATGATTGACATATCAAGCCCGACCCGAACATAATGATTGACATTTCAAGCCCGACCCAAACGTAATGATTGACATTTCAAGTCCCACCCGAACGTAATGATTGACATTTCAAGCCCATCCCGAACGTAATGATTGACATTTCAGGCCCGACCCGAACGTAATGATTGATGTTTCAGGCCCGACCCGAGCGTAGTAATGATTGACATTTCAAGCCCGACCCGAACGTAATGATTGATATTTCAGGCCCGACCCGAACGTACTGATTGACATTTCAAGCCCGACCCAAACGTAATGATTGACATTTCAAGCCCGACCCGAACGTAATGATTGACATTTCAAGCCCGACCCAAACGTAATGATTGACATTTCAGGCCCGACCCAAACGTATTGATTGATATTTCAAGCCCGACCCAAACGTATTGATTGACAATTCAAGCCCGACCCAAACGTAATGATTGACATTTCAAGCCCGACCCAAACGTAATGATTGACAATTCAGGCCTGACCCGAACGTAATGATTGACATTTCAAAACATTTTAATGTTTTTATTTTGTGGTAAGAACACTAGCTAGCTAGCTTCCAATCTCTATTCTCTTTTATTTCCCTTATATAAATAGTCTTCTGTAACCAAAACTCTCTCTTTTGGGTAGGATGTGGGTTTCCTTTTCTCGCTGTTATCTCATACAGTTAGCGAAGTCTGTTATAATTTACATCTACGGACCAGGGCAGCGCAGCCGTACTTATATGTATTTTTTGATATTGGAGTAATGTTTTCAGACTCCTTGAAATGGGTGCTGTAGTAGGAATTGTGAATTCGTGGATCGGCTTAGACCCACGTAACTCTGATTGCACTAAAAATTCAGCTTAATTCTCTTCTGCAACCATTTGCTGTGATAGGTGCGAGCGTATGACGTGTTATAATTTGTGGAGTTGGCCCTGTAAGCAAATTTTTATAAATTCGCCATTTTAGGGCCATTCCAGGGGATCGACTTATTTGCGAGGATATGCAGTGTTTGAATTTGTTCTCAAATTGTCCTGCTCTCTTAACAAGAACTCCAAAGTTATCGAAAATTATTCAAGTGGTTTCTATTTCAGGCAGTTTAACGATGCGTAGTCGATCATCAAGCGGCGTCCTGTCAAGTCAAGTGACTGTAGGAACTGCAAGCTCTTCTACTATAGGTGGATTGGGGACATCACAGGTAAGGCATCAGTAAATATGAATTCAAACCTTCCATATATTTGGCATAATATCATATTTGATTTGAGTTTGAAAAACTTTATTGTAACAAATGTAAACAACAAAAATGCTGGCACTGATCAGCATTTGCTGACTGATAATACATTCCTATAATCCTATGTCGTTTCAGTTGATCTTGCCCATTTATTGGCGTTCCTCAACTTTGCTCAGAGAAAGGTCCCCTCACCCGTGACTTTGCTTCGGCAAATCCTTATAAAAAAACATTGGGTGTTTAATTGATTTAGTTTGTCCCATTTTTTCTAACATTTATTGTTTGTAAAGTTTAATGATATCATGACATATATCTGACATGACAATCAAAAGGTACTTCTCAAGACAAAGGGACGACTGTTAAAATACGAAAAGATATTTTATTTGAAAATATTACGAAGAAATAGGGGTTCTTTAAGTTGGTATCTAATCATAGTTTGAGCAATATTCACATAATTATTTCAATAAAAGTTTCAAGAGTTTGAAAATCAAAAATATATAGGTTCCACTTATTTGCTCAAAGCATCTTCCAGTTTTCCCTCGAGTGTAACGCCGCCTGTATCACATCTAGTTATCAAGTTCATCGTTTAAAAATCTCATTATTTCCTCTGTTTTTTTTACAGGACGGCATCAACCTTGCTGCAAATCCTTTATTTGACAGCTCAGAGTATCCAGACTCTTATGATGCCGGCAGATCAGAAGCTTTTGGAACACTATGTAGAATTTTTTCGTGTAAAAAAACAGGGGAACATATTCTGCCTGTGTATCTGTCAAGGTTTGTAATTTCATTTGTTTTTATTCTGATTTTGATTTATCTGACGTGAAGTGGACCAATGGACCGTTTGTTGTTATGTTGCTAATGGCTGTGGTATTCCTGTCAGTCAGTAGTTTATTTTTCACCAAAATAAAAATACACTACAGTTAGGAAAAAAAACATGGAAATAGCATTTCATGGTGAAGAGCAACACAAAAAAATAATGTAGGTGAATGACCATAACCGACCGTAAGTCAAACATTGATACAGGTTGAATAGAAAGAAGTTAAAATACATGTAATTAAAAAATGGATGTCCATAAACCAAATTCGTTACAAAAAGACTCGGCACTGGCAGGTACTGGGGAGGTAACCAAGTTTCTAAAAAGGTCGCTTTTCTCTTCAATTACTGGACCAATTGCTTTGAAATTTCCAGTAGTTTAAGATTATATATTTTGCTTTAGTTATTTCAATTTGAGGAAAGACTCATATATATACATATATGTACACTTCATATCCATAAATTCAATCAAAAATTTCAGGTTCTACTTGACCATGAGTCATGGCTTAATGGAAGAAAGCAATCAAGTTCTGGCAAGTATATTGTTGAACTCAGTGAATTTGTTCCGAATAGATCTTCCTGGTATAACCTGTCTTCTACCTGGTGTGTTGAATGCTCTGGAATCTATTCTTCCAGATAGGTGAGCTTAGTTTGAATTGCTATGTTAGGACTTTTTTGAATTTTTTATATCTTATCTTATACTTTTTATTTTAATTTGACTGTGTTCAACAAAAAGCAGTTTAGTTTAAAAAGCTCAGTTTGAATCTTTTTGTCAGGACTGTTTTGAATACTAAAATATTTGCATTTGAAATTCTTATATTTTTTAAAATCCTATATTCTTTATTTCAATTTGAGTGTGTTCGACAAAAAACATAACAGAAATCAGGGCAGTTTGAATCTTTTTGTCAGGACTGTTTTGGATACATTAATTCAGGATTATTCACTCAATCTTATACTTTTTATCATAATTTGGTTAGTTCAAAAAAAAAACATATCAGAAATCAGTGCAGGATATACATCATAAACATAGTTTGAATCTATTCAGCAGTTCATCAGTTTTCAGCATATGATGAAAATTAGAATAAAAATGACGAATAACCAAATGGGCGAAACAAATAATTAACTATCTTAATTACTCATTTAGTCACAATGTGCGCAATTTACTTTTACCTGCAGATTGCCACCGACTTTTGCATGATAGTACAACATGCTTTTATTTTTTAGAGAGTTGACTCATTTCAAACCATACGTAAACGTCACTGAACTACGACGGGCAGCAATTCATTTGCTATTATCAATGATTCCGCTGCCGTTACATTATGACAATCTGCCAATTGAGGTAAGAGCTTGAGACGACAGGAATCTCTATGCTTCACCTTATTTATTATACCTTGATTATGATCGCAATTGGGGTTGAATGGCCTTCTCTGTTGATGTTTAATGGGATGTCTTATAGTCAGCAGGCTTCAGCAGAGCAAAGATGTATTCCAAGTGAAGACATGAGAACATCGTTTTAAAAATCAAAGATATTCATTTAACCATTAAACTTGAACAAGGCAATAAACAATCTGAAAAATAATCAATTTTCGTTCAGGACATTCAGTTGCTCTGGTCACGAGGGACTGAGGGAGAAGACACTTCATCTACCGTATCTACACCAACACATCAAACTTTCCGATCGCTGAAACTTCGAATTATTCATCAACTTATCGGAGCATTGCAATGCGAAACTGATCCTGTAAACGCTCAGATGATACTTGGTAATGTTGATAGAATGTGATTTATTTATTGGGGTGAAAGGAAAGCTGATAAATGATTAATCAGTCCATTCTCCATTGCCAAGTTTTCTGATTTTTTTTTTATCTTTTTGCAAATTAAATTAAACAAAGTCACAAAAAATAACCACTTTATGAGATGTTATTTTTCCTGCAAGACAAGGGGTTCACTCTTAACAAAATGCAGAGATTATAGTCGTGCAAGTCTCAAGGGCGTATTTTAGATGGTCGTTTTTCCAAGTATATTAAATAGTGTAGTTAGTACAAACAACATGATGGTTGTTGGGCCCTAAAACCTTTTTCTTTTAACTATTTGGGCGTCACTTACAGAACTAATTAATAATACTGACCACTGGGATAGATAATTATGTGCGAGAGGAACGCTGGACTCTTCGGTGACGAAGGGTGATGGGCGGTTATGGCTTCCTCTGCCATCAAAGTCCACATATCTCGAATAAATAACTGACTAACTAAACCCATAGCCGACATGAAATGGTAATCGGACGAGAGGCCGTGGTTCACTATATGATTAAGTCGTCTTATTACCAGTGATTGTGTAACTAGTGCTATAGCCAAAACCAGGTAAAAGTTTCTTCTTGATCTGCAATTTATGACTGTATATTCTAGGTGGAATGCTACTCGCCCTACAAGATTCAGCTTTAGTGGAATCCATTGGACACGAGTCGGCACAGAATGGAGGAAAAGATGGAATCGTTCAACCGAGTGAAAATGAAAATGTCGCTGCCGGTGAGTTCTGAGGTCATTTAGTGGTGCTTTTTTTACGGGGCTGTTTTGCATTCTTCTATGAATAAGGGTCGAGACCTGACACTACGGCTCGTGGGCCAAATCCGCTCATTTCTGACACTGCATACAGCATATACCAACGTTCTAACTAGAATAATAATTAAAATTTCATTTCAGACACTGCATACGGCTTCTTTGTAAATTGTATCTATCTCGTTTCACAAAGATTGGAATCTTGGAAATCTGAACTCAGTGTTTCCTTGGCTGCTTTGGAATTATTAGCCGGACTAGCAAAGGTTAGTTTCTATTTCTCAATGAGCTAACTTGCTCAAGGCTCTGCTCAATGCACATACACTTAGAGGGGTGGGTCCCAACCTTTTATGGCTTCATGGCCCCCTTACGGAGGTTTGTTAGTACTCATGTCCCCCTGTTTATAACTCCAGTGGTACTTATAGTATTATTTTAATTGGTAAATTTCAACTCACATCATGTTCAGCCAATTCATGCTCAATAATATGAAAACACTCTGTGAAATAACCTTATCAAGTCATGAAAAATGAGAAGTAAAATCAGTTTTTGGCTTGGTTGTGAAATTGGTTTGTTAACATCAGCTGTGACAGAAATTGTGGCAACCCTCAATTGACTGGTCAAATGATAATGGAAGCCAAAATTTAAATTATTTCTCAGGCCAAAATCCATATAGTAGACAGTGGAGAATGTCGCCGTGCTGTCCGTGAGTTATGTCGGTACATTGTCAACCAGTGTGAGCGCCCACCACCTCACCATAAGAGAGAATTACATTCTATGATTGTTGCTGCTTTTCATACTTTAACTACATGGTTACTGGAGCACCCATACCTTCTAAATGACAAGGTAATTGCCAGTGTTATATATGTACTTCCATTGTGTGTGTACCAGATTAGGGTTAGGCGCTAATTTTATTCCGATTTTTCCCTCATTTCAGTTCTATTACGAGTTCGGGGACTGTCTGTGTTAGCCAAGTGACTATACCTCTGCTCATAGGTTTCAGTCTCTAAAATAGCAAACAAAATTAGTTATCTTCGTATTGGTACACATACTTTCGGAGCGCTTACATATGGACACTACAATATACCATCTTCGATAGGAACGCTCACCATATGTTGTATATGAAATTTTTTATTTTTGTATGACACAAATTTACATTTCGCTTCGAACATGTTCGATTTATTACGATTTTATAGCTAGGCATGTCTCATGCAAGTTTGCTAAAAGCGAGGTAACACACAAACATTTAGAGGTAAAGGAGTCTCATATCTAAGCAACGGTACTAACCACCCCTGAAATGGCAAATTTTTGTGTTGGACTTCCCTGTCAATATAGTGAATTTAAAACACTGAGCTAGCTGCCTAAGATTAAGATTAACTTGAAAAAAAAAATTCGTCAATTTAAATGTATCTCTTTATTCACAAAAGGATTGTTTAAATGAAGTTCTTGAAATTATTGAGCTCGGCATATCTGGTAGCAAATCATCGCCAGGGAGGCGGGGCAGCAGTGGTACTTTTGGATTAAGTTCTACCACTGGAGGTCTCCTTGTGAACGGATCAAACGAAGACAATAAACCGATATTTAAAGGAGACAAGGACCTAAACCCTGCTTCAATGAGAGTGTTGGAAGCCGCAGAGGGTGCTCTAGTCTGGTAAGTCTTCAGAAAGTTTTTTTTTTAATATTTGTTCTTGCTTCAGGGGGGGGGGGGGGGGGGTATGGGGAGGCTTAAGAAGTTTATTTCTTTTTTCATTCTTTTGGTTGTTTAACTAACTGGTTAGTCACTAGTTGGTTCAAAATTTCAAGAACAGATAGTCTTTTCGTTGGAAGCTGTGGAGGGGACTGGTTAGTCGTTAGGAAGTTTTTGTTTTATTTGTTCGCCCAAGGAGTTAATTTTATGAACATTCTTCTGAGTGTTTAACTAGTCAGTTAGTCCCATACACATTATGGGTTCAAAATTTTACAGAAGGTTCTTTGATGTGGTTTTATATTATAAAGATACTGCGTGGTTCTCTTTTCTGCAGATCGTTTGTTGTTTACTTGTGAATTACTCACTTGTCTGCTTGACATATAAGGGACATTTCTGTTATATTAACTCACGAGCGAATCAAGAAAGGCAATATTGGCCATGTTACTAAGCTGTATTATAGTTGTTTATGCGCATAAAAACAACATCAAACATATCAAACTGATCAAAATTATGTATATCATAGTCCAGCAATCTTCTCAAACATAATTATCACATAAGGTTCCAGCCTGCGAACCCATTCATGGTAATCAGAAGTGCGATATCAAGCGTATTCCAAACACCTAGCATGATACGCCACCTACCTGACATCTTTATTTTTCTGTTGTCCAGGCTAAGCCATATTTCCCATTGTAATCCCATCCATTTCACTTTTACAGCGTTTTTGAACATCTTGGTGCATTTCCGAGTCCATGCTCACCCAGTTCAACTTGTTGTCTTCTGAATGAGTTGAGTTTGGTTAGACACGCCTGTGGACACACCCCTCAAAGTAGCAACCAATCAAATTCTGATGTTAATGACACACCTCTTGAAAAGACTCAATCAAAAAGTAATGTCACTGACACACCCCCAAATGAAAGCCAATTGGATTTCTCAGATGCGGTAAAGAATTTCAGATACTTTGTCATCAGGAATACTGTTCTACTTGGAGTTCTGGAACAAAATTTAGGAAACGAACAAGGTAGCCAGCCAGCCATACTTTATTAATATGGATGATTATTTTGGGCCATCTGTTTTTTTTTTGGTGACCGTACATTTGAACCCACAAACATTTGAACCCATGTGTATATCTGCGGGTCCAATCTATATGCGGGTGCTAAAACCCATGGGTTAGGGTTAGTATGGGTTCAAATATCCGCAAAACAAAAAAATTTCCATAGGTGTGATAGTATGCAGGTGCAATTGTTGTGGGTTCAAATGTACGGGATCCATTTTTTGGGGGTTCACCCTGTATTTAACCCACTATGCTACATGATTGGATCACCAAACTCTACTCCCCAGGTAATTCCAAACTGAAAAGATTTCTCTCTTTCATATCAACCTGCAGAGTAAATCAACTATTTCATTACATTCATCTTGTACTTTCTAATAATGTTCAAATTATATGAAACAACATTCATTGCACGCTTTCTACCAATTAAAACAAATAAAATTCCATAAACGAATATAATTTTTATTTAATAAAACAAAATAATTGCGGTGCTCCTGAAGTATGCGCACCGAGATGTTGCATACCCTGAACCCTAACCTGGTACACAACCTGAGTTCAGGTTGTGCGCCATCTTGGTGCGCATACTTCAGGAGGCCCATAATTGCTTTACCTCTCTCTACTGCTCGAACAATTTCTCTGACTTTATGCACCCACCATGAAATATTTCCCTGATCTTTGTTATCAAATGAACTATGAAAATTCTATTCCGAAAGTTCATTTTCGATTCGAAAATATATTTTTGCCAAGGTTTCATGTGACGTCACAATTACCCTTCCTTTTTACTATGATAGTGTCGATTTAATGGTGGCTGACATGTTGAACTGGGGATAAAAATCACGTCATTACTATTTGAACAAATTGTAGTTTTGATATTTTAAAAATCAATGCAAATTTTGTGTATAATTTTTACATTTACTCCAAGAGCAGGAGGGCTGTACAAAATGCATTGGGGGCCATAATTATAGGCCATGGTTTGTCCATCGTTTTTCCAGATCTTCGTTTGTTCAAGACAGGGGTCTGCAATCTTTTGTTGCTCGCGGGCCAAAATTAAGGGTTGCAAGTCATTGGCGGGCCACGCATATTTTTAGAAAGTTGAAGACCGACGGATGATACGTTTTATAATAAAAATCAAGCATACACCTCTCGAATAGAATATAGATTTATTTCCTCGTTGCATTGCATCTCAAAAAATTCTAATTGAATATTTTCGTCACCATTGAACCCTTTGCACTTAGCATCAACTTTTCTGCGTTTTGTTGCCATTTGTCTAATTATAATTAAATTATTAAACGAGTAATTGTGAATAATATATATTTGTTAGATTATAATATAATTTAGTCTACATGTGTCTCACAATAAATTCTGTTACGTAAAGCATATAATCGTCAAAACAGCCGTTTTGTTACTATAATTCAGTGAAGCTCCGCGGGCCGGATTATATTACTCCGCGGTCTGCGGGCCTTAGGTTGCTGACCCCTGGTTTAAGACATCAAGAGGTTACACTCACTTGAGCTTGATTGGCGTACTCGATTTAAGATTGCCCATTATTAGTAGTAGAATTAAACATTCAAAACCTTTATTTCTAGAGCCTGTTCCTACTGTAACTTTGGTACTTAGAAGTGCAAGCGGAAGAAAGGTTCATGCTATGCAATTCAGACAAACTCCGAGGTGAGATTTAAATTACTTTTTCTCAAATTTTATTCCAACATTTTGTGGGCCTTCAATAATTACGAATAAAATTAATCTAATTTTTTGCCACTTCATAATCATAATGTTGCAAGGGCTTAGATATCAAAAAGATAAATAAACTAACATTTTTGAATTTGAAAATTTCATATTTCTGGCTGTTATAATCAGTATTCCCTCAGTTACACGGTGATACACTCTCATTTTTTGACGAATTGACAGTACATAAGCACCTTTTTACAGGAGTTAGTATGTGTGATGGCAATTGCTCTTGCTCTGGATGCATACAAAAATGCGGCAATATCGACTATAATAATCACATCGCGGATATTCTAAATTCCCAGTCTGAGAAAGCCAATTCACGAAAACTGACGGGATAGGCACATTATTGCCCCCATTTTCTTGTTCAAAGCTACTATCCAATAATATCATGGTGTTGTTTTTCGAATGAGGTACTGTGAGACTCTGATATCGCCTGAGGCTCAATGTATTTATTTTATTTCCGGATTTTTTCTAGTATTTAATGTTCAACTTTTTTTCCTCAGTGTAATGTAATGTAGAACCTAGAATGTAGATTTCCTTATAAGTCGCACTGCTCAATAACCATTACTGGTTTATCACGTCTCCCTTCACACTAAAATGCATTTTTTTTTGTCTTCTCCATTTCTGTATGTACAATGTGTATTTTCCGCATGTGTAAAAATAAACTACTGATACGTGGGTTTTCAGAATAATATTAGGCTCATCTCCCCAATTGGGTCCAGGACATGACTCATCGAACTTATTCGAATATCATGTATATTCACAATAACTCCTAAAAATCACATTGCAGAAGTGACAAGCAATCTTCTACATCCTACCTCACCTGCCCAGCACGTCCTTCACCAGACGAGAACCCTGGTGTTCATCACAATGTTCGACATAGAACATTCCCTGAAGAAGTTGATCGGATTCCTCTTGTGAAAGCAGATTGTAGCATTCCTATGCTGTCAGAAATACCAGATAAAGAGGTAACAACGGAAAGTAACTCTTAAGGGTGATAGAATAGTGTTGTGGGTTTCGCCAGTACAGTACCAAGATAATGTCAGTTTTCGTCCAAATCCGTGAGTCTATATTGTTTAAACACAATCCAATACCCTATAGGTTTGCCAGTATTAATGAACCTGCTACATTTTAAAGATCATTTTGTTTTGAAGTCGCTAGTTGGAGTTTGACACTTTTGCTTTTGTAAAATAAGCTACTTAAAGACACATTCTAGTTCCCAACAACTTCAGCGTTTTCCAACTTTTTTGATAAATCCTCCTTTTTGTCTACTTCGAAATTTTTATTCTTTATAAAAACTACCTTATTCGTTTAATATTTAATAAGCAAGTCGCACATCTACTTTTGTACAGTTCAAGTAGTAAAATTTCTCCATATGAACAACAAATTTTCGCTCTGAGGTGGAATTCTTTACAGGTTGGGAAACGTTTCGCTAGTCGTTCTAAAACCTTTCACTTTTTCCACTCCAGCAAGCTGAAAGAGTGAAGAAGATTCAACAACTTGTTGAACAACAGAAGTTGTATGATTTGAATGTTGAAAAGTAAGTAATATCAACCATCCTGGGATACTTCACCGTTAGTGCTGGGAACAATGAGTTTAGAGATTGAAAAAGTGGTCGGCCAAACTATTACTGGGCCAAATATATACATTTCCTGTAGCATGTGGGCCACGTAAATTGCCATCTATAAACAATTGTCAACAATTTAAATTATGAGGAAATGATGATCATAGTCAATTTACATTAAATTAATGTAACCTTGGAAAATAGTACCAACTGAAAACTTTTGCTCCTGGCTTCCAGAGAACTGCACTACAGAAATAATATTTGTCAAAAAAAATACTCCCAGACCCTAGAGATCTCTAGAAGAGGGAGGCCAGGGCTCAGATTGAGAAGTCCCACACTATACAGACATTACTCGGTGCTCCCGAAGTATGCAAACCAAGATGGCGGACATCGGAACGTAACATGGGTAACAGCTTAGGGTTAGGCGATAATTTTTTCCCAATTTTCCTTATTTCAGTTCTATTATCAGTTCGAAGACTAGCCAAGAGCCTCCCGTAGTATTTATACCTAAAATTATGGCCTAACCCTAACCTAGTACACATATTACATTCCGATGTCCGCCATCCTGGTTCGCATACTTCGGGAGCCCCCATTACTTACTATTTTTCATCCGTTCTCAGACGAATCCAGCAAGCTTTTTCAGATGACGATGATCCTCTATCATTACGAATGAAAGAATGTTTTCCTCCCGAACCTGCCAGAGAATTCCAGACCGCCAGATTGCTTCTCTCACATCTTAACTTAATGTCACTAAGCACAGTAAAGCATCACGCTCATCAAAGACTCGGTCCAGATGTAAGTTTGTTTGGATATAACAATGTTAGGGCTTCGTGCTGGCCTAGCACAGTGGTTCACAACCTTTCCCTGATAAATGCCTCCCTTTTGCCAATTCTGGAACTCATTATTCCTTTGTCACTATGCATAAAACTACTTTATTTGTTTAATCTTTAATGCATCCTTAGTTAGTGTTATGCCCTCTCGTTTTGTACAGTTTAAATAATTTGTTGTGTTCTTTACTAGGGATTATAGTAGTAATAAAAAACTAAAGACTAAAGAAAATAAGGATTACTACAGCGAATATGATGCCATCACGCTCATCAAATACTAGATAAAGGTGGTTAGACGAGGGATGTCCAAAATACGAATAATATATTCGACATACCATATATGCTCGCGAATAGGCCGAGTTTAAAACTCAAAAAAAAAGTTGCCAAACTAAGGGACCGCCTTATTCTCGCATAACTCAGATTGCACCAAAAAATCGGCTCATTCGCGTACAGAATTTGATCACGCAACGACATGATAATTCCGCCGGTAATTCCAAAAGCTTCAAACCATACCAAGTTCTCACGATAAAAAGCGTCGCGCACACACACTCGCTTGTGAAAGTGCATTGTCTTATCATGCAGCTGATGGCTTGTACAGTCTGTGATTGGTTGTTTAACACGTGACGCTTGTACAGGCTGTGATTGTTTGTTTTCGCTTGCGTTTCTTTTACATAACAGCAACAGTGTCAATTTACGGCCAGTTGTTTCTTGGTGAAAACTTTCGTGGTAATTAAAGGTGTGCGACTTTTAATCACCTTTACGATATGTTATCCGTTAAGGGGCAGTAATAGGGACTCTTATCGAAATTAACCGCGTTGTGGACGATCAAAGGTAATTGTTTTATGCTGACTCAGGGACTCTCTTAAACTCCGGACAACAATCCCTTCCATTAATACAAATCACGACGCATGAAAAGCAATATAGACTTTATTAACATGAATTTACAAGTAAGAGTTACGAGTGAGAATCTACGGCCGTCGCTAACAAACAGAAATGATAAACGGGGGAAATATTTGTGTTACAGCAATTTTATTTTCGTTCTGCGCCTTTTTTAAGGCGTCTGGCGTGTTAAGATCCGTAGCGATTTATAAGAATGTGTTAATACAGCGTTATTTCTTTCCTTGAAACGGACAAGGAACTAAATTAATCGTCGTTGTGGCGATCAAAGGAAATTGTTTTATGCTGATTCAGGAACTCTATTTTAATCTCCCGACACAATCACGATGCATTGAAAAGCAATATAGACTTCATTAACATAAATTAACAAGTAAGAGTTACGGGTAATAATCCACCTACCCTCGCCCTCGCTAACATGCAGAAACGATAAACGTGAGAAATGTTTGCGTTACAATAATTTTGTTCTCTTTTTACGTTTTTCTTGAGGCGTCCGGCGTGTCACGATTCGTAGAACCGGCTTATGTGCGATTTTTTATAAAATCGCCGTTTTAAGGCCGTTTACAGGGAGTCGGCCTATGCTCGATATAGGCGTAATTTTGAGTTATTACGGTAATATCTGATAGTTATATTTTAGAAATGATTTGATATATTTTTATTATTAAATTATCTTTTTGAACAATTGAATACCCATGAATATGACTGGAAATTCTTTCATGTGATTCCGGCAAACCGTAAAAAATAAAAATAAATCAAATCACTGATTATCTGCAATATGCCACTATTTCCAAGTTTTTCAAACTCAGTTAATATATATGTATATTGATTTACATCCCACCCACGACGATTGTATATAGTCGAGTTAACCATTTTGAGAATGATGTTCATTTCACAATTCTTCTCTTTTTCAGCTGGTCATGCTAAACAGGATGGATCCCGACTTTCCATCCGACATTGAAGATTTGGATTCGATTCCAGTTCGCAACAACGACACTGTTTTCATCTTTTATCATAAAGCTGGACAAACAGACAAACAACAGGTAAATAAATTTTACCTATCTATGTTTTTTCTAACTTCAAAAAAAATTGGCCTTAAAGCTTGTACATTAAATAGTACTCCTGTAGTATGCGAACTAAGATAGCGAACACCGGAAAATAGTATGTGTACCAGGTTAGGGTTAGGCCATAATTTTATTCCAATTTCATTCCATTTTATGAGTTCTAATAATAGTGGAAAATCAAGCAATCAAACCTCGGCTCTATCATAACTTTCATATTCAGTAACACAGAAAGTTTTGAACACGTAATAAAACTAAAATAAGGAAAATCGGCATTAAATTATGGCCTAACCTTAATCTGGTACACATACTAAAAGAGTAGCTAATTTTGTTAATTCATTTTTTCAAAATATCCGATTTCTTTTAGTTTTTTATCCAATTTCTCCAATTTTGTTCAGATCCTAGAAAACACAAGTCTGAGAACTTCCGAACTGCGGCCTGAATTTTCAGAGTTTGTTTTGTCTCTGGGATGGCCTGTTGATCTTCGTAAACATCCTGGCTGGACTGGAAATGTCTCTACTTCGTGGAAATTAAAGCAATTCTCTGATGTAGAAGAAGGTTAGTAACTTAGAATATTAATCAACATCACACTATAAGGCAGTGTCCTTCAACCTTTTTTATTGTGGTTTTCCTTTAACAAATTTTCAAGAACTTTGTATACCTTACAAATACCAATGTTCATTTAAGGCATGAATGAACATTAAAGTTTAAGCACAGATCGTAGAAAAACTGACAATACTACAATATCATGCAATCTAGTGGGCTACTGTTCCCAAGTTGTAAGTGGTTGTATATTTGACTGTTGGTCTTATCGGCAACGCGAATATTGTTTAACGAGCCTGCATTTTTCATATAATTTGTGATATAACAATGTGGTTCTTTGCGTATAAAACATTTTATATTGTTTGCGTCGTTGTCTCCGCTAGAATATTTATATTTAATATATCAGAATTTAGAATCCCTGACTTAGGCTGTACATCCTTTATATATCGTTTATCAGTTGTATACCCAACCTATACACTTGGGTATTACCGTATACCCGGTTGAAATACACTGCTATCAGGAATTGCAGCCTTACAAAAATATAGTGTTTCACATTTGTCTCCCATAGTTACACCACTGTTTTGGCTTAAAATCAAGAACTTGAATAGAGTAAGCATATGAATCAGGATTCATGGTTTTATGGTTTGTTAGGGCTCATACCTTTTCTGTTACTTGTTTGTATGCCTTTGTCTTATTAAACAGAAAAACCGTCAAAAAACACCAAGAACCCTGCTAAAACGCTTAAAAACAGTGAAAAACTGTCGAAAAACACCAATAACCCTGCTAAAACGCTTAAAAACAGTCAAAAAACACCAATAACCCTGCTAAAACGCCCCAAAACAGTGAAAAACCGTCAAAAAACACCAAGAACCCTGCTAAAACGCTTAAAAACAGTGAAAAACTGTCGAAAAACACCAATAACCCTGCTAAAACGCTTAAAAACAGTCAAAAAACACCAATAACCCTGCTAAAACGCCCCAAAACAGTGAAAAACCGTCAAAAAACACCAAGAACCCTGCTAAAACGCTTAAAAACAGTGAAAAATCGTCAAAAAACACCGGCATAGCAGACGCTAATATGCTCGCTTGGAAGTACTAAGTTTTCTCTGGTTCAGCATTGCTTTCCCAATTTTTTACACCGTGGACAAGGTGGTGGGCATAGGATTAGAAATCAAGCTTTTGACTTGGAATGGATCAGAGCTAAGTCTAATGTTTTTTGGACTCCATTTAAGTAATTTTTCATGTTCTATTCCAGCCACCATAGATCTGAACACAGAAAGTCCTGGGATCTTCAATGGCGACAAATATATTTTATATCACGCTGATGTTTTGACTGAAACTGCTTTCATAATCCCGACACGACAACCTGTGACCTTTTCTCCTATGACCTTTGACTCAGTTACGGAAGTAGATGGCGATGCTTCAGACAGAAAGTCAATAATGCGTGAGAAACTTCAACTCGACTTGGCATCCATTCATAGTTCGAGCAGCGCCAGTAACGTAAGATATTATTCTTTCGGCAACATGATCTGCTACCCATATGATTTATTGACGCTGTGATAAATATTGAAAATCATGTACTAAATTATTCTTGAAATATACCTAAAATTTAAATATGCCAATATGGGGTGTACTAGGGCAGGGCTACTCAACTATTTTTACCGAAAATCTTCATACAAAACTTTGAAAATATTTGTCTCCGGTCTTTCCTGAAATTATATTTCGACATCCTTAAACACGCACTTCTTCGACCGACTAATGATTATTAGCTAATCAAGATTGTTTATTATGGCGTTATAGTTCTTTTCATGTATATCTAAATCTATGAAAGTGATTTTTTTTAAAAAAACTCAAAAATTGGGGCTAATGATTCAAAATAAAGATTTAGATGCGGTCCGAATCGAATACCCAAAAGGTCCGGATTCGGACCGAGGTCCGCCAGTTGAGTAGCCTTGTACTAGGGTATTGTGTACTGAACTGCAAGTTCTTTTTCCTTGTTTACTTTCTAAAGGGGATCCGTTTGTGTCAGTTGCCACAAGGATGCTTGAATGAGATGCTTGAAAAAGTTTTGAAAAGATAAAGAATACCATGATATCTTTCCACGAAATAGCAAGTATATTTATGAGCTTTCGTTAGATCATAGTCCAACTTCTTCGGATGAAACAAAATATGGCTTAAATAACAGCGAATAAATTCTGCAATGCATTTTTTTGCTGCTTATTAAGGCATCTAACGAAAGCTCGTAAATATACTTACTATTTCGTGGAAAGAGATCATGTTATTCTTTTAAAATTTAAATGTAATTGAATATTCGATTTGTTTTGAACATCCCTGTAGTCCAACACATAAGTTCCTTTTTTATAGAAGTCTCACAATGACATGTATATAACGATTCATTAGGTCTCTTAGCTTGGTTAGGCCAGCATTTTTGTATGGAAAAACTACAAAATTTATGTTTATTTTTAAACCTCATTTGAAATATCTCACTATGAATTCTTAAAAGAATAGTAATGTCACAGGCAATTTCTTGATAAGGCATTCACTAAAAAGATATTCTGAATGCAAACTTGTCCCACCCATGGGTTAGGGGATATAGGCCTGTTTTTTGTCATGTATAAACCTTGTATTCCAATTGTATTTTAACAGGAAAGTCCAAGCAGTCCCACCGGTGCTCAACAACATCCACCAGGTGGAGCAAGAGTGAAGAAGATATCCACAGTGTCGAGAACGAATTTGCAACAGTTGCCTGATTGTAGGGTTGCTGTTGTTTGGACTGAGAGTTATGAAGGAATAGGTAAAATGAAATATTCTCAAGTGTTCGATCATCTTCATAAATAGGAAAACTGCTCATTTTTTAGGTACTCCAGGTAGTGTGTGTACCAGATTAGGGTAGGGCCATAATTTCATTCCGATTTTTCTTATTTTAGGCCAATGACGAATCTGGGGACTGTCTGTGTTAGCCAAGTGAATATATTCCCCATAGGTTTCAATCCCTTCACACAACTTGATGTAAAGTAGGTGAACAAAATTAGTTACCTCCATATTGGTACACACACTTCTGGGGGGCCTTTTTATATACAGGGTGACCTAAAAACAGAACATTTGGAACATATTGTAGAGCAGGGATTCTCAAACTGGGGTATACGAACCCACAAGGGGCCCAGAAAATCGTTTTTAGGGGGCCGTGAAAAATAAGTGAAAATGTTAAGAATGGAAAAATCTTCCTTGAAAGATAACTAATATTTTTGCTTGGTTTCATTCATTTTAGCTCTTCAATTTGGGATTTGGCTTAAATTTAGGCACTCCGGGAGTATGTGCACCAAGATGACGCACAACCTGAACCCTAACCTGGTACACATTCTACGCTCAGGTTGTTCGCCATCTTGGTGCACATACTTCGGGAGCACCCAAATTTTTAATTCTCAAATTCATGTCAATTTTGTGCATTTCGTACTGTTTAATATTTTTTGACTCTCGAAAACCGAAATTTGTTGTTTTAGATGAATTCCCTCTGGAAGATCTACTCTCTGAAATGTACACTGGACAAGAGACCACAGGAATGGTGGGACCAAGGTATTGCTGATTTACTTTAAACAGTGACTCTCAAACTTTTTAAGCTGAGCCCCCTTTTTAGAATTAAGCTAACAATAAGCTACAAATAACAGATGTAAGGCAAAGGTATGTTTTATTCAAAAAACACGTTGAAAATACTTGGATGGAACTTAAATATCTAAAATAAGGCAGGCAAGATCGAATCTAACAAATAAATTCATTTTTAATCACCTTCAAGCCTCCTCAAAGACAATTTTTTGAACCGGCGTGAAGCTTTTAAAAAATAAAAATATTTGAACATGTTTACGGTCTCAAATATATGTTTGATAAAAAGAGACATACAAATGCATTTGTGTTGGCAATAATAAAAACATTATAGTGAAAGATTTTTTTTACACAGTCGTAAGGATATGCTGGCAATCTTCATTCACCCCTTGGAGAATGGTTTGTTTTCTATCAATGTCAACGGCCAAACAAACACTAAATCAGGAATGGCAGTTCCACTGGTATCTGGCATCGTGGTTAGCAGAAGGGCTTTGGGTGAGTATTTTTTATTTTTCTATCACACTTATTAGGACTTTTTTTCTCTGGAAAGCCGATGAGACAGCTCAATCATATGGCGAACCACAGTCTATGGTCTGGTTACCATTCCATATCAGGTATGGGATTAGTTGGCCAGTTATTAATTACAGACACATGGACTAAATGGGTAAAATGCTGTATCAGACCAGCGACCACATAATTATCCCCGACTGGATTCAAACCTGCAAACCCACGCAGGAGAACGTATTCCAGCACCATGCTTTCAAGCCAATATGCAGGGAGCTCCTATTTTTAAAAGGGCAGGGTGGGAGTCTTTCCGGTTTCAGCATTGTCTACCCAATTTATTAAACCCCGGGTGGAATAGCCATGAAATTTAAATTATAAATTTCAGGAGCCGCAGTTCGAATGACGGCATCGAACATGTGTCATCGCAGACGATTGGACAGCGACGCCTACTCTCCTCCCCACATAAAGCGAAAACATCGAATCAATGAACTTCTAGCGAGATATCAACGTCGATGCACAGAGCCTGACTTCTTTACTGCTGTGTTTGCTGAACAACATGCCCACAAAGTGAGATAGGATAAGGTTTTAACTTTTAAGACTGTCCACACATATTAAACTATTGACTTGTTGGGCAATTCCGGAATGAAAAGATTCCTTACACATATCATTAGGTATCAGTGGCTTCCCTATACAGGGCATCGCTCGGAACGAAAAATAAGCGCTGTATAAAAGAAATCTATTTCCAAACCCAGGGGTTCAACCAGGAATTTTCAAAGAGAGGGTTATGAAATCTATCTGATTCTAGGGTCTTCCTGCACACTAACACAAATATATTCCTTGTTACGTTTCATCTAACCAAGGTCAGACAGATACACGGTAGTAATTTTTCTGAGCAAGTATGACCTTGTTGACGTCGTTGCAGTAATACGATTTGGTTGTGTGTAGCAAGACTGTTGGATCACTAAGAATGCATGCATTGTATGTGTACTCTACGCTAAATCATAGAAGCTGGATAAGTACAGAAGTCCTATTAAAAGCTCTAATTGATGTTTACCATTTCTTTTCAGCCTACTCTTCCAGGACGAATAATCAACCTTTCTCAAAGACAGGGAAGTCCAGTGAATCCACTGCCCTCTAGCGGAAAGAGACCGTTATCTGTTGCATGATTCCAAATGAGTCAAATCAATGCCAACCTTCTGATTATGTTAGAAGAAATGAGCTGGAAATCGTGACTTGCAACCTGATTAGTCGTTACTTTCGTTTTATGCCTCCTCCAAATCGAGAGCTTAAGCCAATGTTAAGAGGAATCTCCATCAACCACAGCACTCATGGTAAAAATGATTGAGAAAATTATGGGTTCTGTTTTTAGGTTCACCCTGTATTTTCCAGTAATCTTATCAACAGATAAAAAAAAAATGGTCATATCTCATCCTAATCTGTGAGGCATCCCTTGTTAATATTGATTAGAACTAGTTGGGAGGGGACATGATAGCATATGCAAATTCTTCATCCGTTTTGCCGGCAGTCAGTGATGATAACAAAAAACTTCTATTTGTAGCATATATGCTCTTTATCTTTGATTTTTACATTATCACTACATATCATAATCTAGATAATATATATGTGCAATACAAAGTAATCAAAGAGCGTATGTTTTGTGTTTTCCATGGAAAGACACAACTCCTAGTCTCTGTACCAGTCGATGATTTACTACTATTTACTGCAGATACTGACAAACTACAGTCCGGGTCGGCCCGTTGGATAATACCACAACCAAACTAAAACCAGAATTTGATGTTTTAACTAAAATATCTCGTAGTTTTGTCGCAAGGTTTATTGTTTTCCAATTTTGCTCATGTAAAACTGCAGATATAGTTCATGAAATGTAAGTTTTTACGCCACACTAAAATGGATTAGGCGGGCAAAATTTTTTGTCTCTTTGCTGACCCCTATACTATACAGATTCTGTAAACGCAAATGAAGTGGAGTTTTGTATGATTTTGTCGGAATCAGTATGTATTTTCCTAATTCTTCGGAAATTCGGACATCCAACATTATTCTGTTTTTCTCGTACAAAGAGGCAACACTTAGTTTCTGCAGAAGTAGATGGTTACAGTTATCCGCGCACAAGATATCGGAGTATTGCATGTTTGACAGAAACCTAATTTCCATACGTCGTAATATCGGGTATCCAGTGATCGTAACCGGAATGAAAGTTCCAATAAGTAATCATTTAAGAGGGCGTTACGTTAACAGTACTGTAATATTTTTAAAATACACGAGGCTGCAGGAATAGAGAATATGGTTAAATTGGCGGCTGAAGCTGACTACGTTTTGGTTTCTGCCACAGCATTCTAGCATTATTCTATGCGGATTTACTTGCACAAAGGTACAACCAGGCGCCGCTTCTAGGTAAGTCTATCGCAGCGTTTACGGAACTAATTTTTGATTATTGTAACTAAACGAAAGCTTCCAGGGAGGCACATTGACATTTAAATTAGCTGAATTATAACTAATTTCTGAAAAGTGACAACCCGCAAAACTGCGAAAACGAGGCAATGTTTACAAACCTGTTTTAATATCTCTCTGAACCAACGAAATGTCTGGAAGAGAGCAAAAATTATAATTGCGTCATCGTTGAAATTTTGCTGATTGGCCATTATTACGGTAATGAACAAGGATATCGAAGTCCCGGAAAACATTCATTTAAGAAGGATTGGGAGTTAGTCTCGTGTAACCTTTACTGATAGACTTGACAGTGTGAGCGTTATTAGTTGGGCAGTTATTCCTGATCAGAAAAGACTGCAACCCTTCTAAAATTGAAAAGTCGCCTTATCTTGACAGTGGCTCATTTTACTAATCTTTATTCAGAGAATAATATAAACACGCAACATAAATAGACTCGCCCGCCATGCGTCCTGGTTTAGCCGGGACCGTCCCGATTTTGACAAGCTCTTCCGGCGTCCCGCCCAGTAAACTTCAATGTCTCGATTATACAGTATGTCAGTCATATTTTATATGTATTTGAAACAATACGAAGTTGCTCTTTCAACGATTATCGCTGGTTTGCGTCAATTTGATGTTAAATTATTCAAAATACTAAAAAGAAATTGTACGTTAGCCAATGATTACTTATCGATCTTAAGATCGGTAAGTATGTTGATAGGTATTTGTCTGTCTGTTAGATGAACGCGATATCTCAAGAAGGCGAGGTTGAATATGCTCCAAATTGCATGTGCATTCATCATATCTCAGACCAGAAGCCTATTGATATTGGATGGATTATGTCGTATGAATAGCGAGTTATTAATTAATTAGTGATGGGACACGCGGTGTCACTATAGAGTCATGAATCAAAACCGCAGTTTCGATCGATAAGTCTTCGGTCTCCAACCGATATTCTCGTTTAAATATTACTAATATACATACGAGTTGAATGTTACTAAGCTTCGGAATCGAACCTAGGTTTGTCCGAGCCGTACTATCCCGGTTTTTTGTTTCACATATATGGTGAGCCTAAATTTAGAACATATTGTTACATCTGCCAGGGATTCTATACTTAGTTACATCTTCGATTTTCTCTTTTCAACTATATATATATATATTTACACAGCAGTGGGCGTCTATCAATTTTTTTTAGTCGCCAAATTTGCCAACTCGGATTATATAGGCCTACATATACCTATTACCTGGGTTACTGTGCTCATTACGGAAAATCACGAATAGACTTTATCATGCGCTATATATTCTGACTTTGATCAGACGAGACATTACAGAAATATATGTGTGTTAGTATGCAAAAAGATATTATTTTAGGAAACAATTTCACTAGATGAAGTTTGGTTAATAAGCTCAGTATTTGCAGTATAGATCAATACCGCTGGTGTGGATATACCTTTGAAGCGAACTAACTTCTTTCTAACAAGAAAAAGACTTTCAATTATGTTGATGTTTAATCCATAACAAAGCAATGTTAACGACAAGCGAACAGAAAACAGAATGACAAGTTATCGTAAGAAAAGCACGCAAGTAATCATGCGTGACAAAAACATAAACAAAACAATTGTGACTCATAACGGCTATCAGTTAAGTGGTTCGCCACACCTTCCTCAAATCAGACGCCGAATCTCTCTTATTTCGAATCCTTTCCTTCCTGTAATATAGAAACATGATGAGTAACGATATCTAAACCAGTGTTCCCCAGTTGGTGCCAGTGTCCCCCTCCTCCGGAAGACAACAGAACAATTGACGGAGAAGGGGGCACCGTGCCAGACGCAAAACTGATTTCACTTTTCCCCTTTTACGAGAAACTTCCAGTTTTTCCGGTTTCATTGCTTGAAAAGGTTTTCTCACATGGATATGAAGTGATTAGGATCTACCACTGAAAATAACACTATAAACACAACTATAATGACAAACGGCGCCATGAGTGCCAAAATCCTCCGGGCGGGGGCCACGCCACATAAAAGATTGTAAACCGCTGACACAAACAATATATATATATTCGTAAGAACCGTAAAACGACCTAGAATGCTAGAAGACATGTAATCTATGGTAGGCTAGTTTGAAGCAGGCTAGATAATGAAATGCGTTTTGGACTTTAGTCGACCACAGCAAATGAGTTGTGCACCACAGACACCTAGAATTATATTTGACGTTATTAGAAGTATAGTGAGTGCCCGACATTGCATTATATCACGCAAATATATAGGGTGTCCATAAAATCTCAAAAAAAAAAAAATATATATATATATTCTCCAGCTTTTTTTTTAGGAGTGGGGGGGGGGATTGTCCATATTTAGGGGGCGATAATACTATTTGTAGCTTATAAAAATGTGTTATTTATTTGACCGACCATCTATACAGCCACTTTCTAAATAACCAAATAAATTTTCATTTACGGAATTGAAGTATGGTGTCACACCTGAAAATTGGGGGGTGTTTGAAATTTTAGGGGGGGTGTTCACTGTATTAGATTTGGGTAAGCCGTGTCGTGTTAATGTAACTTTTACAGTGACATAATTTCAAAATGAGGAAACCAATTATCAGTGAGTTTCATACAAAAGAGAACGCGTTCTTTAAAATTCATTTACCGGACGGAAAAGGAGCAACATCGTATGTGTTTAAAACGTTCAAATTGACAAATATCAGCGCAAATGTTTAGGCAATGTTTTCTCCCCCGAGTCCAGTTCTTGTGAGTTCTTATTTCTCAGTGAAATCTGGAGATGCCTTAACTAGGTGAATGTTTTAATTTATTATATACTCTTGCAAAATTTGACTGTACAAGCAGTTACTAATACGCAATATAGAAGTTTTTTTTCTAATTACCTTTTTGGTGGAATTGTTATTATAAATTACATCACCAGAACCTATAGGCGATTGATAGAAATCGCCACCAGAAATCTCGAAATTGGGTGGATGTTTTCCTGCAGCAAAATGAGATGAAAGTTAAAATCAGACTCAAATCATGTCAAAAAAAGTTAACGGTTATATAAGATTTATAGATTTCATAAAAGATTACCATCTGTGTCAAATACAGGCTTCTCGTCCCCCGGTTAAATTTTACTTTCCGATTTTTTCGCAAAAATGCACGATCCAGCAATTGCCGATCGTAGCTAGCCAAAAACTGGGGGGGGGGGGGGGGGGGGGGGCGTGCGTAGTAGTCACAGATATTTAAACTATATGTGGAACTCGTGCAGTATGCGAACCTAGATATCTGTCACCGGAACGTAGTATGAGTACCAGGTCAGGGTTAGGCCCTTAATTCCAATTTCCCTTATTTTAATTCTATTGCGAGTTCGAGAACTATCCAACATTATGACATTATGTCCTTACCCTAACCGGGTACACATACTACGTTCCAGTGTCCACTATCTTGGTTCACATACTTCTGTAGTACCCTATTTTTAATATTATCTGTTTCGAGTTATGACATTGTGGCCTCTAATTTATAGTAGGAACCATAAACACTTACGAGGGGGCATATGTTCTGCATTCGATGGCCGAGGATGTTCATGGTCTGTGTTTCTTCCTGATGTTGAAGAAGACGCTTCATTTGATGCTTGAGGCTGCTCTGAAATGATAAGTTTCAACTCAGGTTGGAGCCGGTTACATACAAGTAGGACTGGGCATTTCGAATCGAATATTAAATTATTCGAATCGGTTCAAAGCCAAATTTCGAATCGCCGCCATTTTTTTTCTTTCCGCCAATTATCTAGGACTAGGGGAATTCCTCATTTTTGTCCATTGAAGCCATAATTTTTCAACGCAATTCTAACATATGACTATTTTCTGTAGTGAGTTATTGATAAAACAAGTTTGTTATTGTGTGTGAACGCTCAGTAATCTATCTGAGTGATGTATTCTATGTCTCCAATAATTCATTTGGTAAAAAAGTCGCTTACAATCATATATTTCCAAGTATTCGATTCGATTCTGAAATCACAAAGTATTCAAAAATGCTCAGCCCCACATACAAGCCTATAGTGGTAGTACTCGGAGGTTTCCAGAATTCAGGTAGAAGATAACTTCGCGGTATTACGATGAAGATAGTAAGTAAAAAACTCACCATTCGATTCAGACAGTCGTTGACGAATCGGTTGGTCCGAGTTTCTACTTTGTTGAGACGAAGATGCTTCAATTGGTGCCGGAGCTTGCGCTGAAACAATAAATTGCCACACAGTTATCGGTCGGCAATCTCGCTCGGTGAGTTATTATTCAACATAAAAGCGGGTGGTATGAAGACTGGGAGTGAAATAGTACACTTGTTGCGGAGAACAGCTTTTTTTTATCAGAAATACAAAACGATTATTCTGTAAAATTGATGCTCTTCGTGCTTAGTTAAAATTATATGAACTAGGATCAGATAGGAATTTTATATTTATCCCGGAGAGAGAAAAGCCGATAGGACGGCTTATTTATATCCCACTGTCTTGGTCGAGTATGAAACGAGGTAGCTAATTTGATTGTTTCAGGTGCATGGACTTGATGGCGAAAGAAGCAGTCAACGACTAATGGTTAAGTGAACCACCCTGCTGCGGCGAGGAGCCTAGCAATTCTGTCGCACATAATGATCTAAACAAAAATAAATTCTGGCTTTAATTAAGCTCTGAAATTCACAGAAAAAATTGGGAGTCTAATTCACAACTCCGAGATTTTCAAAATGCGTCTCCGGATAATTTCAAAACTTTACTCGATTTAAAAACACATTTCCACAAATTGAAAACTTCACAACAATCACCTCCGTCGTCAATTTTTTGTGAAACTCCAAACAGTATTCTCAATATTCCCACACCATGATCCCATAAAAAGTCAAACACAGCTCTCAAGATATACCCTGTAAAATACAAACCAATCATGAAAGAAAATTTGGCGTAGGTCAGGGATGGGAGAACTGCGTACGACATGAGTTTCGCTAAAACATTTTGTGAGGCCCCCTCGCTCTCAACTGCGAACAAATTTAGATTTATTACCTATCGATCTCGATCGGTAAGTATGTTGATAGGTATTTGTCTGTTTGTCTGTTAATCACTTTTGTATGTTACCGATATCTCACGAAAGCGAGGTTGAATCTGCTCCAAAGCAAAATTTTGCGGCCCGCAAAGAAGTGCCAATTTGGACTTTTGTGTAGCCTGCGAAACGAGTTTTTAGTTTGCAAAGCCTATACCGGGTCCAATTTATTATCTAGGTCAGGGTGGTCCAAGGTTGTCGGCTCCGCGGGCCACAAAATTATTTTTTCATTGTTCGCGGGCCACAATAGTGCCAAGAATAGGTAAACAGTGCAATACAAAACAAACACTTTAATTGTGCAAACACATAGTTATCAGACATAGCCATCCCAGGCTAATAGAATCCGCATTCGATTTTTAGTTTTCTATGATGCCTATATTGTTAGCATATATTCCCGACCAAAAAGATAGAAAGCCAGATAATAATTTAGACTGTCAAGCACATCATTCAACTTCGCTATTTGCCTCAGCTATAGCCATAACACTAGTCAATTCAGTGACATTAGTGTCAAATATATTTATCAATAATATGTAACAATACGTTTTTTTAATTAATTGCGATTTGAAATGCGATTTATTGATTACTCTCCGAATGTGACGCGAGCCACAGATAATGACGCGACGGGCCACATGTGGCCCGCGGGCCTGGGTTTGGACCACCCTGATCTAGGTCTATGGCATTACAATGCTTCAACAGCTAGCTTGTGAATAACTTATGTCATGAGATCAATAAACAAAATTCGAAATTAAGGCGCGGCCCGCAGTTCACATATATTTGTATCTGGCCCTCCTGTATTAAATGTCGCACATCCCTACCAAACTCACCATTTTCTTCGTTCCTAGTTTGGTGCCGCGGTTGGTCCAAGTTTATTCCTGGTTGTGAGGAGCTTGCTCCATTTGATGGATGTGCTTGATCTGAAGTGACATATTATTTTTTACTCAGTAATCATTTGTTGACTAAACTTAGTTTTGGGTGTTTTATCACTGCTGGAATTCAAAATACCAAAAAATGGTTCTCTTTTGTATCAAACTCACTAACAGCAGGTTACAGCATTCCAGGAAATAACAATCAAACAATTTTAGTTCGGTCACTCTGAAAGCAACAAACGGACAAACAAAATGCAGAGAATCTGGAGAATGGGCATAACTTAATCAAGAAGTTAAAAACGTATGTAAGTACGTGCCCGTTCATCAAAAACAGTCAAAAGAACAAAATACAATAAACACACAATGTAAAATTGGGCAAATATATGCATGCTATTACGTAAGCTACATAAACATCACACGCTTCACATATATACTAAATTTCCGAAACGTCAATAAAAACGATAATCGTTATAGCTGCGGTAGACGTTGCCGGTACATATTTGCTGCGGTCTTCCATAACAGAATAACGTCTAAGGCAAAAAAAAACGATTTTCTACTCGTGGTCAAATGGGAATTTGCTTAGAAAATACAAAAAAAAATTGTAATTGGAAATAGGATTCCAGGAATCAGCAAATTAAAATTTTAGTCACTAAATTTGAAGGTCAGAAAATACAATGAACGATATTCAACGTTAGTTATCGGCAGTATCGAAACTAGACCTGAATCTCGAATTAAGAGTAACAAAAATTTCGAATCCGACGCTAGGTCCCAAACAATTTATTTTTAAACTCCAAAATGCAAAATGTGATCCCGGCGCTTAAAGCAATATTTGTGTCAATTTAGAAATCGCGTATCCGGAATTTCAAATGCATGGAAGCTCGATTCACAAGTTGGCTCACACATTTACTTAACTTCTAAAATTTAACTGCGACTACGGATATTTTTCAAAAGTTTATTCAACCCATATCCCAGTCTATAAAGTTCGAAACACAATTACAAAAAACTACAAAATATTTAATATAATCACTCACTTTCAGCAATATTGTCTCGGCCAGCTGGTGTACGGCCTGATAGTATTCTCCGTATACCATGATCCAAAAGTCCTCCCCCGCAAAATCTCAGACCTCCCAAGACCCCTACTCAAAAATATAATTGTTAACCGAGTTATGGCTTAGGGGCAGGAAAAATTATTCGGGGGGTGAACAACTTATAGATGTTGTTATACATGAGAATGAAGAAATTAAAAGTCAAGTAAAAGTGAAATATTTGTATTATTATTATCTAAATCAGGGGTTCCCAAACCAGGGGTCGCGACCCCAATTTGGGTCGGAGTGATAAGTAGGTAGGGTCGCAAACAGGTCAAGGGGTCGGTGGGGTCGCTGAGGTATGGTAGAGGATGGATGTACAAAGCATATGTGGCGGGACTGGAGTTGTACTATTTTTTATTGTTTATTATTTTATTTATATTTCTTGTCTGGTTATTGCATATGCATAGGTGTGTGGAGTCTGAGCCCTAATTCGCCCAATAGTTGTATTCAGTTACTCGACTCCAACCACCACTGCATATGTGAATTGCTTCGGATTCGCAGTGTCTCCCCTTCTTGCTTCTGCTGTCGCTGGGTAAGGACCGTATTTTGTCGCTCTTATCTTATCTGCTTTAAGCGTGGATTTTACACAATTTTAATAAAGTCTCTTCGTTTGCATCGTGAACTTCGAACCTATTTGTGTGTCTTTGCAGCACATTGGATCTTCTGAACTAATTATTACAGTATTACTAGACTGTATTAGTGGCGAGCACCTACCGGTATTCCGGTTAAGTCGTACCGTTGCACATCTAAGATTTGACAAACCATGTTAAATTTAGCAGTTTGTACCATGGCTTACTGTAAAACAGGCCCATAGGCATCGCTCTATGCTTATTCTATAGAAAATGTAGGCGCTTATTGTGACATCACTGTTTGGTTTTAGCTTTTCTTACTTAATACCACCACGTGACCAAACTCAAAAGTCCAATGAAACAAGCTCTAAAGTTCCATGAAAATATATATATATTGACCTGGGGTCGCACTGGAAACTTGAAAGATGTATTTGGGGTCGTCCTGAAAAAAGCTTGGGAACCCCTGATCTAAATCATCAAACTAAGAAACGAGAATATCGGCTTATCGATCGATAGTTAGGGGATCCCCCAAAACAGAAACTGCAGTTTCGATTCATCCGCTCTTGTAACTTGCGCACTGCGCATCGCACACACACGGGTCTCAAAATTCACTCGCTTTACAAAAATCTAGATCACTTCATCAATAATTGATTGATAACTCGCTAATTATACCACATAATTTGCCCAAAATCAATAGGCTTCTGGTCCGAGATAAGATGAATGCACATGCAAAATCTGGAGCAGATTCAATTTCGCTTTCTTGAGATATCGCGTGCATCCAACAGACAAACATACTTACCGATTAAAATCGATAAGTAACAAACTCACCCCTATAATGTGCTTTTTTGGGTGGCTGCTAGGGCTGAACATTTCGAATCGAATATTCGAATCGGATAGTAAATTATTCTAAGCTAAATTTCGAATCGCCGCCATCTTGGTTTTTCCTTTCCGCCAATGGTCGAGGGGAATTCCTCATTTTTTGTTCATTAAAGTCATAACTTATCAACGCAATTCTGACATATGACTATCCTCTGTAGTGAGTTATTGATAAAACGTGTTTGTTATTGTGTGTGAACGCTCAGTAATCCATCTTAGTGATGTATTCTATGTCTTCAGTAATTCATTTGTGGACCAATTACTATAAAAAGTCGCTTACAATTATATAATTCCAAGTATTCGATTCGATTCGAAAAAATTACTCGATTCGATCTGAAATCACAAGGTATTCGAAAATGCCCAGCCCTAGTGGCTGCACCTATGGTCAAATTACAACCCAAAACTGATAAAAGTTTCGGCGTGGAGATACCGTGTTTTCCCGAATAAAAGACTCACCCCGAATTATTATAAATGATTATAATTAAACTCTCCCCTTATAAAAAGACCTAGTCGAGAGCGCGAATTTTTTATTTTATTTATTTTTTGAACTAGTCGATAGCAAAAAATCTATCCTACATGTTTTAAAAGAGATATAATCTATGTTTAGCACTTATTATAAACAAAATTTTATAATTCTGTTATTTTTATAAGTAAATGTCGGTTTTCATATTTTGTATATTTGAAAATCTCGTAATTTTCTATTTTTAAATTTGTTTTTGATCAATAAAAATATATGACATCCCTCTAAAATAGGCCCTAGTGTTATTTTTTCGAAAGAAAATTGAAATAAGACTCTGTCTTATTTTCGGGGAAACACGGTATTCATTCCATGTGTGAAACGTCATATATTAATATACGTACCGCGCCATATCCCTACGAAGTATTCCCGGAATCCCATTCTTTCGTATACTTAGTTAAACAGTCGTTTATCTTCCACCATACTGAGAAAACATTTTATACAGACTGAAAAATATAATGAGATAAAAATGACAGATGTATTTTTCTACAAAATTATGGTAATGGTCAAAGTCAGTATGATCGCACGTAAAACATTATATAGGAAATGAAACTCTTCCTATGATATTATTAAGGGCGTCAGAGTGTAATTAATTGTGTAGGCCATTCCGAACTGGAAAAATTCTAGTCTTTCAAAATAAATAGTAGTTTCGTGCATATCGTCAGATATTAGTAGTTGCTTGTACGTAGGTAGTAAACGTCGTATAGGAGATATACAGCAGAACCTCTACTTGCGAAATCAATTCGTTCCGGAACAGCTGCGTAACTAAAAAATTCGTAAATTGTACACTCGAAAGATGTACTGCGGTATGAAATATTTTTTTAGGAAAGTTGACATCGTTTAAAAACTGTTCTAGCCCTAACGTGACAACGTGACTTTTCATGAAACTAACTGTAAATGAAACCCCCCCTCTGATATCAGTTTACTTCAGTGGTTTCCGCCCTTTTTTGATACATTACTCCACTCGTCTATTTTTGAGATCATTACGTGACCTCCTTCACCCCTATGCAGTTTAATTGTCATGCACAAAGCTCTTAAAAGTATTATTTTTTCTCTTTATATTTCAGTGAGTTTATAATACTTGAATTACTGTCCAACTTTTGCGTGATAAATGACCTTTTAATCCCATTTATTGTCAATTATCTCACCTAACCTAAAATCGTAATATTCATCTTCAGTTGGGAAATGTTGACATATTTAGCACTCACTCTAGGTACTATGATGATAATAATAAAGAACTAAAAATGCTAGTAGGCCTAACACTACAGGCTAATAAAAAGCTCAATTCCCCCATTTAAACAAATAAATTTCCCTCCACACAAGAAACCTTCACGGTTGGATAACACTATTTTAGTACATTACTATCTATCGAAATATCGATTCGATTCTTACAGTGTAAGTAAGAGCATATTTTCCACCCACGCCTCAAGAAAACAAATCTAAATTCAACAGTGTCTCGAGATTTCCTTGCCCTCGTATGAAGATATTATTATCACGAGCAAGCAGGTGTATACGCACATACAATCACTACGGTAATACTATATGTATTGTCGTAGTGTCACGGACTTCTATGCTTCATTTGTGTTCAATGCGGAACCGCCGTGAAGTAACTCTTTTTAAGATGTTTCCGGCGGAACCTCATAAATGCATGAGGATCAAATATTTCACTTTGGCCATTCATTTTCGTCCCCTATTCAAATAATAAACGTATATAAAATGGCCTTTTTATTCCAGCAATTTTACTATGTTCGATCAAGATTCGTCTGAATATAAGGGTTTTATCTGCGGCCGAGGATATGATACTGATGCAATGATGACACAATCTGAACTCAAGCTGTGAACGACCAGATGTGCAGTTGCGCAATCTACCTCACGCAAATCGTTACGCACGAAACGTCGCATAAACGTTATCACGACAATGTCGTGGTCGCCCTTTGCGTCGTTACGCAAACTTGGCGTCAAAATAGTTGATCAATTTTGTTCGCAAACCATTGGAATCGATAGTACAAATTCTGCAATAAAATGAGTTATGCGTATGTCAAGAAAGTCATCCGTATATTCCCGGAAAGGTAATTTTGTATACTTTTCAAAATTTAACCTATATTGATGATACATTTCTAAAAAAGGTATCAAATCTTATTAAAAATACAAAAAATTAGTAGATGGGACTAAAAATGAACTTACACATCTCATCAAAATATCTCGTAAAAAATATTGCTAGTTAAAAATAAAAGACTAGATAAGCTTTTATATGACATATCACAGACCATCTGATATCTAATGGTTTAGAAGTTGATTTAAAATTAGGGATATTACAATTTTTTCACGCGTCAAATCGATGCGACGGCGTGGGAGGTCAGTGTGAGAGAGTAGCGTCGTTCTGGGGATTCAGAGTTCATAGCCATATTCTCCCGACATGGTTCATTTTTCGCTCGCAAAGCCTTCGCCGAATGTCGACGGGGCGACGCCGATTTTGCCCCGGTTGCTCATTGTATATTGTATTCTCTCTTTTATCTTCCACTCGCCGCGTTTGTCTCGTTTGTTTTCTGTTTCTTTTACATTATCATCGGGGCCGATCGTGGCTAGCCCCGAAATTATGACGACACAATGCCGACGTTTCTTACAACAACGTGTTGACATATTCACGTATTCCTTCTCGTTCGTTGGTTGCTTGAAGAGTTGATAGTTTCCTCGCCTTCGTTTTTGTCGCTTGTTTCGCTATTTGAATCAGTTAGAGACCTTTAGTCCATTTGCTTTCGATTTTCCACATTCCTTTTGAGCTCCTCACTTCTTTCCGGCTTCGCATTTCTTAGCCTTAGACCTCATAATGAATAAGGTTGATGCACTACTTCGCACTCCGTTTTCGCAGCTGCCGCTGAAACAAAAATTAGAGGTACAACGTCTTGGGCCTTATTAACCAAAAAATTGTTCACTGGAACAATCCCATGACGGAGGAAAGTGTCGGCGTACATTCTGCGCAGAAACTTGGTATAAAAAACACGAATGGTTGTGTTACAGCGAGGACAAAAATGCACTTTATTGTTTTTATTGCCTACTTTTTGCTACCGCCCGTGACTCACGTTGGTGTAAATTTGGTTTTAGAGATCTTAAACATCTTTCCGAGCGTGCCAGGGATCATCAATCTTCTATGGAGCATCTGGACAATGCAGTAAAACATTCGGGAATGTTAATATTGCAGCACAGTTGGATGAAGGACGCGCGGTTTCTATTCGTCGGCACAACCAAAACGTCGAGAAAAACCGCCATGTTCTCGGTCGATTGATAGATGTTTTGAAGTTCATTGGTTGTCACGAGCTGTCCCTCCGTGGGCACGATGAACGGGCTGGCTCTTCTAATAGAGGGGTATTTTTGGATATGGTGGAATACACCGCATCCCTAGATACCGTATTGAGAGATCATCTTAATGCCGCACTAAGGATATCCAAAATGATTTGCTCGACTCAATGTATAAAATTTATTCACAACATTTGGCTCTGGAAATTGAGAATTGCCAGTTCCTTTCGATTCAGTCTGACGAGACAACTGACGTGCGTTTCCCAACTGGCTGTGAATTTTCGGTTTGTGAAAGATGGTAAACCTACCGAGAGATTTCACAGCTTTGTACCAATCGTTGATCGCACGGCTTGCGGGATATCGGCTGTACTGAAAGAAGTGTTACAGCCTTACATCGCGAAGTCAAAATTGTTAGCTCAAACTTATGACGGCGCGGCAGTCATGAGTGGGTCGAAACATGGTGTTCAATTTTATATAAAAGAAGATTTTCCTCATGCGCATTTTTTAAATTGTTATGCACACCAATTTAACCTCGTTATTAAAAATATGTGTCTTGATACCCCTCTCGTCCGTATATTTTTTGCAAATGTTTCGGGGTTTTCTTCATTTTTTTCCGTTTCGCCGAAGCGCTCTGACCTCCTTCGCCAGGTATGTAGCCGCCGTCTCCCAGCTTGTGCACCAACACGTTGGAACTTCCAATCACGCGTGGTGCAGGGCGTGTCCGAAATTAGGTGTGAGCTCATTGAGTGTTTCAATGGCATTCAGAGCTCTCCGGTTTGGGACGAACGCTCTGTGAGGGAGGCGGCAGGTCTAAAGCGTCTGCTAGAAGATGGTTGGTTTTCATTTTTTCTCGCTTTTTTTTCCACAATATTCTATCACGTGGATGTATTATACGGCGCATTGCAGTCAAGGCTATGGAGCGTCTGTGCAGTCGTGTATTTCAGACTTCTGCGATGCTGTATCTCGTATCCGGGAAACAATAAAATACGACGACACATGGAGTGCTTCTTTACGCCGCGGGCAAACAACGCAGCGTTTGATTTTGTCTGTAAAGGAATGCTGTGACATTCTGGTGAATCAAATAGGCGATCGTCTGCGCACTGAACACCTTGCCGCGTTCTCTTTGATGAACCCCAAAAATTTTTCAAAATTTGCACGTCAATTTCCCATCCATTTGTTGGCTACTGTCTCCAAATTTTACCCCATGATAAACGTGGGTAAATTGGAAAATGAATTGCGATGTATATACACCAATCAAACTTTTTTGAACATCACATCAACTTGCGCGCTCTATGGGTTCCTCATAGATAACACTCTAGTAACTACCTTTGCGGCGTCTGCAAAATTTCTGGACATCATTTTGACGACGCCTATTTCTTCCGCCGACGCAGAGCGAACATTCAGCACGCTGAAGCGTATTAAAACGTATATCAGAAACACAATGAAGCAAGATAGATTAAATTCCTTGGCTGTTTTATCCATTCACAAAGACGTTATTTCTGGGATGCATGACTTTAATCAGCGCGTTATTGAGCATTTTGCTTCCAAAGAGGTTTCAAAATGAGCTATGTCTATATTTATTAATCCCTTGACTTGGACCGGTTTTAAAGACACTTTCTTATCGTTAAAAATTGTCGCTTTTACCGATTGGTTGTTACCGATGGAATGGTTTTTATACTCATAAAATGATGGGAGAACTTACAGCGCTCATCCTGTCCCCGTAGATGGGGGTGACTTGGTCCCGCAGTAGCTTGCCCCGGTTGTCAAAATGACCACGCGCCGCCACTGCTAAATATAGAGTATACTGTTATGTCCGCAACCCTGTCAGAGCCGTCAATCAGCTCTTCAATCTATCTATATATAGCAGTGGGCATCTATCAATTTTTTGTTAAATTTGTTGAGTAGATTATTTACAGAGTTTTGTTACCTGTGTCACTATGCTTAAAAATATATTTTATCATTTGCTATAAATTCTGACCTTTGTCATACGAAACGTTATAGAAATATATGTGTCTGTGTTAGTGTGCAGCAAGACTCTAGCACTCGAAACAGCTGTTCCCAAACTTTTTGTTCATGCGACGCCAAATTTTCAGAAAAAAGGCCCACAGAGCACCTACACGAAAACAATTTCTGTCGTTGAATAAAATCCAATAAAAGTCAATTTTGTGATTGTTAATGTTTAATTTAAGTCTTTTAAAGGTTGTAAAGATGTAGGCCTGAAAGATCAAGTCTTCTCTCTTTGAAATACTGAAAACATCACTCGTGTTCACTAAACTAGGTTCAACAAATAAATAAATTACAACTCTAGAAATTGCAGCAAGTAGTGTCTATCTTTATTGGTACGTAATAATAGAGGCAGATACTACGTAACAGAACGGAAACGACATAGAAAGGTACAATGAATTTATTGATTCATAAACACAACATTTAAAATAAGAAGCAATAAAACATTTGTAATTTAAAGAATATGTAAAAATAATCAATCATATTTTAGATGTTTAACACAATCTTGTTAATTTTCACGACGCACTCAATGGCCTTTGCGAACCGCTGACTTAGAATATATTTTATAGTATCCGTAGTAGTGATTAGTAATGATGATGTGGATATTTCTTTAAATCGGGCGCCGGAATATCTTGTAGCTCGCATTCTTACCAACCTGGAATATAGAAACACAACGGTAACTAAATCAATATAGGCCTACTCATATGCATGAGATGTAAGGACAATCCTAAAAAGTGACAGCGGTTCCCAACCCGTGGCTATCCAAGGGGGGGGGGGGGGGGCATGGCAGTTGAAGGGCGCTATAATGCTAAGCGCAAGACTGATTTTACTGTTCACTTTACAATAAAACTAACCGTTTTTCCTAGTTTCATTGCTTGATAAGGTTATTTCACATGGTGTTTTCACTTTTTTGAGCATGAATTGTTTGGACATAATAGGATTTGGAATCTACCAATCAAAATATCCCTATAAATACCACTGGAATGATAAACAGAGGGGATCATGAGCCACGAAAGGATGGAAACCACTGTTATAAGATATTTTATCTGTGGTAATACTTCGAAATAAATTAAATAACTAGATGTTAGACGACGGCAGCTTGCTCTGAAATGATAAGGTTTAACTCAGGTTAGGGCCGGTTTACATACAAGGCTAGATAGTGGTATTACTCAGAAATATCCGGAATTCAGCTAGAAATGGCATGGGCAAACTACGGCGTGCGGGCCCGCCTAATGCTGCCACAACCAATTCAAAACTGAATTTCGATATTTTAACTGAAAAAAGCTCAAGGAATCTGTTGAGATTGCGATTCAATTTAGTTTCGGCACGAGGATTATTGTTTTCCACTTTTGCTTTTAGAACACTATTGTTCATAAAATGTAACTTTTTGCGTCACACTTTATGGACCTCCAGTCAATGTGGGTAACCTTTTTGGCCTCTGATCCAAAAAACTTGCCCACTCCTGAACTGGACGGTAAGTCCGCGGTATCACGATCGAGAGTAAGTAACTCACCATTTTCTTCATTTGCTTGATCCGGATCTCCACTTCGCGGTAACGAAGGCGCCTCATTTGGCGGTTGAGGTTGCTCTGAAACGATAAATTGTGCAGTAATTATTGCAATTTGAAGTTTTTGTGAATTCATAATTAGAACGCGACGTCATCAATATCATTAAGTGGAATTTCAAATTTGCAAATACAATTGTGAATTTTTCGGTATCGATTCCTACATCCGATAACGGTGCATTATCTACAATCAAATTTGGTATGCGCCAATTTGTAAATTAGCGAACTATTTTCATCAGTGCTAAAAGAATCGGCATGCCTGAACGGGATATGACTGCTCAATGTATGCTGCTCAAACTGAGCAATAAGTGTCGCTGAGTGGATGACTTGCCATGTCTTTCGCGACTTCTCATCAAGTGCCAGATTCAATGTTTTCGTTATTTTGATGTGTGTTTATTTTTTGACATCGATTATTGCACAATGAAAATAAATATTTGAATATGAATCTGGTATGACACAGCATGTGGGTGGGTTTCGCCTGTCTATTGAGTAAAATTATGCGGCTTACGATGAATTTACAAATTAGCCATGTTTGATAAGTTGATCCTTCAAATCTTTTAGTCCTATTTTCGAAAGAAGTTGAAACCATTTGTGATGGCGTCAATCGGTCTCAACATAATTTCTCCCATTATCTACGATCAATAGGCACAATGGTCATATTATTCCATAGTTTAGCACAGTGCTACTTTACCGAAGATCCATTTACAAAACTTCAAAACTATTTGGGTCTGGTTTTCCCAGAAAATATATTTTGGCATCCTTATACGCGCACTTCCTCGACCAGTTAGTGATTTTTAGCTAATCAAAATCGCTTATTATGGTGTTACAGTTCTTTTCATATATATTAAAATCTATGAAAGTTATTTTATAAGAGGAAACTTCAAGAGTGGGGCTAATGATCCAAAATAAAGAATTAGATGCGGTCCGAATCAAATACTCGAAAGGTCCGGATTCGGACCGCGGTCGGCCAGTTGTGTTGCCCTGGTTTAGTGAATGGCAGACGTTATCTCCATCGCAGTTTAAACTCGAATGAGGCAATTCATTAGCCACGTCATTTTACGATTAAAACCTATTTTCGCCCGATCCAAACAGCGCCCATGATTCCAGACATGTCTGCCATACCCCAGATCAGGGGTGTGTAACCTTTAATACAGGAGAACCAGGTACGAGTAACTGGGTGAAACCCTTTTTTAACATAGGCCGCACATCATTCCAAATTAGCACTTCTCCGCGGGTCGTACAATGTTTGGACTGGCTACAGAATCGGAAACACATTTCGACAAAAACTCACAACAATCACCCACCTTGGACAATACCCTCTCCGTCAATTTCTGCCTGGCCTTGTGGAGCTCCGAACAGTATTCTCCGGATACCATGTTCCCAAAAAGATAACCATAGATTTCTCAAGATACTCACTGAAAATACAAACCCATTATGAAAGGAAAATGTAGTAGTCCAGGGATTGGTGAACTACGGCCGTGTGTAATCCTAATACCGGTATGTATAATTAAGATACCGGTTTACCGCAAAAAGGTAAAACATAAAATATTAAACCAGTGGTTTTCAAACTAGGTTCGCAGTGTCTAATCCCGTGCGGAAATAATTATGTGCGAGAGGATTGCCAGACTCCTCGCCGCCGTAGGGTGGTTCACGTAACCGTTGGACGATTCAAATTTCTCCACCATCAAGTCCATGCTTCTGATAACAAATAAACGGCTAACCGATCCCATACCCAACATGGACAGGTAACCGACCGGACGAGAGGCCGTGGTTCGCCATATGATTAAGCCCTATTATCGACTTTGCTCTACCCCGGGATAAATATGTAAAACCTATTCTAATCACACACCTTCATCCACATTTTCACCGTCAACCGATGCATGGTATTGTGGAACTGCAAATAGTGTTCTCTGGATACGACGATTCCAGAGTATCTTGCCGGGAGATCTCCGAGTGCCCAAAATACCCACTGGAAATATAATTGTAAATCGGGGTATGGCTCAGGAACAAGTATTTTAAATCAGTGATCATTATTCTCCAGAATTTTAGATCATTATATGCTATAGCAACGGTGGGAAAACCGCTCGCCGGAATTTTTATGCGGCTCTTCTCGCTGGCAATAGTTATATATTATCCAAATTTAACAAAAAAGAAACTGTAGCGTGACAGTTTTTTTTTTAATTCATCAAGCGGTAACATATACTTTGCAATTTTGGTATTATACGTTTGTGTAAAGTTCTATTTAGTTCACGGTAGTTTATGCGGCTCTCACATATTTCTGACTTGTTACATGCGGCTCTTAAACTAAAAAAATTTGCCCACCTCTGTGTTATAGGATTGATGTGCTCCTCGCCCCCGCAGGGTTATTTACATAACTGCTGGTCGGTTACAGCTTTCTTCATCATCAAGTCCATGCTTCCAAAACCAAATAACTGACAGACTATCTTATGCCAGACCGAACGTATAACTAGCTAACTGATCCCATACCCAACATGGACTGGGAACCGGTCGTGAGGCCGTGGTTCGCCATATGATTAACTCGTCTTATCAACTTTTCTCTACATGGAATATGAATGATTTCTTATTGAACACGTAAATGGACCTATGGATCGTTTAATATTATGTTGTTCTTTGTCACAGAAAAAAATGCTTTTCTCATTGATTACTGGACCAATTGCTTTGAAATTTTCAGTCCTTAAAGATTAAATTTTTCGCTACAAGGCTATTACTTTAATTTATTTCAAATATACCGGTGAGCTGCGTGGGATTTTTTTGTGTGCTATGAGCCTATGACGTCATCATAATTTGCCACTGTGTGGCGCTACGTGTTCATATATTTGAGCATAGCTCTCTTGTCTTTATCCATCGTTATTTGTAAATGTAAGAATTAATATTAATCAATATTAATATACGTACCGCGCCATATCCATACGGTATATTCACCTAGTCCCATTCTTTTGTCTACTTCGTTAATCAGCAGTATATTCTTCCAAAATACTGAGAAAACATTTTAAAACAAACAGCATGTAAAATGACTGTTGCATTGTTTCTCAATTTATTGTTCGGCTGTTTGCTCGCCAACGCACCTCTGATTACTCCGCGTGAGTTTCTCAGGTTCGGATCCCATGCAGGGTTTATTATGTGGAAGAGGATTGCTGGACTCCTCGCCGGCGTATGGTGGTTCACGAACCGCTAATCGGTTACGGCTTCCGCTACCACCAAGTTCACGTATCTGCTAACAAATAACTGGCTAACCAATCCCATACCGACATGGACTGGTAACCGGACGAGAGGCCGCGGTTTGTCATATGAAAAAACCGCCGTATCGCTTTCCTCTTCCCTGGTATAAATATGTAAACCCTATCCTAAGCTGTTTGGGATCTAACTTGTCTGTCCCGTCGTATGATAGTACTTCGTTCGCCTCTGTGGGTTTGCTCCTAGCATTATTACCTGTGACTAATAGTAAATAGAAATATGCAAATGTTTGGCTGACCAATATGTCGCCAAGAAGTTTCTGCCTTCTGTACTTAGTTTCTTATTTATTCCCTATTTTATTTCAAAGAAAAAGACTCGATCACCTGCAGACCATTGGATCATCTTCGTATAATTATGAAAATTTATGCAATGTCATTTTACTTTTTCAATGACGAACAAATCAATTACATTCACCTATTAAAAGGTTTTATTGAAATAAAACTTTGTTACTCATTTTTGCTTGTGCCATGACGTCAGTTCTGAAAACTCCGTGGGTCGAAACGTCTGAATACCGATTTACCAATATATATATTTACGTCATTTTGCTTTTTTTAATGACGAACGAATCAACTGCATGCACACCTGTCAAAAGTAATATTGAAATAATATTTAATTACTTCTTTTGTTTTGCTTTCATTGCGCATCATTTATAAACGTATCTCTGCACTCGAGCCTGCTTGTGCCATGACGTCAGGTTTAAAATTCCGTGGGCCGAAAGTTTCTATAACGCTATATATATATATATACGTCATTTTGACTCTTAAATCCTAGTGAATTAATTGTCTATCGCATGCACCCACCCACCTGTTAAAACAACGTATCTGCCTAAACAACAACTGGTCAATATATGTTCAACAATTTCAGAATACCGCCATAATTAAGCGCAGTAACAAATCACCAATAAAGGTCCAGAATAATAATTTATATCCGTGTTAATCTTTTTATATTTCAGTGCATATATATATATATTATTTTAAAGCTCAAAGTCTGATTAATGAGCGCTTTTTTAATTATCTATTCACGTGTTTCGTGTGTTAATGTTTCTATGAAAAACGTGTATTTTTATGTCTTAACTTCAAGTTTTATCTTATCATCTTTTTTCTCTTGTTTTTGCTCGTTTTTGACTTACTTATACACACGGCACACGATTGCTAAATATACCCGACCATATATAGTCCAAACGGTGGCAAATTTGCTTAGTGAGAGATTTAGAGGTAAATTTGCCTAGAGAGAGATTATCCCAAACTCCAGAACCAAGGCCTTACAACAAAGGAATAAGATAGAATTTTCTGTATTTATTCCGGGGGGTGAGGAAAGCCGATAAAGCGCGCCACGTCCGGTTACTGATGCATGGGGTTACCGTGTTTCCCCGAAAATATGACCTACCCCGGAAATGAGACCTAGCCTGAATTTTAAAAATGATTTCAATATAAGCCCTCCCCTTAAAATAAAACCTAGTTGATAGTGTAACAAGAAATCTTACATGCTCCTACTTTAGCAGGTATTTTAAACAAGAACGTGTTATTTATAAGTAAATGGATGTCGGTTTTCATATTTTGTATATATATATATGAGAATCTCGTGATTCTCTACTTTGTACTTTTGTTTCTGATAAATGAAAATAAGAGGCATCCTCCCAAAATAAGCCCTAGTGTTATTTTTTGATAGAAAATTGAAATAGAACACTGTCTTGTTTTCGGGGAATCACTGTAATTAGTTATTTGTTCCAGATGTGTGCGTGTTTCAGATCTTGGAGTGCAGATTACTTGAACCACTTTACAACAGTTAAGAGTCTTGTCGCACTTAATTATCCCCCTCGGTATTCGAACCTGCAAATCCACGCAGGTTAATCAGATGTGCGATGGCAAGCGTGTTTCCGTAGCACATTGGTTCTCAAAGTGTAGTTCGCGGTCGCTTAGGTGTCCGCAAAGCGATTTTGGGGAGACCGCGGAGCAATTTTGACTGTGCCACAGTAAAACATGAATTGCAGGAAACATTCTCCGATGTTTGTTGTATCGTGTGTCTGTCTTTGATACGCTACTCGCTATTAATACAAAATTTCGAAACATAATGGAATTAAAACATGATATGAAAGTTGTACTGTCCCAAACAGAACTCAAAATAGATAAACTTGTGGAATACAAACAATTGCACCTATCCCAATGAACTGTATTAATAACATGCAATGAATGAATGCTTGATATCAAGCGTTGCTGTTTGATTTTAATTCTTTAGTGGACCGTGAGTCATCAGAAAATTGTAAGGGGACTGTAAGTGGACGATGCGCCTACTGCCTAGCCACTAATATTGCACATTTTGTGTATCCACTAGATGTCAGTATATTGCCAATGGTTTCGTGGAGCTTTTTTGAAGAAAGCTCTGTTGCTGTCCGTTAGCCTGCAAATAGGCCTATTTCTTACCATTTTTTGGTTGTTTATATCATCTTCGATAATGTCGCAAGACACTCAGGCGCTTTTATCACAAGCGGAAGTGTCGCTGGATATACCAGATGAATCTCTAACCGGAGACATGACCACCACATATCCTACAGCCACGGGAACAAAAAGTTATGGCGACGGAGCGGTGGGATCGTTTTTTCAGAATAAGGTGAGGGTTTATTACAGTTTTGGGAAATGGTTCAAATGTTTATCTCTAACCTTGCTCTATCATAGGTATTGTTAATTGAATATTTCATATGAAATCCATTGGCTGAATGGTGAAGATTATAAATTGCGCTCTTATTTGCCGTAGCTTATTGCCTGCATTGCGCAGTGCCGATTTTAGGATTTGGAGGCCCAAGTTATAATTGATGTCGTTTAATTTGTGGGGACTATTTTTAGAATATGAGAACTGTGCCGTACTCATTCAAGAGTTCAAGATTGATTTGAATAATCACGGAGACGTGCATGGTGCGATCTGACTCTGACATATGGAGGAATGTGCCAAACGCCCTCGTTTCAGAGACAAATAGAGTGTTTGTATTATTGAACCACATGTCGGTACAATCTTCTAATTTGAGAACTGTGTCCCACTGCATTACCACTCCCTGTCACTGTGTCAAGTATCTGAATAGTTACACTCATTATGGATATTTATTCACCAGTAACCTGTGGCACCGGTACAACTCCAACTTTGCCCTATAAAAATAAATCCACATTTAAGCATTAATTTGTATATTGCAAAATATTGCGACGAGAAAATGGGAGAAATAACTGTTCCATTTCGGGTGCTCGTTTGCGCGTCTTGGATGGCAGTTCATATAGTTTAAAGGGCTCTATTACGTCACTGTGACGTCGTAATGACATAATTTTTGGATGGTGTAGTCAGGTGAGGGTCAGGATTGATACCTGAGAAAATTGTCATGCTACGCCCACTAGAAGTATGTTAGGTAAGAAACTACATGAGACCCGTACTCTTCTGTACATGGCCTAATTTATGATTGATTGGATATTTCAAATCTGAAAACATTTAACCTCAATTGCAGTTTTGGCAATTACTGTCCGTGTGTTTTGTCCTATATATTCTATTTTTGGTGCTCCCGAAGTATGCGAACCAAGATGGCGGACATCGGAACGTAACATGGGTAACAGGTTAGGGTTAGGCGATAAATTTTTTCCAATTTTCCTTATTTTAGTCCTATTATCAGTTCGAAGACTAGCCAAGAGCCTCCCGTAGTATATATAGCTAAAATTATGGCCTAACCCTAACCTAGTACACATATTACATTCCGATGTCCGCCATCTTGGTTCGCATACTTCGGGAGCCCCCTATTTTTGGTACTCTCATAGTGTGTGTACCAAGTTAGGGTCAGACCATAATTTTATTCCAATTTTCCTTATTTTAGGTCTATTACGATACGAGTTTGGGGACTGTCTGTGATAGCCAAGTGAATATACCCCCAGTCCATAGGTTTCAGTCCCTTTACATAACTTGATGTAAATTAGCCAAACAAAATTAGTTACCTTCATATTGGTACATACACTTCTGTAGGCTCTATTTTTTGCACCATGGCGGATTTCAAATTGAATTATTTCCTCTGTAACTTAGTTGGAAACCAGCCCAAATGAACCTACTGGAGTGCCAAGTCCTTACAGAGACAGTGGTTCCCAACCTTTTTACGTTAAATTTCTTCTTTCGCTTGTTTTAGCACTCTCTGTTCCTCCCTCACTAGAAAGAACTTTATTTATTCAATCTTTAATGGAACTTAGCTAGTGTTACAGGCGCGGCGGTGTGGCTCAACGGGCTAAGCGTTAGGAATACACTCGCCACCTATTCCGCGTGGGTTTGCAGGTTCGAATTCCATGCAGGGATGGTTATGTGCGAGAGGATTGCTGGACTCCTCGCCGTCGTTGGGTGGTTCACGTAACCGCTGGTCGGTTACGGCTTCCTCCATCACCAAGTCCATGCTTCCGAAAACAAACAATACAGTAAAACTAATCCCATACCCGACTTGGAATGGTAACCGGACGAGAGGCCGTGGTTCGTCATATGGATAAGCCGTCTTATCGGCTTTCCTCTCCCCCGGGATAAATATGTAAATCCTATCCTATCCTAAGTCGCACACCCACTTTTGTACAATTTAAGTATTTTAAAATGTGTGCATGAATAAGTATTTTAGTATATTAAAGAACTTAGAAATATGGGGTGTCCATAAAATCATAAAATTGTAAAGGGAATTTATCGATACCATATATTGTTTTGGCTCTCACAGATTTATTTAATGAAGTAAAAATACTTGAACAATTACTGATTAAAAAACAACATACCTGGTTAGGAGTTAGGACATATTGAGAACTGACTTCATAACAAAATTGAAATTGTAAAGGGACTTTATGAACATTCTGTATTGGTATTATTAGAGCAAATACAAACAAAATACCTCTTCAAGAGTGTCAAAGTTCCCCTCAGGGCAGGAATTCGTCCCTGGTTGGGAATTGTGACTATGAAGAATCATAAGTGTGGAATTGCACACTAGTGAATACTTAAATCAGTGGTTCTCTAACTCTTTAAGCCGCTCCCTCATTTTTAGAATTTGTCAAGTCTCGCACCCCTTGCATAAAAATGCCTAGCTAACAATAAGCTACAGATAACAGATAGTGAGGCGAAAGGGTGTTTTATTCGAAAAACGTGGAAAATACGTGGATGTAACGTAAATATCCAAAACAAAGAAATGGTAATATCCAAAACAAGGCGGACAATTTAAAATCTAACAAATAATTTTATTTTTAATTAGTTTCACTCCCCCCTCAAAAAAATTGTCTATGTCCCCCTTGCGGGGCGCGCCTAATCGTTTGGGAACCACGGACTTATATAAAATTATCTTATGCTTTAAGGGTTATGGTTGGCTTCTAGAGACTAGTCGTGTTAGTAAACACTGATTGATTAGGATTTCAAATAAAATTATATTGGATTGGCGCATTGTGCAAAGCGTTAAGGATATGATCTGCGATAACCCTACAAGGGGGATAAATATGTTCGAAAATGGAATTGAAAAGTCTGTGCATCTGAAACAAACAACTGACTTACCAATCCCATACCCGACATGTAGGCTACTGGTAACCGAACAAGAGGTTGTGGTTCCCATATGAATAAACTATCTTATCGTTTTCCTGTCTCCGGAATAAAACATAATATATCATTCTTATCTTATACAGGGGTATGGTAACCGGACGGGAGGCCTGTCTTATCGGTTTCCCTTCTCCCCCAGGATAAATATGTGAATCCTATCCTATCTATTTCAGGGTTATGGTTGGCTTCTAGAGACTGACGACGATGAAGAAAATGAAGAAGACAGACCTTTGCTTGAAGAGCTTGACATTGATCCTAAAGATATTTATTACAAAGTACGCTGTGTACTTTTACCCCATCCAGCTTTTGGTTTGGATCAAACCGTCCTAAAAAACAGCCCCGATTTCTGGGGCCCTCTTGCCGTAGTTTTATTATTTTCACTCGTGTCACTTTACGGACAATTTCACGTTGTTTCCTGGATTATAACGATATGGTTTTTCGGTTCTATGGTGATATTTTTACTTGCTCGTGTCCTTGGAGCGGATGTGACTTACTCCCAGTCATTAGGCGTTATTGGTTACTCGTTACTCCCTCTAGTGGTTACTGCACTTGTGTTATCGGCCACGAAAAGTTTGCTTTATCTTTCAATGTTATTGAGGATGGTAGGCGTGTTATGGGCGTCGTTTAGTGCAGCCACCCTCCTAGCTAGTGAAGAGCTAAAACATAAGAAAGTGCTAATTATTTATCCAATTTTTCTGTTGTATATATATTTCTTATCTCTGTACACAGGGGCGTAAGGATTTCATCGTTTTTTAAAACTTAATTAGCTTTAATATAAAATAAAGGATGTTTGAAACGAAAAATTGAATTAGTCAAAATTAGATTTGTTTGAGAATTTTAAAAATAATTTTAAGAATAAAGTTTTATTTTAAAAATTAGTATCTTGGCAATTGAAGAAAAGCATTATTTGATTTGAAAAAAAAATTTTTGGTTGAATTCGAAGGACCACAAAACTAGTTTTGAAATTTGATGAGCTTGTGGATTATGCAGGTTGACTGATCTGACTTCTGTAGATATTTATGATTAGAAATATTCTGGGAAAAGATTCTGTAACTGTAAGAAGTTAGTCTCATCTATCCTTAAATGCGTTTTTGCGTTCACGAAATTCTCAATTGATTTTACTTTACTCACTTTCCCACAGAACTGGTTTCAAAAATTTGACTGTCGTTAAACGAAACAGATTGACTGATCAATGTTCTGTGGACATTTCTGTTCAAAAAATATTTTGGTATGCTGTAAGCTGTAACATAGACTCTTTCAAATACCAAATCATGTTGAACCTGGAAATAATTTACAATTGACTATAGATTTCTTGTGCAGAAAAACCTAAACTTTGACCCCAGATTGGAAAAAAAAATTCAGTTTTGAATAAAATCAATTTTTGATAACAAAATCTTTTGGCTTAGACTAGCCTTCTAAAATTGGCTGTTCAAAGCACTTAATAATCCTAATGCATCTCTGTCAAAAATTTCGATTTTTTTCTCCACCATTGTACTCAAACTCAAATGAGCCAAACTCCTGCTCCACAGCATTTTTCTATTGTTTACCTTGGTTGTGGACCACAGCAATCCTCTCAAAATACTCACTCTGATGTTTTTGTGTTTCCAACTGTGGGATTACCGATAACTACAAAGTATCACTTTACAAATCATTTTATGTTTCTTTTGAAAACTTGGACACCATAAACAAAATGGTTTAAAGCATTTTGAAATATATGTACAAAGCGCCACAGACTCCGCTTTTACATGCCTGGTGACTGCATGTAATTTTGCTCTTGCTGAATATTCGCTTCAAAATATGGCTTCTGTGAAATTATTCAATATTAGCAAAATATATCTGACCATTCTGTAGAGCTGTTTTTCAAAAATATTTAGCGCAGGGCTTTCTTATTCTACTGTATAGAAATATATTCTAATTCATATTTTAATGCTCGATATATTACAAAGTGAAAAACAAATAACTGGAGACTGCAATTCCGTATTGGGGAAGCATGAGTTGAGTTATCTAACAAGGATTCCTAAAACAAGTTTCCCAATCGGGAAGGATTACTCTTCAGGAAGGTTTCCTTTTGTCGCCTTTAGTATTACTATTTGATTCAAGAGTCTTGCTGCACGCTAACACAAATGTATTTCTGTGCTGTTTCGTGTGGCCGGGGTCAGACTTCTTCAGGCAAGCATTTTTCAACTATGATAAGAAACGCTATAGCATGTAAATAAATAGTGGTTAGCGATTGTTTGATTAGTTTTCAATAGAAAGTAATAAAATTGGCGATAATGCAAGAACAGTAGGGAAGTCGATTTAAATGCTAATCGATAAATATCTTACAGTTTGATATAACAATTAAAAAGTTTTTAAACAATTTTGTATTTCTGATGCCTTCTTTCGCGAGACTCAAACGCTGGGATAGTATAGCACAGTGGCTCTCAACCGGTGGTCCGCAAAGCATTTCCAGGGAGTCCGCGATTAAATTAAGATTTTAGGAAATTATTTGCAGTTTAATATCGTTTTTTTTGTAATACGCTCGAACACTTGCTGCCTATGACAAAGTGACAATAGCCTACAAAAACTATTTTGATTTATCTCCCGTAGACCTATTGTGACAAATACAAGTTATGACATGACACTGATAAATACGAGAACGCAGCTATACAGTGATCACTTTCTCAGTTTTGGTGCGCCATTTTGCCGTCGTACCAATACGTCGCCTCCACATATCTTTGTGAAAGTGGATTTTCTTCTCTCGTTCATATCAAATCCAAGGCTCGTAACCAACTAAACGTCGAAGACGATATGCGTCTATCGTTATCAAAAAAAAACGACCACGTGTTTCAAGACTTGCTTCTGATATGCAACAGCAGAAATTCCATTAAGTATATTCGATTGGGCAAAATAAATGAAAATGTCCACTAGTTTTGGTGTTATTTTTGACTTGGTTAAATCTGTATGGAACACTAGGTTGCTGTTTGAGCTATAAACTAAATTTCAAATAAAAAACTTTTGAGGGGTCCGCGTACGCTTTGAGAGCACCAGAAGGGTCCGCAGGAACAAAAAGGTTGAGAACCTCTGGTATAGCATTTTTATAAGAGTAAGTGCTTGAAAATGTTTATTATTTCAAAGACTCAAAATAGTTCCAACTAGAAAAAAAATCGTTCATGGTAAAGTATGAAAGTATTTTTCAGGGACAAATGTAGGGGAAACACCAATTTTTTGCTTATACACGTAATGGTAATTCAGGAAGTTAGTTATCACGAATTCCTAACAAATATGCAAATTTCACTCGAATGATGATTACGACAATATAACGTATTTCACAGACCATAAGACGCGATTCAAATACATTTTCACCTCAAAAATCGATCATGTCCCTCATAACGCAGGGCTGGGCATTTTGGAGTATATATCTGATGATTTCAGAATCAAATCGAACATTTTATTTTTAATCTCAAATGCTTGGGAGTGAATGGGAGACAGAAATTGCGTTGAAAAGGTGCTCCCGAAGTATGTGTACCAAGATGGCGCACAACCTTAACCCTAACCTAGTACACGTACTATAATCAGGTTGTGCGCCATCTTGGTCCACATACTTCGGGAGCTCTGTTGAGAAATATGACTTCAGATTCAGATAATTTATTTTCGTCGTGCAAGAAACATTATGAACACAAACATAGTAAATCAAGGCAAAAGAAAAACAACAACCGGCACACAATGTTTCGACTGCAATTAACAAGAAGACGCGAAACACTGTCAAGTCATCGTGTCAGCGACACCATAAATGCTGAATGACGTACGTCAATTAATTAAGGTGGATTTAAATATGTTCAGGGGAAAATTTGGGAAACGTAGATCGAATCGAGAGAGTAAGCCAAGAGAGAAAAGTTTAAATAGAAAGTATGAACGGAATCAAGAAAGTCGGGGTAGAAATGATTAGGCTAGAATTAAGCACGCTCAGAGGAAATTTAAGAAACGTAAATCGAATCGAGAGATGAAATAATATAAAAATAAAAGAAATTGAGGAGTTCATTTCGACCATTGGCGGAAAGAAAAAACAAGATGGCGGCGATTCGAATAATTTGCTATTCGATTCCAGATGCCCGGCTCTACTTATAAGCCGGCGCGCCTAATGTAGTCAGGTAGTGTTTTATCGACTATTCCTAAAACCACTACCGGTTACGTAATGTTCCTTAAAATACGGTAGTCGTTAACACTATATTTGCGCAATGACATGTACATAAATATACACACTGGCGCGTCTAAATTCTCCGATGACTATAGTTCCGCTTCTGAAACAAACGAAACCGACCGTATGATTGTCTTAATGTTACAAATGGCACAGACGTCACTACGGCGGTATAGTAATATGATATTCCTTTTTGTAAGTAAATGTACGTGCGTATATGCTTTGCTGGTCTTTATATAAATATATTTATGTAGGCCCAGGGAAATCTCGTTGATTTCAGATCAGAATAATCAGAGTCCCGGATTGGAAAAAGTAGGCCTGCTCTTATCTAAGCTGTAAGAATAGAATTGATATTTCGATGGATAGTAATTTACTAGGACATCGTTTCCGACAGGCGGGGAATTACTTCCCGGAACGAAATTCAACTGTTTGAATGAAGGAAAACTAACATTCTTTAGTAATTATATCTATACAGTAATACTTATTTTGGTGCTGCCGTAGTATGTGCACCAATATGACGCACAACCTGAACATAGTATGTGTACCAGGTAGGTTGTAGGGGTATCAGGTTGTGCGCCATCTTAGTATACATACTGCGGGAACGCCCTTACTTATGTGCACACTATGAAACTGTACAAAAGCGGGAGTGCGAGCGTCACGTAACATCATCTAATGATCCATTGACGGGTGGAACGGAGTTTTTGTGCAAAGGAAGGGGAGAATGAGTTCAAGGCAAGTGGACTAATATATCAAAAAGTGGTGCTTACTTCAGTGGTTCCACCCGTTTTGGGATCTCCCGAAATATGTGCACTAAGATGGCGCACAACCTGATCCCTAACCTGATACACATACTATGTTCAGGTTGTGCGCCATCTTGGTGCACATACTTCGGGAGCTCCCAAAACGGGTGGAACCACTGAAGTATCCAGATATCACAGAGTGGTATTCAGATGTACTTGCTTTGGACAAAAGTTTAGTTATGACGTTAAAGTTAGACAATATTAAAGCAATATATACTCTATAGTAGGTGAAGAGAAAAATCCGTACTATTTCTTCGTCAGTTCTATATGTTGCTGAACTTGATCTTAGTCAATAGGCCGAAAAAGCGATCGTGTCAAATATAGTATTACCGTAGTGTGTGTACCAGGTTAGGAATATACCGTAATTTCAGGTACAAACACTACGGGAGTCACTTGGCCAGTCCCCGAACTCGTAATAGAACTAAAATAAGTAAAATTGGAATAAAATTATGGCCTAACCCTAACCTGGTACACATACTACGTTCCGGTGTCCGTCATCTTGGTTCACATACTTCGGGAGTACCTTAATTTTAATCTGTTTTTCCTTATTCCAGTTCTATTACGAGTTCGAGGACTTCCTGTGTTAGCCAAGTGAATATACCGCCTGTCCATAAGTTTCAGTCCCTTTACACAACTCGATATAAAGTTAGCGAACAAAATTATTTACCTCCATATTGGTACACACACTTCTGGAGCGCCATGAACTGGCTAGAAAAATAGTTATAGCGCAGAAGTTAGATAGTGTTACAGTAATATAAACTCATTGATAGATAATGAGAAAAAGGTGCTTCAGAAGTATGTGTACCAATATGGAGGTAATTTATTCTGTTCGCCTACTTTACACCAAGTTGTGTAAAGGGATAGAAACCTCTGAGCGGTGGGTATATTCAGTCGGCTAACACAGACAGTCCCCGAACTCGTAATAGAACTAAAATAGGGAAAATTGGAAAAAAAATTATGGCCTAGCCCTAACCTGGTACACATACTACGGGAGTACCGAAAATAATCATACTATTTCATAGTAAGAGTGTCATTATTGTCCAGACCCTAAGTTTGTAGTGAATCAGTCATTTTTATTTCAATTTCTTTCTGTCTGTATAGCTTGTATTCTCAGTATGGTGGAAAAATAAACTATACCCAATAACTAATTTTACAAAAGATGGGATTTCAAGAATACCTCGCTTGGATAGGGCGCGGTACGTATATTGATTATTGTAATACTTAGGCTATTGGACACGAAATGGACCTTTTTATTATTGTGTTGTTGTTGTTCTTCTTGTTGTTGTTGTTAGTACTACTGGATCAATTGCCTTCAAATTTTCAGTTGTTAAAGATTGTTGTTGTCGCTAGAAGGCTATTACTGTAATTTTATTTTTTCCAAATTTGTCCATGGGATATGATATTTTATCTAAAATGCTCTGTTTAATTTTTAATTATGGGAATACGTTTTATGACATCGTGATGGCTGCCTTCCTTGTTTTATGATTTCGGGTTGGGATAAATATTCCCTTTCGAAGTATTTTATTACCGGTTTATATACCCGTTGATATAATAAAAGGGACCAATGACCAAACATGTTGACACGAAGATGAAAAGACTAATATGGCTACGACAATTTTAGGCACACGATGAAAAAAATTATACCAAATGCCACAAATAATTGTACCGCGTGTCATATAAATTTGAATTCTCATGAATTAGGATACCCAAGGGGGTGAGAAATACGATAAAATGACTTAATCATGCGGCGAATCAAGGCCTCTTGTCCAGTTACCAGTTCATGTTGGGTATGGAATTAGTTAGCTATTTATTTATTTTCGAAAGCATAGACTTGATGGTAGGGGAAGCCATAACCGACGATCGCTTACGTGAACCATTCTACCGCGTCGAGGAATCCAGCAACTCTTTTTCACATAACCCGCATGGGATTCGAACCTGCGAACCCACGGAGGGTAATCAGAGGTGCGGCGGTGAACGTATCACTAATGATTAGCACGATACGCCACATCGCCGAGACTAGTTTATCCATCTCACCTGGAATTTACTTCGTTATCAATTTCATTACATTTTCCAGTCGGTATCTTCGGAGTTCTGAGGTCTTGTTGGAACGTAATTTGGAATCACGGTATCCAAAGAATACTGTTCGGAGTTCCACAAAGCACTGTAGCAGCCAACGAAGCGTTCAATGCCCGTGGTGTGTAATTATTAAAAAATTCTTTCTTTATTCCTCAACATGCATTTTCATTTCCTTAGGCTTAGACCAGTGGTTCTCAAACTTTTTAATGTCGTTACCCGTTCCATAAAAACACAGTTTAATGCTAAACTTGTGCTAGGTCAGCATTTCAGTCTGCATTCTCTATGGCGAAGTATGGTTATTACATCCCTACGAATCCTGTGACTAGATTACTAGGCTCATCGACTAGATGCGAGCATTAAATGTCCAGCTTTTCCGCAGACTGTTCAAAAGTAAGGGGGATTACAAAAAAAAAATTTTAAAGCAGTGAACGATTGAATTACCCCTGACAATTTGCAAATTAACTCTTTGCGTGATCACCCCCAGTTTGGAAACCCCTTTCTTGTACCAACCAGAAATGATTTTTCTCGTACTATGGCAAAAATTTCGCTTTGTGTTTGCTGGAGTATGACTACTTTTTTAGTTATTTGTTATTATTGTAATTTGGTGACCGTACATTTGAACCCATGTACATTTGAACCCATGCGTATATCCACGGGTTCAATCTATATGCGGGTGCTAAAACCCATGGGTTAGGGTTAGTATGGGTTTAACTATCCGTGAAACAAAAAAAATTCCATAGGTGCAATAGCATACAGGTGCAATTGTCATGGGTTCAAATGTACGTGGGTTCAAATGTAATGGAACCTTGTAATTTATGTACTCATTTTTGCATACGTTATAGACCATTTGAACCGTACAAAAGTCGTATTCCAAAACACTTCGGACTACAGGAGTGCATTACAAGGGCCGCAATAAGTTAAATTTCCCACTGAGCCGTTAGAACACCCGATTTCGAGTTTAAAAAAATTCATTGGGCCATTTTACCAACTGATTATTAAGCGAAAATTTATTATTGCAGAGCAACCACCTCCGACAAATTCAGGGCCGCCAAGAAGAAATCTAGACCAACTTCATCGCAGACCATTGCATGAACGAAATGGTGAGTATGTTATTTCTTACTAAATTGTCATCCAGATGAGCTTTCTTCAAGTATATCACAAGCGATTAGGCTCCGTTCGTCATAAACCCAGTTCAGAATGCTTTAGTACAGCGCCCGACTGCTTTAGTATATTTTGTCATGATTTCAAGACAATACCGGTACTGGTTTTGAATGTAGGCAATAGAGCACTATACCTGAGTCCTGATTCATACCTTAGGCCAGGGGTGTGCAACCTTTTTCGCAGGCGGGCCAAATATCAATAACCGGCTAAAACCGGCCGCACCTACATTTAACCCAGACTTCCTATTAGTTGCAGGCACAAAATGGTGACTTTTTATTATTATGGAATTGCTAGCAAATCGATATGACGTCCATTTTAGAAAAAAATATGTTACTAAAAAGTGCCATATTTGAAGGCATGACTTTTTTCAAATGTGGATAGTTATCTTGGTTGAGATGTTTTCAGTAAAATACGCCAAGATTCATTTCCAAATAGTTTGCTGTCAAATCCTATTCTAGGTTAGATTTAGACAAAATCAATTGATAGGCTGGAGCTAAAACTCATTTAGCTTTTGTATCTTTTTATATTATTTTTTTTTAAACTGCGCTTCAGTTGCCTCCGCGGGCCGCACAAATTTCCCTTGCGGGACGCATTTGGCCCGCGGGCCGCACTTTGCACACCCCTGCATTAGGCACAGGGAAAAAGGATTTAACTTGCGCCTTATGGTAAAATAGCAAATGATACCAAGTGAAAGACTTTTATCGTGGAGACCTTTGAATCACTCCGCTGCTCCTTATGCGGGCTGAGGGCTCAGTTTGAAAAATTCACAACACCGAATAATTCTTGAGTTGTGTTACCTTCTTTTTATTCAGAAGAACAACGCCCCCAGCCACCCACACCCACATACAATATTGTTGGAAGTAAACTCAATCAAGTTGCAATTGGTTCGTCCGATACAACTTATGCACACGCTTCTATCAGAGAGGTAATAATATATCTTAAATAGCCTACGTATTTCATATAAACAGTGGTGTATCTAGAGTATGCCAGAGATGGTGCAAAAATTTTATTCAAAAATGTTTCAAAAAATAAAGTTACCAATTGCCAGTCAACCATCAAGAGGCGAGTTTGTTAGCTTTCGCTGTTTTACGTAGATACGCCGCTGTATATAAATATTCAATTGTCTACTGGCCATTACTACCAAAGAGATAAGTTGTTTCCAATAATTTTATTAGAATAATTGTAATGAAACTGAGAACTACTTTTCTTCACGAGCATCGGGCTCGCAGAATTTGTTCACATGTGAGTAGATCGCTGCGCCGTCTCAAATTGGTTTGTACGACTGTATGTTAATTTGCATCAAAGGGTGATGACATCTGCAAACGGGATACGCAGGCTTGTCCATAGGACATATTTTACTGTCCCATCCCATCCTATGGGATTCGCAATGGAATAAAATTCAATAAAAATTGCTAAATTAGGTTTAGAGTCTAACAAATAGGACTACATGTACGAAGAGAAAAGCGAAACAACACAGTTTACTGATTTTGTTATCTTTATATTCATAACTATTATACATGTGTTTATCAACCCCTTTACGAAATATGTTGTCAATGCTGAATATATTTTGCTCTTTATATCTAACAAGAGAGTTATGCCCAAATATTTGGACACGAAATCCAGAACGACATGTTTTACCATCATTTCCCCCGAAAATCATACGGTTTTCGTGTCCCACGTAACCCATGGGAAATACAAATGTTTGCTGTCCCATCCCATCCCAATGGACGACCCATAGACAAGCCTGGAGATACGTGTGAAATACCTATTTGCCTTATAGCACAGATGTGTGACATGTACCATTCACAAATATAATATCAGTTATAACTGGAACGTTCTAATAGTCCAAATTGCATGAAAAAAAAACATTCTAATAAAATATAGTCTGCTGCTCTGTTAAATCGTCTGATCCCTGTATCATAGATTCATTAGCTTCAATCACGGTCATGTCATGGCTATTGCTGGGCATTTTTGAATACCTGATGATTTCTAAATCGATTCGATTTGGGGGGTCCAAAGCCAGGCCCGCGGGCCACATAAGTCGAGTTTATTTTACCCAGTCAGTAAAAAATAATCGCGTAGAATATTCAAAAAAGGGTGATCGTACAGTTTTACTGTGGAATGGGAGCCGCGGGGAACCCAATCTGGTTATCGAGCAGCGACACCCAAGCTTCTAATATCTAGTTAATTATCAACTCAATTCAGAAAATGTATGTATCTCACGACTAGGGTTGAGCGTTATCGAAACACTGCTGCCGTTTTGACAGATCAGTGTTTCGAAACGCCCAGCCATACCCACGAGTCATGAGCGGATTTCGCTGATATCATAGCAATTAAAGAACGGGTGACGAGAACCCCCGAATCCAACCATTTGGGCTTAAAGGAATTTAGACGTATGTGTACCAAATATGGAGGTGACTAATTTTGTTTGCTTACTCTGGATCAAGTTGTGTAAAGGGACCAAAACCAAATGGACATGGGGTATATTCACTTGGCTAACACAGACAGTCACCGAACTCGTAATAGAAATAAAATAAGGAAAATTGGAATAAAATTATGGCCTAACCCTAACCTGGTATACACACTACGGGGGTACCTTTAATTTTATTTAACCGCATTTCCGCTACCAATATTTTGAGGTTGAAGTATCGATATGTATATCTATATTCCAGGCTCAGAGGCAACAGGAAGTTAATTTGGCGCACGAGGGAAACAACTTACATGACGGAAACAACGTCCATGAGGGTTTCGACCATCACGAAGACTTCGTTCTTCATGACTGATACCTGTATAATAAATAACCTCTTCAAATGGTTAGACTGGTTTTCAAACTATTTTATTATATAATTTTATAATCGTTTGTATATATGATTTAGTTAAGTGCGATTTAAAATTCGGATTGATAAACTTTTGACTCCGAGCACATCCCCATGTTGAGGAAATTCATTATATGCCCCATTTACGTTTGTTAGCCTGAGTTAAGCGCACTCTGTAGTCAGTGATGGAAATCAGAACTCGAACAACAAATTCCCATCCCGGTAACCAGTCCATGTCGGCCGACCAGCGGTTACGTGAATCACTCTACGACGACGAGGAGTCCAGCAATCCTCTGGCACATAACTGTTCCCTCTAAGAATATTGCGATGACCCGGATAATTCGAGAACACACCAGATTTTCATAATTTTGTAAAACTTTGGTGATGTAATACTATTAAAAGCCTATGCAATGCTACTTAAGTAAGGCCTTTGCACGTGGGCCATAGAAAACTGACATGAAATGCGAGGGGTTCACTTCATACATTTGAAAACAGGCCTAGACCATGCCTGATTGCCAGTAACTTCGTATCGGCAGATAAAGCTGCTTCAAACGATGGTTTCTGTGAAATTTATTCAATAATAGCAAAATGTTTCTGACCATTCTGTAGATCTGTTTTCGAAAATGTTTAGTGTAGGGCTTTCTTCTTCTACCGCATAGAAATATATTCTAATTAATTCATATTTCAATGCATGTTATATTACAAAGTGAAAAACAAATAACTGGTGATGCCGTTTTTTTTTGTTGGGGACTGGGGGCACAGGTTTAAGTGTATTTATTAAACAACGATCTCATAAAATCTGGATTCGATTAGACAGAGTTCATATGTTAATACTTTAAAGGGTAGTTGTTTGAAAATGGTGATTTTAAAGTTTGCATAGACCGACCTAGAAAAAATTTCTTGGACCTCTTGAAGTATGTACACCAAGATGCCGCACAACCTGATTACAGTTTGGGTACCAGGTAAGGATTCAGTTTATGCGACATCTTGGTGCACAATCTTCAGGTGTTATGGTGACTCTTTGATGCCTGGATCATCGAACAACCACCTATTAACTTTTATCAACTCGAAGCTTGCAAGTGATTACCTGAATTTTGTCTTGTGCAGCATCACTTTTTTAATACTCTGGTCACAACAGGGTGCTCTCGAAGTATGTGCACCAAGATGGCGCACAATCTGAACATAGTATGTGTACCAGGTTAGGGTTATCAGGTTGTGCGCCATCTTGGTGTACATACTTCTGGAGCGCCCACAACAGTACGTGATGCCAAAATGGAGATCATTATATGCATATTTTAGGATAGAATTTACATATTTATCCCGGGGAGAGGAAATCCCATAAGACGGCTTAATTATATGGCAAACCAAGGCCCCTCGTCCGGTTACCATGTCGGGTATGAGATTACCTAACCAGTTATTTGTTTTCGAAAGTTTCAGACTTGTGTAGTTAACAGAGCTCCTGAGGTAATATGAAAATAGCTCATTTATGTTCGACGATTGCTTGTAATATCATTCGGCCTCGGCATTTCCCGGTAGATCGTCCACGCGACTAGTCACTGTTTAGCAAAAAGATCATACCTGCTCCACTAAATATTGCGGTACTCCTCCGTATACCGGTGTGGCGCACCGTGCTAAGCGGTCATCCGGTTACCAGTCCATGTCAGGAGCGTGACTAGTTAGCCAGTTTATTTTTTCAGATGCGTGGACTTGACATGTGTGGAAAAATACGAGTAGATACATGCACGTCTTAATCGGGCTTTTAGCTTACGAGTGAGTATTGTGATACTAATAATAGATTTTTGTCGCCGGAAGTTATCGCGTACTTCTAACAAAGATGTAAAATTTGCTCAAACGGCGATTACTGTCATTTACAAACTCTATTTGTGCAATGACATGGTCTTAAAGGTGGGTTATCACGGCCAATTTATGAGGCGAGTTGATTGATTCTATATAATTTTTCGCGTTTATAGCTCACAAAAAGTGGATTTCGTTTTGAGAGACCCAGCCGAAATCGACCGATAATTTGTACGGTCCGCTGATGACGTTCTACAAACTAGATTTGCGCAATTAAATGTTCAAATATATTGACCGTCGCGTCGAAGTCACTCAAGCGTAACTATAGTTCCTCTTCTGATGTGTCTGAGTGATACAAAGAGCACAGAAGTCCGCGATACTACGACAAGCCGTATAGTAATATGATATTCCTTTTTGTGAGTCAATGTATGTGCGTAGGCACCTCCGTGCTCGTTATAAAAATATTATTATTTAAGGACAAGGAAATCTCAGGCCACTGCTGATTTCAGATTAGTATTTTCGAGGCGTTGGTGGAAAAATATACTTTTGCCTGCTGTAAGAATCGATATTTAGATAGTAATGTACTAGGCCTAGGGCATTGTTTCCGATCTTTGAAGAGAGAAATTAACCTTTGAATTTGCTGTAGTCAGTGCTGGATTAACCATTATGATAATTGAGCACGTATTAGGGCACCAAGGGAAATGGGGGTAGGTACCACAAAAATTCCTTAGACGATTTTTCAATGTATTGTAAGTACTGTATAAAAACTTTTTTAAAACCAGAAAAATCATTAAATTAACTTGGCCATCAATTAGCAATAAATACTGAAGCTTACTCATTCAATTGCAGATAACATAGATAGAACACCGATATCATTATTATGATTTTTATATATAGGGCATTAAAACCTTAAGTGCTTTGGGCTTCTGAAAGGCTTGATCCGGCCCAGGCTGGATCAATACAACACTTATATTCTTTAGTTATTTATCACTACTATATAAAAGGGTGTTAAAAAAGTTACGCAAAATTGAGGTAAAATTTTTTTTGTCAAGGCAACGTTATTAAAAAATAACTGTTAAAATATATCAGTCGTGAAAAAGCTTCGAAATATCCGAAGGATGATTGATATATTAAAATAGGTAATGGGTAGAAAGTTTATTTATCACGCAAAATTTAGACAGTATCACAGATGGATAAAGAGAAAAATCATATCATTTCATATAGGAAGAGTTTCATTTTTGTCCAGACCTATATGATGTCTTACGGGCGGTTAAACTGGCTTTAACGATTACCTTCATTTTTTAGTTAATTATATCTGTCGTTTTTACTTCAATTTCATTTTGTTTGTATATCATGTATTCTCAGTATCTTGGAAGAATAAACTACTAATAACTAACTAAACAAAATAATGGGATTTCGAGAATATGCCATCTGGATATGGCGCGGTACGTATATTAATATCTGACTTCCCAGATAACGATGGATATGGAAGAGAAATAATTTATATTTTATGGAAAGGAAAGCCGATAAATCATATGGCGAACCACGGCGTCAAGTCGGGTTCCCAGTCAATGTCAGGCATGGGATTAGTTGGCCCGTTATTTGTTTTTCAGATGCCTGGACTTGCGACCAGCAATTACGTGAACCACCCTCCGGCGACGAGTAGTCCAGTAATCTACTAGCACATAATTATCCCCCGTGAGATTCAAACCTGCGAACCCACGCATGGTATCAGAGGTACTACGGTTGCGAACGTATTCCTTACGCTTGGCACGATGCGCCACGTCGCAGAGCCTTTCTATAAACAGATTCACTTCGCTGTCAAAGTTATCCAAGTTATACAAGAGCGCATTTTCATCTATCTCGATTGGTTCATTATTTGAAATGATTATTGATCGCCAAATGTTGAAAACGGGGGGATGGGGCCCGGTCATGCCTATGCATTAGCCCTCTCCGCAATACCCTCGGTTAATAACCGCTATCCTAACCTATATTTCCGTTCCTAATTGTATTATTTTTACAGCGGGTATCTTGGAAGTTCTGAGGTCTTGTTGGAACAAAGTATGGGAACATGGTATCCAGAGAATGCTGTATGGGGCTTCACAGGGCCGCGTAGTAAATGACGAGGCGGTCACTGCACAAGGTGCGTCATTATTATGAATTTTTCCTCAATTTCGTAAAATGCATTACCTACCACTCAAACTACCACTTGTAAAGTTACCGACGACTTTGTTAATATCTGTTATTATTTTCCACTCGTGGTCCGCGAGTACATTTTATCTGATTTTACCGGACCGCCGACGTAGAAAGGTTGGGAACCACTGCGCTAGACCACAGGTTCTCAAAGTGCTCCGTACAGAGCCCCCGGGATCCGCGAGAGAAACCCAGGGGCTCCGCGAGCTATTCGATTACTTTTCAAAATACTGACTTGGCTAATTTAAAACTGTTCCTAGAAGCAATAACAGCTTTGATAAAATTTGACACCAATATAGCCTCGAAATATGGCAAAGTAGCGGATCTAAAAAATGACATTATTTATAAGCAGGAGCGCAGCCAGGATTCTTAAGAGGGAGGAGGTTCACATTCGGAATCGGAAATTTACGCGCAACATTCTTGGCGATTCAAAAAAAAACGGATAACGAGATTTCTGTTGCGTAAAATATTTAATTCATGACCGATGCGAGCATTTAAAGTGTCTTGTCGTAATAATTTAATTGTGCTCATCGTTACTCACGTTCGATTCGAGATTACTATTAGGATTACTAAAATGAAACTAAAATGAAAGAATACTATTCTAAAATAACTTAAAACTGCGTGATAAACTGCCAACTATAAATAAATTGGAGTCGTATTTTTGCGATCTTGGAATTTGTTAAACTTGATTTTTTTCTTTCGCACTCGAGATTATTTTTAAGCAAGATATCGCCGTTTGAAAAATCACAAGGTCTTGGCAAAATACGAACGATTGAAATTTATTTTAGTGCATGCGGCTCCGTCGGTAGTTTCAGAGTAGAAAAATGGTACATCGCCCGCATAATTAATTAACTGTGTTTCAATTTTGCAGTTACCACGATAAATAACCGAAGAAATGTCTATAAAAGCGTTTTTATTCTGACGTGAGTCTGCTGAAACAAAACTTAGTGTTATCTTTCATTTTAAGTTTTAGTTCTAATATTTTAGAATGCCGCTTTTTAATCAAGAAATTTGAATTGCGGTTTTACCTCTTTATTAACTATTATTTTTAGCATTTCGTCGCCGATGATGTTTTTCACATTGAACTCATAATTCCCCACGAGAACAAAAAAGCAATTATCGTCGTCATTGTGGAACAATACATGTATATATATGCCGAAGAAATTTTTTATTTATGGAGAATAAACACCGGCGTAAAGATGTTTGAGGTTTAAAAACACGCCATGCTGACGAAAACAATCGGCGATTGTAACAAAATGCAATCGCGCACGTTATTAGCGGCCTTTTAAGTCTTCCAAAAATGTCAAGAGGGGAAAAAATTCGACCCCTAATTTAATGATATGTTTGTCAAGTGTCAAATTTACAGCTTTAGTATATACAATTTATCTTTGAAATTTAAATTTATTTATGACTTGTATTAACCCTATTAAAAGGGTTTAGTATTTAAATTGAGTAAATTACTTTTAACTTGCTCAGGAATATTAATCGGAAAGTAACAATTTTAACATTTCTCTTGGGGCTCCGTGAATAATAGTCAATCTTTTCAAGGGCTCCGCAACACAAAAAGTTTGAGAACCCCTGCGCTAGACGATCGCAGCTGACGACTACCGTAATATTTGGAGTTTCTAAAGTTCGGCATTAGGCGCAGCTTACTACATTTTCTGGAATAGGTTAACCCGTTGTTAGTGAGTTTAAGATAACGGAGAACCCGTTCCTAGAAATTTGAATCCCATCACTGGGTGTAGGCTATGACTAACCGGAACGATCTGGTCTACACAAAAAATAGTAGTTCTCAAGTGTCGGTGGCTACTCGCTTTGATTGATGATCTCAAAAAAATCGCTGCAATTAAAAACACTACGGTTGAGGGAAGTTCATTCGAGGCGTTGGAACAAAGCTGAAAAAAAAATCGTTGAGATAGTTCACAAACTGATTGATTACTAAGTAGGCATTTCGAATCAAATAGTAAATTACGCAAATCGTTTCAGACGAAGATTCCGAATCGACGCCATTTTGTCTTTGTTTTGTCCGCCAAAGATTGAAGTAAATCCCTTTTGGTTTTTTTAGGGCAACTCTGAATGACATATGTCTCTTTTCTTTCCAGTGAGTTATTAGACGGAACCTTTTTTCTCATTGGGGGTGAACACTAAGCAAGCTGTCTGAATGATGAATTCTATGTTTTCAGTAATTTAAGTGTCAGGAGGACAAAAAAATGAAAATTACATACAAATTATAATCTTTCAAGTATTCGAGATTCGATTTGACAAAAATATTCGATTCCATTCTGAATTTATCAGGTATCCAAAAATTTCCAGTTCTGATTACTGAATAAAAAATTATTGTTTCAGAACCAGCTCAGTTATCAAATGAAGCGACCGGTTCAACGCCAAGAAGAAACCCGGACCAACTTCATCGCAGACCATTGCACGAGGGAAATGGTAAGTCTCTACTTTCTACCAAATTGACTTTCAGCTGAGATTGGATCATCTTCAGGAACAAGCAATTGGGCTATTTTTGTCAAGAACTAAGTTTTTCGTAAATACACAACTATTCAGGATACTCGAGTATATTAACTCTTCGTGGAATGGATTAGAATTGAATCCGATGCATTGGAATTGATTATCGAGGTTGGATAGTTAAGGATATAACGTAAATTTCATAAAATCATGACACTAGCCAGCATGCAGGAAAGCTCAACAGTGACATCGAGCGACAAAGTTGGAGTAATAATGGCGTCATACATACCATCTTACAGCTCTTATGTTAAGAAACTCGGCAAACCAGAGCCAGGTTTAGTTTAAAATCAACTTTGCTCTCCTGTAGTTGAAATATTGGATAACATATAAAATTGGAATAGATTGGAGGGCCGACAGAAAAGTAAACGCGAACGGGTACCTGTCTGTCGGTTGAGAAATCCTGCTCCAGATCAGTGTCCTCTACAAAGACTCTTATCATTTAGGGCACATCTTCTAATATTATCCAGTTTTGCTTTTAGGCATTTCCTCCAGTTATTCCATGCGCCATGTTTATTAACAATTACGGCCAAAGAATTAGATAAATCAGTCAATTAACTGTAGATAATGTAGTCATGCCTAGGGCTGGGCATTTTCGAATACCTGATGATTTCAGAATCGGATCAAATATTTTTTTCGAATCGAATCTCGAATACTTGGGAGATGTATAATTGTATGTAACTTTCTTATTGTATTGGATTCCTCAGACACATAAATTACTGAAAACGTATAATACATCACTCAGAAAGATTGCTGAGCGTTCACACACAATAAAAAGCACGTTTCATCAATAACGCACTACAGACAAGCGTCATATATTGTCAGAATTTTGTTGAAAAAATATACCTCGACCATTGACAGAAAGGGAAAAAAAAGATGGTGGCGATTCGAATAATTTACTATTCGATTTGAAATGCCCAGCCCTTGTTATAGCAAATAGTGAAGCCTTTTATCGTGTTGCCCATTAAACAGCTTCATGGCTCTCTACGGGCAGTATGAAAAACCGGCGCTCCTGTAGTGTGTGTACCGATACGGAGCTAACTAATTTTGTTGTGTAAAGGGACTGGAACCTATCAGCAAGGGGTATATTCACTTGGCTAACACAACAGTCCCCGAACTCGTAATAGAACTAAAAACAAAGTTTGAATGTTTTCTGCTGTTTTATACACACACTACGGGAGTATCTAAAAATCCTGCTCCAGACTAATCTTTTTTTTGTCACTGAATATTTCTTCATATATTTTCATTTCTCTTAGATCAACAACCGCTCTCTTTCAATATTGTTGGAAGTTCACTCAATCAATCCGCCTTGGCTTCATCTAATACAACTTATTCGAACTCATCTGTCAAACAGGTAACCTCGAATTGCTGTTGCCAAACTGCCCAGGGGCGTAGCCAGCGGTTGTTTTGGCGGTTGACCTCCCCCCCCCCCCCCCCTTTTTGAAATGTAAAAAAATAAAAGCATCTTTCTGTATCACACATAGCTATTTTTCGTAACTTGAAACGTTTTTTAGACCCTTAAGCAGTGTTCCTCTAAGCACACAGCTTTCAGAGACTGCGCACAGACGTATTTCGATGTAATGTAACGATGTGCTCGGTTGACAGGTTGAGAAATTTTGTTGTTGGCCCACCCATTACCCGGTTAGAACGCCAAAATTTCTTCATTGGTTTTTGCACAAATATTAGTCATTTCCAAAAAAGTGCGCACACACCAAAATTTCTGCACACACATACTACAAAAAATCAGAGGGAACATTGGCCTCAAGACTCATGAAAACACACGTTGTCCGGCGTTTGCTCGGTCCCGCCATTCGTCTCGATCAAACTTGGCAAATAGAAATTTCAGCCCCCCTCCCTTGAAAATTTTGGGCTACGCCCCTGAAACTGATATACTGTATGCGTTTACCATCTCTCACTTAGAAGTCTTAGCACTGATATATCCATGGTTACCTTTTCAATTTTCCAGTAATTCCCGTGAGCTCTATGGAATTCGTTTATCTGTGTGCGATGACGTCATCAAAATAAACATTGCGCATCTTGTGGCGGTTCCGCGTTCGCTGTTGTTAATCAGACGAAGTCGTGAATACTGTGGTATCGCGTCTCCTGGAGTACGTGGCCTGAAGTACTTCTAGTGGGCGTAGCATAACGACTATTGCATATAATTTTCGTAATCCCCACCTGAGTACGTAACCCAAAACGTCGCTGCGATGTCACAAACGCGTCATAGCGCTTGTTAATAACTACGATCGTCCGAAATGGCATCTGTGCCGACTATAATGAACTCACTAACACTCTCTACTATCGGCATCGTTACAATGAGAAAACGAGAGAAATAGCTTGCTCGATTTAAGATGATTGTCTGCGCGTTTTAGACGACCATACTTATACTTCGGAGGGCCTTATTACGTCACTGCGACTTCGCAATGATGTAACTTTCGGATGACGTAGGGGTTAGGAATGACATATGCAAAAATTGTTGAGACAGGCCAACTAGAATTACTTGTGGGAGTGTACTTCAGGAGACCCGCGGTACCGGTACCCTACTGCGCCAGATTGCATACCCGTACTACTTCGTTTTGACTTTCGTGTCCATGTATTTGAGCATCGCTCTCTTATTTTATTTCGTTTCGTTTTCCTGTCTATACTATGATATATCTTTGAGTATATTTGTTAAAGTATCGTTACTCACTGTGTTCCCATATTCCAGGTTCGAAAGAATGCCGACTGAAAGATATTCGGCGTCTGATTTGAGGAATCCAAATCCACACAATTACTGCTACGAACACTTAAAACCGTCTAAAAACACCAAAAACCATGCTAAAACGCTTAAAAACAGTGAAAAACCGTCTAAAAACCCCAAAAACCCTTCAAACCTCAAATTAAATTATTCTTCCATATAGTAAATAGCACAGAACTCCGGTTCATACTCCGGATTGCTGAAATTTTTTACTCCAATGTTTGTTTCGGTCTAAAAATCCAACTGCATTTCACGAAAATCCTAGTAATGAATTTTTTAATCAAGTTGAATCAATTTCTATTATTTTCTAATTAATCTCAAAAGTTTGCTAATTAAACTTTGCAATGATATAGAGAAAATCACCTGAATGTTCTTATAAACTAACACCTTAGGAAATTTTATCTTGCAATTTTATTTCAAAATGCATCTCTTTTCCGTACTGTAAATCAGGGTGGTCTAAGGTTGCGAGGTTGAAGTGCCGCAAACAATTTTTGAGGTCTCGCGGGCCGCAGTCGGAGAAAACCCCAAAGTGGCCAAAACATTGCGAGTTTACTCAATTCAAATATGAGAGTTTACAGATCTAATTAGTTTTATAAGAAAGATATATAAGGCCTTTAGTTATTTTAAAATTGCTACCCGAGAAATACCGTGGTATTATCGGGATTTTTACTCGTGTTTTGTTTTGTAATACCGCTTAAAATTATACTCTTTCGTGAAAGATATTACTTGAAAACACACCAGACACTGTGATTTAACGTTGCCGTGGGTAAGGAAATACGTTTACTCTCAGTTTACTTCGCTCACCTTTACACTCATTGTATGATGAATTTATTACTTGTAGGTTGTAGCGTGAGTAGGTTTAGTGAGTGATACCGTCAAAAGACAACCATTTAAGTTGGGACCTCGGACCCAGATAAACAAAATACTGGATCGCGCGGCGATAAGTCAGCTCTGCGGTTCGTCACTGCTGTCACATTGCCAACGCTTGAAAATAGAGGAGTTTTTGCTAAAATGAAGGCACAAAACGTCTCTTCAGATGAGGAGCTATTTGACGCAAGCTCATCTCATAGGCTTGGTCCTGTCTGCACAAAACAATTCATTATCCTTATACCGACCACGGGACGGCATTCCCATATAGCCACCGTCTTTACGTTTATGAATACAACAATGAAATTACGTGATTTTAACAAACATCAATCCCGACATCGGAATCAGGAAAAGGACTTTCACAGTGGTAATAGTTTAAAAATAAATCAATCAATTTTCAAATCAAGTTGTATGGGTAACCGTATTGGGTTTACAATTTTAATCTTTTTTTTTTTTGCAATATTTCAAGTCAATTCAAAAGTGATAGTATATAAAAAATTGATCAAGTAATTTTTTTTTCTGATCCTTATTACTAAAAATTTTAATATGTCATGAACATAATATATGATCATAGATGAAGATGCCAAAAAAGAGCATCGATCCTTTCTTAATTGACTTTAATTTCATATATTTCATATTTGTAGTATTATTTATGTTCTCCAAACCTGCCTAGTTTTAAATAAAGTTTTAATTATAACTGAGTGTCATTAGTGATTTTTATTCCATACAAATGTAATTTATTGCAGATTTGCAGTGTTAAACTTCCCGCCTTAATCCATTTACACAACATTTTCTGACTATCGAATTAAACAGTCCAGCTTCACACTAACACGAATGTATTTCTGTAACGTTTCGTCCGACCAGAATCAGACTTCCACAGACAAGCAGTTTACAACCAAACTGAAGGCATAGAGAAAAAATAGGAAGTTAGTCTCGGGCAACCCAACTCAAATTAATTTCCTGACCTATTTCGAAGACAAAATTAAATTTCTCCAAATATTTATGAACTAATGGAGAAAAAAGTTTTTCATCGCTGTATCGCTTTTTGTCAATGTTTTTGTGTTCATTCTTATGACAGTCGTGAACAATAATTCCGAAAAAATATTTCGCTTTTATGAATGAACTGAAATAAATCTCGTTTTTAATTCATCACGAAAGAGCTATCGTTTTTTTTAAAGGTGGCGAAGGTGTGTTTCTCAAATATCACATTTTTGCATTAGCGGCAGGGTCTTTGTACATAAGATCTTATTAATTATTCTCCATTTCGCTATTACATACTTCGGTACTCCCGTAGTGTGTGTACCAGGTTAGGGTTAGGCCGTAATTTTATTCCAATTTTCCTTATTTCAGTTCTATTACCAGTTCGAGGACTGTCTGTGTTAGCCAAGTGAATATACCTCTGCTCATAGGTTTCAGTCCCTTTACACAACTTGATGTAAAATAGGCGAACAAAACTAGTTACTTCCATATTAGTACACATACTTCTGGAGCGCCCTTACTTTTCCATTAACTCCTCGGTTACTTTCCCGACCCGTAAATGAACCTCTCAGAAAACAAACAAACTCTGCAACGACATTGGATAGGCATCTGGGAAGGCAGTGACAAATTTATTTGCAGTTATATGCGCTATCATGAATGTACTTTGTGGAAATTAAAAGAACGAATTATGATGTAAAATTTTATGTTTGGATCTTTTGTAGAAAGCCCCCGACACTAATGCAAAAGGGTGATTTTGAGAAAAACACACCCCGCCACGTTTTACTTTTTGAGGATGTCTCGCGGGCCGCATTCTGGATATTTACGTTCCATTCACGTATTTTCAAGTGGTTTTATAATAAAACATACTTTCGCCTTAGCTAGTTATTTTTGAGGTAAGGTGCGAGACTTGACAAATTCTAAAAAGTAGGCGTGGCATAAAAAATTTGAGATCCACTGCTGTAAATGTCACGTCCTACATTCGACTATGCAGGGACCACATGGCATGGACACAAAGTAATTGCTCGGCTAAAATCTAGCACAGCAAAAGCGTCAAAACCGCTCAAAATTTAATTGTATTTACATTATGGAAGTTTTGTTTTTATTATTGTAACTTTCAGTATCCACGTCTTATATATATATACTCCACTATTCAAGAAGTAGGTGACATATATATATACAACAACGTACACACGTTTTGTCCATGCTTGTTTATTTATTGCTATCGTGGGGTGATAGTATCAACGTTTTTATGACGATTTTTACGACGACTTCTGTTAACTCTGATTTGGAAAGTTTCGAGGAGCCTTCGCTGTGTTTGCAACAACGATAACCGGAGCATAGCCTTTCAAACAACATGCATTTGGACATATGTTCAAACCTATGACACTGCGGTTTTATAGCAGATGTTCGGCACTTGACAAAAAGATTTATGTCCTAAAAAAATCGTCGGTTATCGTCTATATAACCGAAACAAACTGATATCGAGTTCAGATTGAAATTCGACATTGCTGTATTGTGGATCGTCTACGATGGTGAAGAATTCAGGAAAATGAACCTGAAAATAATTCTACTGTTTTCGCTTCTACTGCTGATAGGTAAGGAATAGTGCTGAGAATTTCAGTATAAATGCGTTCATTTGTAGCAATAAAAAATGGAAATTTGAAAAGCTCGACACCCCCTTTGAAAAATTGTTTATATATAGGACGTTTATATTTATATACTTATATTCCTATGCGCATTCCTTCACAATTTTCTCCATGAATAACTGTTAAACTCGGTCAAGATAAACTACAGGCGTTAACTATTCAAACCGGTTTAATGATGAGACTTTACTAATGTAAGTAATGGAGTTTGAAGACGGTCTACTCAGAACTGTAAACATCAGCTGGGTGCATCCTCGGAGCTCTTTTGCAGATGAATCAGGGCGTCTAAGGCACGAATGCTGTAGTTGGAATAAAGATAACTATTCTATGCGATTGAAGAGTCTTGCTGTACACTAACACAAATATATTTTTGCAACGTTCCGTCATACTGAATTTTCGGAGCTCCCGAAGTATCAAGATGGCGCACAACCTGAACATAGTATGTGTACCAGGTTAGGGTTTAGGTTGTGCGCCATCTTGGTGCACATACTGCGGGAGCGCCGAATTTTCAAGTATCTCCCTCGTTTGGCAAAGGGCTCCATCACATAATTAACCCTATTTATCACGGATCTGCGAATCCTTGACCCGCATGTTTGACCTTGGACAAATTGAAAAATAAACTTGATAAAATCAGATTCGGTTCAAACGTTTTTGATTCGAGATTAAATTCGACAAAATGTATACAGATGTGGCAACTCATCATAATTCTGTGACCCGGCTCACCCGTGACCTTCTGTGTAGCGCAGCGCTAGCCTACTTGCTGAAGGCGAATGCGTTATTTTGTTTGTTTCCCGGTAACATTGTTTGCGAACGTATCACATGTAAAATCAATTCTAATTGGTCTTGTTCAGACGAATGTTCTGTTCACGTGAATGTAACATTGAACAACGTCTTTTTGAAGGTGTTATCTGAAGAAACGCATGCTTGGATTTCAATGCTTGAAAACGGCAGACTATTTCATTATTCTTTATTCCTTTTGCTGTAGGCCTACATAAAAAGATCTAAATTCGGATCATGTGTATCGTTAGCGTCTATTCCTTTCTATTTTTCGAACTTAACCCGATATTTAGACAGAGAATATGCGCATGAACTCTTGATGACAATATGGTCAATAAAAACAGCCGGGATGGCTTTAAATGTTGCTTATGTAGTAAAATCGGAAACAGCTAAGGGGTCGTGTTTTGGAGGCGTCCCGCTTTGAAGTCAAAAAAATATGGTAACTCTAAGGATAGTAAATCAGAGAAATGTATTGAAACTTTTTCCTATAATAACCACAAGATCAGATTTGCACTGAGCAATTCCAAAAGGGTGCACAATTAAAATGAGGATACCCGCCAAAGTTTTTAAAATAATTTTTTTGCGTCCCACGCCACTTTCGAATAATTGTGAAGTTAACAATGTTAATGAACTTCGTGAAATAACAAGCGTCAATAAAACACATTATTCTTCACAGCAAATTTTTCTAAATGACCTTTTTGTATATGTGAGCCCCTAATGCAAGAACTATTGTAATGTATATATAAGTCACATGTCCACAAGTGCTTTGATGCATTTATAGTTATTTCGCTATTTAAATCTTTCCAGACGAAGTACAATAGCGGTACGGTACTACCGGTATACCAGGATCTTATTACCCAGCAACTTTTTATTAAAAATTCAGCCAGTTATTCATCGCCGCTGTCATGGTAGTGTATACATCAAATTTTTGTCTCTGACATAGTTCAATATCTACCGGCACATTGCCGAAAGTCTTCAAAACCCAACTTGCAGACAACGCACGTGCACCCCCACGTCTTAAACCTTCTTAGATTTTGCCCACTTTCCTGATTTTCTATACATTTGTTTGGTTTGCCATGTACCGTATTGTTTTGTTGTATTTTTTTTTTTTCATTTTTTTTTTTTTGTATCGGAAATTCGAAATAAACACTTACTTACTTGCAGACGATGTACCATGTACCGTATTGTTTTGTTGTATCGAAAATTTTTTTTTTTTTTTTTTTGTATTGGAATTGTATCGGAAATTCGAAATAAACACTTCTTACTTTTTTTTTTTTTTTTTTTTTTTAATAATTATTTTTTTATATTTTTCGATCAATTTGGATTTGGAAAATATTTGATATTACATATTCAAAATTATTTTTCTACAATGTATTAAATTAACCACTCAGTTTTGCCCATCCATGATAATGGCTATGATATTCATAAAGTGTCCACTGTTCAGTATTCAAAAATTAGGGTAGACATCTACAAAATTTATAAAAATAGCATAAAATCAATTACGTGAAAGTTCATATTTCATACTTTTTAAAAATAACCTCATATTTATTAAAAACTCATCATTGTATTTTCTCTTTGAAATTGGCCTGCTGTGATTTGTGTAACTAGTAATATCATCCAGAATGAAATCTCTAGAATTTTTGAACCCAGAATTTTCCCATGCATTTTCTACAAATAAAAATTCTTCATGTTGGTGCTGTGTGTAACTTTGACAACTATGGATAAGAAAAGCTGTATCGCAGTCGCAGGGATGGGGCACATGTTTATCTTTACAGCTACTTAAAACTGACTCAAGAAACATAAGTCTTGTTTTCTTTAGAACATTGGCAGCATATTGCCAACGAAAGTTCCAGCTGCATGGAAGAATATGGATTTTATGGGGATTGAAATGGGATATAATTGCAAATATGTCTCTATCAGGCACAGT